TGTAGGAGAAGTTGGTAGTAACAATATAAAGGAAACCAAGAGACGTTGATTACAAATGTATCAATTGTGAAGAGGTTCCAGCAGAATCTAAAAACTACTCAGCCCTCACTTGGTTGTAAGGATCTCAAAACCAGTAACATAAAAGCAGCACTAAAGTTTGTGTTACCCACTGTAGTGTCAGTGAAGTAAATGCTAAAACTAAGTTGAAAGCACAGTTCCAATACCTTTGTTTGCTCCATTTGAATCAAAAAGAAAAAACCAATTTCTCTTATAACTTCATTGGAAACCATTTTGAAACCCAGAAAACTAATCAAAAGGCAAAAAACCCCAAAAGTCCCACCTTTTTCCAAATTGTCCAAAGCCCTGTTTTTATAACATCCACATTTAATATTTTAGTTTTTAAGACATTAAAGTAATTGGGAACTATACAGTTACACTTCATTAATCAAAAGCTACTTAAGAAAGGAATCTTGAGGCATAAGAAGAAAGATTTAGGTTGGCGCAGTGGCTCACGCCTATAACCCTAGCACTCTGGGAGGCCAAGGAAGGAGGATCGCTTGAGCTCAGGAGTTTGGAGACCATTGTGAGCAAGAGTGAGACCCCATTCTCTACTAAAAGTAGAAAAAATTAGCCAGGTGTGGTGGCATGTGCCTGTAGTCCCAGCTACTCAGGAGGCTGAAGCAGGATGATTGCTTTAGCCCAAGAGTTGGAGGTTGCTGTGAGCTAGGCTGACACCACAGCACTCAGAGTGAGACTCTCCAAAACAAGAAGAAAGATTTAATGGTAAATGCTCCACTGTGAATAAGGATTGCCTTTGGCAAAATTGTGAGGCAGAAGACAAAGAAAGTGTTACACATCAGTTCTTGACTCCCTTAGGCCTCTAAATTGAAAAAGAGGTCACTAATGCAACAGAAAGGAAAAAGAAGTGCCACCGGGAAATGCAAAAATAAATATAAACACAATTTAGTTTTCCCTTATGTAAAATGAGTAATGAAACTGCCCTTCAATAACGGGTACAAGGCAAGAACTGTGGTAAGCGCCTAGCTAAAAATAATGCACAGGTCTAGCTAAAAATAATAATTAGTAACTGTCTCCCTTGCCAGTCTGAAGGCACGCAACTGGTGTCCATAAAGATTCTTAACTTTCTCCATGGATAACATCACCTTTATGGAACCTAAACCTAAAGGTAGTTTTCAAGATATCTTCCAGGTCCTGCATTCCCATGGATCGATTGGTGCACCCATACCAGCGGCCCATACCAAGACACTGACTCAACTGGAATTTGTGACCCCAGGATCTGGAATGACACAGGAAGATGATTTTCACACTCCTATAATTCTGCCCCAATTAATGAACCTAATTACCTAATGCGTTGCCTGCTAAACTATCCTTACAAACCCAGTCTCCCAAATTCTTGGAGAGGCAGATGTGCGAAATGTCTCCCATGTCCAGCTTAGCACCATGTGGAATAAAGACTCTTTGTCTATTGCAATCCCAACTGTCTCCAGACACTGGCTCTTCTCTGTGCAGCAGGCAATACAACCCGGTTGGGCAACAAAGAAATGAAACACAGACTGAACAAAGTAACCTTGCTCTGCATGTGTCACAGTTACCTATGTTATACGACACCTGCAGGGAGCCTCAGTGAAAGTGCCACAAGACAAAGCCTTTGTTAACAGGCATCTTAACTTATTTGTTCAGTTTTATAATATTGTGATCTATTTACTGGGACTAACCAACCCACACAATATGGACAAGTAATTTAAAAGATTCCTGCAAAGAAAGAAATTGTGAATTATACATAACAACAATAACAGCTATCACTGATATCAGGCATGTCCACAATTCAATGAGGTAGGTACTATGATTATTCCCATATTACAGATGAGAAAACGGAGGCACAGAGAGGCTAAGGTCACCTAACTAGTATGGGATGGATCTAAAATACAAATTCAAGTCTGTCTGGCTATAAAGTCTGAGGTCTTAACCTCTGCATAATAGTGCCTCTCATATATAATATATGTAATCTCAAACAAAATGCTAATCTTAAAGATAATACAATTGCTGGGCAAGGTGGCTCTCGCCTGTAATCCTAGCACACTGACAGGCCAACACAGTGGGATTGTTTGAGCTCAGGAATTCAAGAACAGCCCTAGCCTGAGCAAGAGCAAGAACCCATCTCTACTAAAACACAGAAATTAGCTGAACAACTAAAAACATATAGAAAAAATTAGCCAGGCATGGTGGCGCATGCCTGTAGTCCCAGCTACTAGGGAGGCTGAAGCAGGAGGATGGCTTAAGCCCAGGAGTTTGAGGTTGCTGTAAGCGAAGCTGACACCACAGAACTCTAGCCCAGGCAACAGAGTGAGACCTTGTCTCAAAAAAAAAAAACCAAACAGGCCGGGCGCGGTGGCTCACACCTGTAATCCTAGCACTCTGGGAGGCCGAGGTGGGTGGATTGCTCGAGGTCAGGAGTTCGAAACCAGCCTGAGCAAGAGCGAGACCCCGTCTCTACTATCAATAGAAATAAATTAATTGGCCAACTAATATATAGAGAGAAAATTAGCCGGGCATGGTGGCTCATGCCTGTAGTCCCAGCTACTCGGGAGGCTGAGGCAGGAGGATCGCCTGACCCCAGGAGTTTGAGGTTGCTGTGAGCTAGGCTGACGCCATGGCACTCACTCTAGCCTGGGCAACAGAGTGAGACTCTGTCTCAAAAAACAAAAAACCAAACAAACAAACAAACAAAAAAAAAACCAGACTTTGCAACAAGTGGTTCTGGAACAAGTGAGACATCTATACTTGACAAAGATCAACTTCAAACCATACTTCCTACTACATAAAAAAGAACTCAAAATGGATCACAGACATAAACATAAAATTTTACTGTAAGACTTAGAGGAAAACACGGGGGGAAATCTTTGTGGCCTTGGATAAGGTATATTTTTTAGAATATAAAAAGAACTAATCAAAAATTTGATAAATTTTTATTAAAAAAATTTTTTTTAGTAGAGACGGGGTCTTGCAGTTTTTCAGGATGGTCTTTAATTCCTGACCTCAAATGATCCTCCCACCGTGGCCTCCCAGAGTGCTAGGAGTACAGGTGTGAACCACCGAGCATGGCCAAAAATTTGATAAATTAGCATTAATTAAAATTGAAAATGTCTACTCCTCAGAAAGCACTGTTGAGAAAAACACAAGCTCTAGTTAGTAAGAATATATGCAAAACATATTTGATAAGGACTTGTATCCAGAATAAATAACTCGCCCAGCTCAATAAGAAAACCTGATTTTTAAAATGGACAAAAGATTTGAAAATCCACTTCAAAGAAGTTATACAAATGGAAAATAAGCACAGGAAAAAATTCTGAACATCATCAGTCATTAGGGAGATGTAAATGAAAACCATAATGAGATACCATTACACACCTATTAGAATGGAAGAAAAACTGACAATACTGTGCAGACAAGCATGTGGAACAAATGGAGCTCTCATACATTGCTGCTGGGATATAAAACGGTACAGACACTGTGGACAACAGTTTGGCACAATTTATAAAGTTAAACATACACTGACCATATACCCCAGCAAATCCTACTCTAAGGTTTTTACCCAAGAGAAATGCAAACATATGCTCATATAAAAATCTGTACCCTCATATATACAGTAACTTTATTTATAGTTGCCCCAAACTGAAAAATACCCAAATCTCCATCAACAAAAGAACAAACAAACTGTGGTACATCCATGATAGACTGCTACACACCAATAAAAAGAAAAAGAACTACTGATACATGCAACATGGTTGAATCCCAAAATGCATTATGCTAAGTGAAAAAAGTAAGACTTTTCAAAATGTTACATATTGTATGATATCTTAAGAAACCAAAACTAGATCACAGAAAACAGATCAGCTGTTGTCAGAGAAGGATAGGAAGAGGGAGAGAACTTCAAAGAAGTTCGAGGGAAGTTTGTGGGGGTGGTGAAGATGTACCTGGTGTTGACTATGGTAGTGGTTATAGAACTGTATGCCTTTGTCAAAATTCACAGAACTGCACCACTAATAAAAGTTAATTTTACTATATGTAAATTATAACTCCATAAACCTGAATTAAAAAAAGAATAAAGGGGCCGGGCGCGGTGGCTCAAGCCTGTAATCCTAGCACTCTGGGAGGCCGAGGGGGGCGGATTGCTCGAGGTCAGGAGTTCGAAACCACCCTGAGCAAGAGCGAGACCCCGTCTCTACTATAAATAGAAAGAAATTAATTGGCCAACTAAAAATATATATAAATAAAAAAAAAAAAAAAAAAAAAAAAAGTAAAGTATTCCTGAGTTAATAACATAAACACAAAATACTGATTAACCAAAAATACAGCATTATGAAAAGACAGGGGTATGAAGAGTGTGCACGTGTGGTGGGGGAAGGAAGATGAAGAAAAAAGAATTAAAATCAATAAATACCTAAAATTGAGAATTCAAGAAGTAGCAAAACAGGCACGTTATTTAAGGAAAAATTGTCAATCAGTTTCAAGAGGAAAAAGTAGTTGCTTCTGGGGACGGAAAAAATCGGTGGGAACCACTGTTTTTAAAACTATGTAACTCTTTAAACTAGGCATCCTCAAACTACATCCCACGGGCCACATGCGGGTGTTTCTGCCCGTTTGTTTTTTTACTTCAAAATAAGGTATGTGCAGTGTGCAAAGGAATTTATTCATAGTTTTTTTTAAACTATAGTCCGGCCCTCCAACCATCTGAGGGACAGTGAACTGACCCCCTGTTTAAAAAGTGTGAGGACCCCTGCTTTAAACTATGTGTATATATTACTTACTTTTTTTTTATCATTTATAAAAATAAGACAAGGTCCTTGTTCTTGAGGAATTCATAGAAATAAGTACTAACAGAAGAAGGTTCAAAGGCCTACTAGAACTTAAAGTGTTTCAAGGGGGAAACTAATTCTACTTAGTAATGTGTAGTACTTGTCTTGCTTACCATGTGTCAGGTTCAAAAAAAAGAACAAAGTTAAGCAGATCAGGAGAGGATTTACTGACAGCCAAACCTACTGGCTCCATCATTCATCCTCCTGAGCAAGCTGAGAAGGCACACAAACGTGAATAAAGACAAGGTCCCTGATCCCAAGCAGCTCAGAATGCAGAGGTGGAGAATGGCACTTTAAAAAGTGATTACAGTACGGAGTGGCAAGTGCAATCTACGATCAATCCTGGTTCCAGGAATACAGGCAGCTAGCTGCGTGCTTTACCGGTAGGAACGTAAAGCAGGGGGCGGATGGATAACCAAAGCCAGCTCAGGGTCCGGGTTCCATCCCCCCTCTTCCCTCAACCCGGCCCTGACCAACCTAGGGAATGTCTTTTCCCAGGGACCAATTCTCTGGTCCCTTTGATGGTCCCGGTGAACTGAATTGGTCCCTGTGCCTTTTACGGCGGAAGCCAACTCACCGACTCGGCCGCCGCTTCCTGCTCGTCCACTGCCAGGGCCCAGGAGTCAGTGGCCATGGTCGCGGGCGCGAAGGGGACGCTCGCGATGGCGGACTCGCCAGATGGCACGGTGCGTTCCTGGGTTCTGGGGTGTGGCAGCCAGCAGGGCTCGGTCCCCACCGAGGGAGAGGTCTTTTGCTACAGCTCTGGGGACCGGAAGCGGCGCGCCCAGTGACGTAGGAGCCAGAGCCAGAGCCCGCCGGGCCGCCCCCTGCCCCACCTGGGCTGCCGCTTCCGTTGTCCCCAGATTCCCACCCCTCGTCGCGGCACAGTGCAGACTTATCAAACTGAGATAGTGATCTTAAAATGCCTAAGGTCTTGCCAACTGGCTCTCCAAAGAACAAAATCACATTCCCGCCCAGCGCAGTAGCATAGAAGACGCTCATCTGGACTGAATATATCAAAACAGAAAACCATTACAGATAATCACTAAAATGCAAAAACAAGCATAAAGTTGTTTCACTTTTCAGGTTGGTAATTTAGAATGTTCAGGTTTGGCAATCAGCGCTGTCAAAATGTGGCAGTATCACAGGAATTTAGTTCTGAAAATACTCAAGGAAGGTGCTAGGGCAAACTGTTCGAGGTAGAGCACCAGAGACAGTGAGCAAACAGACACAGTTTGTTGGAACTAAACAGACACAGATCCTGGGGGAACTGTCAAGAGGCAGGAATGAAGAGGTTGCTAGGAGGTGGCTGAAAAGGGCCAGCTTAATGACAGCAAATGCATGACTTCTGGAGTTAGCTGTGTTGGAATCACAGCTCTACTATGGGCTGTGTAGTTGAGAGAATTTTAAAAAGGAAGAAACATCTTGGGCTGTTTGTAGGGGTAAAATAAGGATGAAGTGAAACAACTGTTACAGCCCAACCAGGTTCACTGCCTACTGCTCAGGAGGAAGCCAATACACTGAGACAGCAGTGATGACAGCGGAGAGAAAAGTTTAACATCACAGGCACCAACTTCGCTCATTTTGCCAATATTCCACTACAGTAAGTTAATTTCAAGCAAGGGCAGGCTCTACATGGAATTTTGCCAGTACCGTATGAGTAAAAACGTTTTGAGGAAGGGTAAAGCAGTTCCAGGGCATGCTCTACTTGCTATGATTCTTTTCTCCTGTGCCCTTTGGGGCGCTAATTGGGTAACAGGTTTCTGTTGTTTTTGGACCTCACAGGTGAAGATGTGCAAAAACCAAAAAGGCATACAGCCTGGTGAGCCACAACCGACACTTCATCAAATCAGAAGCAACCCACGGAATATTTGCCAGATAATTTATATTGTTTCACAGGGCTAAAGGCTAGTGAATTTTCTAAAAAAGTTTAAAGAGATTAAAAAGTAAATAACCCAAGGGGCATGACCGTATATTATAAACTTCACTTGAGTAAACAAACCAACACCCCCAAACCCCGAACTCACTTGTGTAATCGTATACATTATAGAAATTCCGTTAAGATACACACAAAACTAAATGTGGCTGCTTCTGGTGAGGGGCTCTAGAAGGCTGGGGTGGGGGAAGACTTCCTTTTTGTGTACTTTATCCTCTGAAATTATTTCCCATATACATGTTTTCCTTTTAAAACTGTACTTCAGACAAACAAGAAAGGCAATAACATAACAAGCACTTAGATTCCCACCCCAGGGCTTAAGAAAAAAAACAATTAAAGATTCAATTGAAAGCCTCTGCATATTCATCCCAGGAGACAGCAACTATCCTGAACTTGGTGTTTTCCTTCCTGTACAAACTTTTAGCATGTGGTACTTTCTCTATTAAACAAACCTTACAACTAAACACCAGGATTCTAGACTCTGCGTCCTCTGCCCCCAGTATATACCTGCTCAATGTGACATTCCCGCCAAGAAGGAACCTGGTTTCCACGATGGGGCATGGAGAGAAGAGTGTTAGGGGAATAAGCACACAGGGATTTGAATTCAGCCTCCTGCATTTACTCCCAGGTGACCTTAGGCAGGTTCGGGTTCCTCTGAAACCAAGTTAAGTACCCACTTCACAGCTGTAAGGTTCTACGGGATCACTAGACTGGCCTATGGCGAAGGCTCCATAAATGCCACCTATTATTATTATTCCTCTCCCCAAGGGTAGGGGCGAGGAAGACAACGAAATGTGGGGTCGTTAATACCCTCACAGATACTCACGGCGCCCACAGGCAGGGCAAGAGGAAATCGCCCCAGGGCGCGGCGGGGGACACGGCCAGCAGCCCCGGCCATCGCGGCTCAGCATGGCGGTTACTCACCTCCAACCGCCAGCCGGGCCCAGCCCCAGCGTTGAGCGCGGAGGCCTGGGAGCCGCTGCCGCCAGCCAATCAGCTGCGCGGACGCTACAGCCCCTGGGCATGCGCCCCAGCGACTCTGGGGGGCCAAAGACCAGCGCTAGTCTCCAGCGGAGGGCGCCTTTGTTTATTGAGCTTTGTCATTTCTTGCTGAGAGTCTGCCCTCCAGGCAGGACTGGGACCTCCTTGAGGGCAGGGCAGTGTCAGCTTTTCTTAATGTTGGTCGTCAGGGACTAACAAGTAGTCACGCATTTGGTGAGCTATGAGATGAGGCATTCCTTTTATCTGCATCTGAATAGGTTCAGAGGCCGCATCCTTGTGTCTAGGCCCTAGGTATAACAAGTGTAATCTCTCAGGAGCATGGATATCACCTGTAAGGCTATTAGAACTGCGGGATCTCAGGTCCCACTCCAGGTCTATTAAGTCAGCATCAGCATTTTAAGATCCTGCGTGACACCTATAGCACCCTATGGTCTGGAAAGCACTACATTAGGCAAAAAATGATACTGATATGCTCAATTGAAATGTTCCCTTAGAGGCTCTCAAAACAAGTATTCAGCCATCCCTATTTGACCTTGTAGGAAATAAATTAGCATTCTAAGCCTATATTATTGATGCTAAAAGTAGGAAAGGTGCCATGGCAGAGTTAGAATCTAAAACTACATCCTGGCGGGCCGCGGTGGCTCACGCCTGTAATCCTAGCACTCTGGGAGGCCGAGGCGGGCGGATTGCTCAAGGTCAGGAGTTTGAAACCAGCCTGAGCAAGAGCGAGACCCATCTCTACTATAAATAGAAAGAAATTCATTGGCCAACTAATATATATACAAAAAAAGTTACGCTGTATATTATCATATATATATATTGTAGCAAACAAAACAGAACATGGAAACATGAATGCCCACAATTAGAAACAATCACTTCTATAGACGGGGAATAACACCGAAGGAAATGAAAACTAACATATGCAACATATGATGAATTAGAAAAATGCTTTATGAATATAAGATCAGAAGACACACAAATCTTTTTGTAAAGTTCAAACATAAGTAGAAGTCAATGTTCTTGCATATATTGTAATGATCAAATTCTTTTAAGCAGGGGAAACTGGATGATGGAAAACATTCTGGAAATGGGTGGTGCTGATGGCTGCACAACATTGTCCGTGTACTTAATGCTGCTCAATCGTGCACCGGAAAATGCTAAATTGAGAATTGTATGTTGTTGCCACAAGTTTTAGAAAAGCAAGGAAGGATAAAATAAATCAAGATATCAACAGTAACTAAACTATCATCAGAGTCCATTCTCGGCTGGGCAGGGTTCACAGGTGTTTGTCACTTTATGGCCCGCTAGAGGGGGCAGGTGGGCACACAGTGACTCTTCCTGTGCGATTTGTGGATTATGGACTCGTTCAATTCCACTGGTTGCAGGTCCATTTTTAAAAGGAAAGCTCTCTGGACCCCAATTTTGGGCAGAGATTTAATGGACCCTAGGCAGGTAGTGAAAGCCGTAGGCGATCTCTTAGCTATCAGCTGGGCGTCAGGCTGTCTGGTCCCTGGCGGGTTGTCGCTGGCGTGTCCAGAGGGAACACGCAGGCCCCTCCCCATCCCTCCACCCTCGGGACCCCCCCCCTGCCGTTCCCCATGTCGTTTGCAAGGCGATCTGGGCACGCTGTCTCTTGTCCTCGGTGCCACACGGAGCCCAGCCACCCGGCCCGTCCACTCAAGGGGCACGCCGGGAGCAGTTCCGGCCGCTGCCGAACCGGTCCTGCAGCCCGCCCAGCTCCGGCCTGTGGGCTCAGGCGGAAAAGGGGCTCGCGCACCACACTGGAACAAAGACGCCTGACAGGGTCCGCACAGGAAGTAAGGACGTGCTGACGAGCTGGCTATGGTCACCCTTTGGTTCTTATGACTGGATACCTACATGGCCTTTTAAACAAGGTGACACCCAGGGGCTCGGTGGTAGCGAGTGTCACTTGAAAGGCCTGCTGGGCGCGATGCGACTGGATGTCCCGGCTGGGATCTGATCGTGGCTGGTGCAGTCTAGGCCACATACTTGTCGAGCTGCCACCAAACGACGTTGGCTGCTTGTGGTGTGTAGAGCACCTAAGTTCCGACTGAACAAAGGAGTTCCTAAAGCATAAACTGTTTTACTGCGGTGGGTCTGTATGCCCTGCTTCTTGCCAGGTTAATCGAAGAAATACTACTTTTCATGTCAGGGTTAGTAGTAATTTTTTGTTTCCTCATCCAAATTTATATAAACACTAATTATTACCTTTGGACCTCGGTTAGACCCTTCATTATTACAGATCACACATGTTAACTGATTTTTCTCTCTTCCATTTTTTCTCCCCCTCCCTCTCTGTTCTGTCTTTTTCTTAATGGACAGAGGCTGTTCTTATCCATCTCTGAATTTTCTACGGTCCTAAACATTGGTGCCACAATTTTCAAAGGTACAAACGTGGAAATAATTCCTTTTTTGCCTGTATTAAAGGGCAACATGAATTTATGCATACTTATCACTCTGTTTTTCTGGTTTTCAGTACCAAAGGCCAGCAATTGTACTTAAAAGAAGCAAATTACATACTTAATCAATACATCTTAGGCGGCGGATGGGTGGTCACGCCTATAATCCTACCACTCTGGGAGGCGAGGCAGGAGGATCGTTTGGAGCAGGAGTTCGGACCAGCCTAAGCATGAGTGGAGGATGCTGCTACTTTTTTTCTACTAACAGTAGAAGAAATTTAGCTGGACAACTAAATAATAAAGTATACTATATAAGTGTATTATACTATATAATTTAGCGTCATTGGTTCACATGCCTGGTAGTTCCCAGTACTCAGGGGGCTAAGGCAGGAGATCGCTGGGAGTTCAGGGGGGAGTTTGAGGGTGAGCCGAGTTTGGAGTTGGACTGTGAGCCAGGCTGATGACATGGCACTCTAGCCCGGGCAACAGAGTGAGCTTGTGGGTCATAATACACAATACGTCTAATTCTTATCCAGTAAATTGCTGGAACGGCAACACCACTTTACTACATATTTATTTCCCTTCGAATCTGTAAAGCGAGGACGTAACTTCTAACATCGTTATCTCAACTCTAAAATGGATGACCATCTGCCTTTACTTCCATTTATAAATATAAAGAGAAAAATTATTTGGGAATACAACATTTCTGTATTATAGTGACTATTTCACACTTTGGCTATTTTTTAAGTTGCATTTAAGCACTGATTTATTATTTCAAGAAACTTGGCATGCTTTCAAAGAAGTCTTTGGAAAGCTCTCTATTCCTATTTATAAAACAACTCACACTTTATTGGCTACAATCATTAGGTAATCAAGATTACATATTTGAAAACTGTCACTACTTAAGATTTAATTTACTGAAATGTAGGCCAGCACGGTGGTCATGCTGGTAAATCCTAGCACTTCCAGGAGGCCAAGGAGGCAGATGGCTCAAAGTCAGGCGTTTGAACTAGCGAGCAAGAGTGAGACCGTTTCACCGGTAAATAGAAGAATTAATTGCCAACTAAATATATATGAAAAATTCAGCGGGCAATGGTAGGCACATGTCCTGTAGTCCCAGCTACTGGGGGAGGACTAGGCAGAGGATTTGCGTTGACCCAGGAGTTTGAGGTTGCTGTGAGCTAGGCTGACGCACTGGCTCTAGCCAGGAAGAGTGGACTGTCTCAGACTGGAATTTAAATAAGATAGAGATATTTAACCAATGATAACTTTCTTTTGAAAAACATTAATAATTCCATATTGGTAATGACATACCAATTGTTTATCTTATCAATAAAGATAAACAGGCGATCTGACTTCACTCGCTAATTATAAATTCTTTCTCTATAATCTTCAAAAAATTCAATTACAAGGAAACTGCATTAGAAATTGGTTTACAGGAATCAGTGTACTATGTTGCCAGGAACTGTTTTCTAGGTGCTGGATAACATTACATTGTGTAAGAGGGTGGAAGTGTGGGAGACAGAGTAACACTAATAAAATTTTCAATGTGTCATGACTTGTTTTGGGAGAACTAGGGAAATCTGCAGTGACCTGGGCAGAAAGGGAGTCAGTGGAGAACACAATTTCAGAGAGTGACTACTTTTTGCTTTTAAACAATTACTGCCCATTCACTGAAAAATGATTTCTGATGTGCTATACACTGTGCCAAGTGCAATATTTAAGCGGGGAACGGCAGACAACGGTCGCAGTTCTAAGCAGTGCAAGCGCTAGGGGGGCTGACGCCCACCTACAATGGGGGCTGGGCATCGGCGCTGCGAAGGCCCCCACGGCTGGTCGCGCCCACTACCCACCCTGGTCCCGGCGCCCGGCTACGGCACGCCGCGGGCTCCGGAGGGCGGGCGGGCACGAGCCGCTTGGGCCCGAGGTGCTGTGGGCGCCGGCCCGCGCCCCGCGGCCCAACTGATTAACCAGGCGAAGTTTTAAGCGATGCTGGAGTTGCGGTCTGCTTCGTCTTGGGTCAGTGACGCGCGGACGAGCTCGCGCACATCGGCTCCTGCTCCCTGTCAGCGTCCAGGACCGGCCCGGTCTCATGCCTCGCGCTCGGCCAAGCGCGCTCGCCACTGCCAGCTTTGTCCGGAAGTTCGGTCCGCGGCGCTGGCTTCCGCGATTTTCGGCAGTTCTCGCGAGAGTCGTGCTCCCTCTGTTGGTCTGGCCCCTTTGTTGTTGGCTTAGGATGTGCTTTTTTTGTCGAGCGACAGTAATTTGACAGTGTCTCTCGATTACGTTGTATTATTAATCAATTAATACTGGTCTTGGCTTATCTTGGTTTGACGATTTAAGTCTGATGAGTTTTGAGAGGCGCGTCTATTCTCCAAGTTCTATGTCAGGTTCGCACTGATTCTCAGGTTTTGATTGGATGGTTAGTTATGCCTCAGTTGCGTCACTTCTGAGTGATGTTCTCACTTCTCTCAGTGCCCTCCAGCCACCACAGGCGCAACTGCACACGCAGGTGTTGGCAAAACACACGGCCTGGAGTGCTGAGCTCGCTCCTGCTAGCCGCCTATTGAGGTGGCGGAGGCAGACATCGTAATCTAGCTGCAAAATGAGGAGAATCGTCTTTGTTGTTTGTATAAACTGTACCTCTTAATAATAATTTTTCTGTAACTTGCTCTAAAACAACAGTCAAACCCACTAACATATACTTTTTAATTAAATTTCTTTTAGACTTACTGGTTTTCATGGTGGTTTTGTATTAGCATTGCAGTACTGTACTAATAATTGTACACTAAAACATCGAATGCACCATGATGCACAAGATCCCATAAGAAGAGAAAATCATAGCGGTGAAATGATGCCACAGAAAGTAAGTATCATGCTCTTACCTGGGAAACCTTTTCTACTCCACTTTCAACTATCTGTGTATACTAGTAATTCTTAAATCTGTATTGTTGCGTCATATTTTTCTTGACACCTGCAACTCATTTCTAATTGCTGTTGTACATCTCCAAGAATTAAAGTGATGTATATATTGTATATAAGTATATTGTGTTTATTGTCTGTTTCATCCACAGGGATGGTCAGCTCCGATTTTAAGTCTGCTCGTTCTAACTGAGCACATGTAATATACCTGGATCATAGCTGAGATCACTAAATAACTAATGAAGAATAATGGGCAGACGCACCCCACTCCCACCTCCCAAGGCACCCCCAGGCCCTCTGCCTGCCAGGCCCCGGCTGGCCACATGCCCCCACATCCCTCCTCACTCTGCAGCCCCAGGAAGGAATGGCCAGGGCCAAGGTTACCGCGGGGTCCACGTACTTTAGGATGGAGAGGCTGGCCCGCCAAGCCACGGGCTAGTCAACAAAGCCTAGTGTGATCACAGAAGATGGGAACCGACCTCACGTCCAGCAACAGGGGACCAGAATAAGACACGCTGGCACCACCACGGACGACTTAAGTGCCAACGGAGGAAGGGCGGGAGAGCCAGGAATAACAACACAAGCGGCTTTATGAAGGACTCTGCACGTAGTCCGCCTTCTGTCAAGGGCTCTGCAGGTATGAACTCACTTAATCCTACGTCACTCCTAGAAGGGAACAATATCATTCCTTTAAAATGAGCAAACTGAGGCACTAAGAGGTGAAGTCCCTGGTCCACGGTCCATGGCTAATAGCGGCAGAGCTGGGGTTGGGCGCAAGGCCACGGACGCCAGAGCCACGCCTGGACCCAGTCGCCCCGCTTCTCCGCTTGGCCACGGGTCCCTCTGCAGGAGCTTCCTGGGACCCAGGAGAGAAGGGAAGCCGCAGCGGCCGTCAGCACCCAGCCCTCCCCGGCCGGGCGAGCAGGTGCCATCAGGACAGGCTCAGCCGGAGCCTGCATCGGCGACACCCGGATCACTCAGGCGCCGCGGCAGCCGACTTCCCCGCAGTCCATCACGGCCCAGCCCACCGACCGCTTTTATAGCCTTCCCTGGAGTCATGACAAGGACGACTAGACGATCGCAGGGCCCCTTTCATCACTAACAGCCGGGTTTCGTGGCTGGGGGTGGAGGAAGGAAAAGGAACATCACTGTTTCCCCCGCTTTGAGCTAATCAACAGAACTGGGGGCTGGGCGGCCAGCACGTCGGCGCTGAGAAAAGCTGTTCTCAAGCGGAACTAATTGGCAACAGAAATGGAATTTTCTCCCCCCAGAAAACATAAACATGCTTTATCCCAGGGACTTGCCTTCCGAATAGGTATTCCAGACATGTCGTGTGCAGCCACCCGTGCGCGGCCGGCAGTCTCGGCCCGACTGGGCCAGAGGGTGGCTGTGCCGGTCACCACTCCACCAGGTCGGCCTCTTTTGCAGCAAGAGGGTCAGGAAGGGCAGTGGCCCAACCCGCCCAGCCTGCCCGGAGGGTCCTTTGCTTTCCCGCCACTCGTCCTCTTCCTGGGAACGGCCTTGGGCTTTGGGGTCCCCACACTCTGGTTTGCAGACACTGGCTTGAGCGGAACTAACCCCCTCCGCTCCGGGGATGCGCCCGACAGGCTTAAGCCCATGAGCACGTTCCAGTGGGTGCTCACACAGCAGCCTGGCGGGGGGTCCAGGATTTGAATCCAAGTCCGAAGGGCTGAGGAGTTGGTCGGGCTTAACTGCTCAGACCCGCCAAGAGGCAGCATCAACTCTGGAGGAAACGGAATAGTGGGATTCAAACCCAGTGCTGCCGTCTACTACCTGTGTGATGTCTGGCAAGTGACATAGCCTCTCTGTTCCTCGGTTTCTATGTCTGTGAAGCAGGGCCCGCAGGTGCACCTCCGTGTGCAGGATCTGAGGGGTAGAGGACGCAGCAGCGGGCGGGTACGGTGCGTAGAGCAGGGCCTGCCGAGGAGCGAGGACTCGCCCCGGCCCGCCACGGTTGGCCACACGTGGCGAGCATCAGCCTAAACAAAGGCAGGTGTGGGAAGGGACGGTTGACGCTCTCGGGTCTTCAACCCCCGCCCCACGTGTTCCTTCCTAGGGCACAGCTGTCAGGCTTGGGTCCCCTCCAGGAGCGGCTGTACCACAAAGATGCGGGACGTCACGAGCACGCCGCCGGAGCAAGGCTCTTGGACGTTCCCAGACCTGGAAGCACACGCTTAATGGCAGCAGGTCTGTCCCTGACGGTGGCCAAGACCAAGCGGAAATTCCACACGTCCGAGCAGCAAAAAGGGAGACATCCGACAGATGCCACGTGGTGGGGGGTGGCGTGTGAACGAGCCATTGGAAAATAATTCTGCATATTGCCTCATAGCCCATGTGAGCCAGCAAGTCTGCGCCTGGGTCCACACCTGAGACTCACTGCTGCATGCGTGCTCTAGGGCAGGTGCAAGGACACTCAAAGCCGTAGTGTTTATGATAGCAAACCTGGCCGGCGCCGCGGTGGCTCACCCTCTAATCCTAGCACTCTGGTGAGGCTGAGGTGGGAGGCTCACTTGATTTCGGGAGTTCGAGACCAGCCTGAGCAAGAACAAGACCCAATCTCTACTAAAAATAGAAAAATTTGCCAGGCACTATGGCATGTGCCTATAGTCTCAGCTACTGGGGAGGCTGAGGCAGGAGGATCGCTTGAGCCCAGGAGTTTGTTGTGATTGTGGTAAGCTATAATGACACCACTACGCTCTACCCAGGGCAACAGAGCAAGACTGTCTCAAAAAAGAAGCCAACTAATATATATACAAAAAATTATCCGGGCATGGTGGTGCATGCCTGTAGTCCCAGCTACTTGGGAGGCTGAGGCAGTAGGATCGCTTGAGCCCGGGAGTTTGATGTTGCTGTGAGCTAGGCTGACGCCATGGCACTCACTCTAGCCTGGGCAACAAAGCGAGACTCTTGTTTCAAAAAATAAATAAATAAATAAAACTACATCCTCCTTAACTATGTTAGTTGTACTATCTTGAGCCTCTTTATCTTCTTCATATCCTAAGATGATGCTCAACAAATATTCTTTTGGAGAGCAAGTCGTGTGTATTGCACTCACTCCCACCTATAGGCCTATTTGCTTAGCCTAGAATAAATTAAGAACTTGTCATAAGTTTCCTAAAATACACAGTTTGTATCTTGCATTAAGATTGCTTTCTTTCTAGCATCTAGTTGACATTATTTACAAGAGAAAAATATCAACGGATAATTGTAGAAGAATGTGACTTTTAGGCCTCAATTACAAATTCTCTTTAATGTGCAATCTAGCGAGATCTGTCTCTCAAAACTTACCTTGTGCAACATAGTTTTATTTTATTTTTTCTGAGGGAGTGTCTCTCAATGTTGCCCAGACTGTACTCCAACTCCTGGGATCAAGCGATCTTCCTACCTCAGCCTTCCAAGTAACTGGACTGCAGGTACCCCTCACTGCACCCCACTACACGTAAATATTAACTATTATTTTTCAAAGGCAAATGTAAGACCAGAGCCAATCCTGTTGTGTCTCAACTACTGTTATATTTCTTCTATACCAAATAGAAGGCTTGCTAAGGGAAGGTGTATCCATGAGCACAGTTAAGTCAGTATCTTTGAGGTCTGCATGTCATTCTACAACTAAAATGAAAAGAAGTATACCACGACCCGTGACCACTACCAAACACGTGCTACCTTTTCCCCTCGTTAACTATGTCAACTCAAATATTAGGACGTAGCATATAGAAACTACTCCAGGAGCCCGCGGCCAACCCTATCACGTGATGCACCAGATCTCATCTTTCTTCGCCATTGCATCAGCCAATTTAGAGCCGCCTTCCCAGAAACCAGCTAATGAGCTGATTCGTGCTCATTTTGATTGGCATGTATAATCGATGTATATTGGCCAATAATAGCTCGTGGGGTAGGCGCAGCCGGGCACTTTCCAGCGGCGCGCTCTGATTGGACGGGGCGGGGCAGGTTGCGGCCGGCTGTGGCCTGGGGCCGGTATTGCTGCGTCTCTACGAGAGCAGGTAACCGCGGGCGCGGGGAGGTGGGCTCTGAGGGAGGAGGTCGGGATGGTGATCCTGGGGAGAGTCAGGCAGCCCTCCTACAGCTCTGTCGCGCTGTGGAAGAGTCTGGACCTGGGATCTGGGGGCAAGGATCGGCTGTGGCAGCGGGCTCCTGGGCCAGGCCCCGCGTGGCCTTGAGAACCCGAGCCTTGGCTGGAGCGGGAGCCGGACAGTGGCCTTTTGTCAGCCCCCTGGCGCCGCGCTGGAGGTAGAGTGGCCTTGGGGACTTGCAGAAGCCGGAGACCTTGGGGGAGGGAGGGTTATGGTTGCCATCGTGTATCCACCCCAAGTTGAGGTTTTATCTCTCTTGGTTTTAATGTCCAAGGGGCGGGAGGGGGCATAGGAGATGAGGGTGGAGTTCCGCAGTGAGCCATTTCTCTAATTTCTTAAAATTAATTAAGTAGCTGATACCAGTCCAGGCCCACCTGGACCATCATGTTCAGCAATTTACTCTTTCAGACAGTCTGCCTTTCTCGGGTGCTTTGAAATGTGTTCGTTAATTCAGACCTTGCTGTTAAAGGATTAGCATACCTAATCATGAAATATGTATTTAGCAACGACTGTTCTGGATGCTGAGGTTATACCGTAAGATGCTGAGGTTATACCGTAATGGTGAGCCCAAAACAGTCATGATTCCCACTGAGTTGGAACTTACGGTCTGATGAGATAGACGTTAAAGAAGTGATCAAATGCATGTAGAAATTATCAAGGGAGACACTTGGGGCTATGAGATAGTAGAAGAGGAGGAGCCTGATCAAGAAGGGGAAGCCTTCTGTAGATATGTTTCTATGGAATCGAGATATCAAAAATGAGAAATTAACTAGGAAAAGGGAAAGTGGGGGTGGGGCAGACAGCTTGTCTGACACATGAAAAATGTCTTAAAAGGTCCTGTGGCTGGAGCCACAACGTGATTTAAGGTGCCCAAGACCTTTATAGCTCCTGCTGGGAAGTGGAATCTGAGGTCCTGCCTTTGTGCCATCTCTGTATCCCATGCAGCCTTCCAGTATGTTTATATTGAATGAATGAATGAGTGGAGGAGGGGACACAGGTTTTAATAGTCCCAGCCTCCATAGGGTTTATAGTTAATATATTAGATCCTTTTACACAGCTCTCTCTATATATGATGGTCTCCCTGTGAAGGTCATAAAGACTCTCATTCATCTTGATTCCCAGCACATAGTATGCATTCATTATGTTGAATGAATAAACAAAAATGAGAAATTCCTGTAACTGCTTATTTACCTCAGGTAGCCCATCTAAAGGAGGAGCAATGAACTCTGAAACAGCTATGATCTTGCTGCAAAGTGTTAGGATTACCACTGTAAATTCATTTTGGCCACCGTTGTTAAGATTTATTGAGAGCCATGAGGAAGAATGTGGTGTGACGACCTTTCTAAAAACCTGAGCCTTGACTCTTAGCATGGACAGCAAGTCTCCATCTGTGGGAATTGTGGTCAGCTCATTGGCTGTCAGCCAGTGTTTCACCATCTTTTTGCCCAAAGGGCTTTTGTTTGAGTAATGAATTGATTGTGTGGTGAATAAATCAATTGAAATTGTGGTTAAACATAAATCTGAGAGTCAAGGTCTCATGTTGTCTGCTGTGTTCATCTTTACTATATCTTCCTCATAAGAAAAAACTTTTAAGCCAATCAACTTAATATTATATTATCCATTCTGTTCCTTTACAGCTTTCCAGTTTACAGATTGCTTCCAAATACAGGATGGCTTTTTTTTTTTTTTTAAGAGACAGGGGTCTCACTATGTTGCCCAGGCTGGTCTTGAACTCCTAAACTGGCCTCAAGCCATCCCCCCACCTCAGCCTCCAAAAGTGCTGGGATTACACATGGGAGCCACTAAGCCCAGTGTGTCCTTTTCTAATTCCTGGCCTTGGGCCGGCACAGAGTAGATATTTAATGCATATTTGTCTAATGAATGAAAACATGAATAAACAACTTTTGCTCTGCTTGGTGTGTTGAACCTGTTGAGGTTGGCATGGGAAGGAAGAACGGATGGGGCTGCTATCTGCTGGTGCAGCAATATTTGCTTTGATTTTATCCTTGGACATTACTACATAGAGGTTTTAGGATCAAACAGCTTCCTGGTGTCCTGCTATGACTTGGCTTGAGAAGCCAAGAGTCTTGTTTAGTGTGTACTTATCTTTTAGTTTCAGTTCCTCTAATTTTCCTTCATGTTTTACTTTGGTTAGTTCTCTGGGGTGACTTTCAAGATGGACTCGACCCTAACAGCAAGTGAAATCCGACAGCGATTTATAGACTTCTTCAAGAGAAATGAGCACACCTATGTTCACTCATCTGCTACCATCCCGTTGGATGATCCCACTTTGCTCTTTGCCAATGCAGGCATGAACCAGGTAAGGGTTTTTTCCTTTCCTCCTGGCTGTTTGTGCACATAAGAGGCAGCAGAGCAGTGATTAAAACACAGTCCCTAGAGTCAGGCAGAGTTCAGGTTCTGTCCTTTACTGTGTCATCGTGGAGAATTTTCTTTGTGTTGTGAACCTCAGTTTCTTTGACTGTGAAATGAGGAGTAATATTACCTGCCTATAGGTTGCAGTGAGGAGTGAATAAAGTAATAACATACAAAATGTTTAGCACAGTATTTTGTACAGGGTAGACATTCAAATATTAGGTATTATTTTTAATTATTATAATGGAAGACCTCAAATACCTGTGGATAAGACTTGTCTGCCTCTCAGGAAAAATACAGCCTGCTGGCCCGTTTGTGAAGTTTTGTCTTTTTCTACTCCTGGGGGAAAAAGCTGTGTTTTATTAGAATCAGAGGCCGAATTCATCTTGCTGAGCCCTGAAAAAAGACTTGTTAATTCAGCTATCATGATTCTTTTTCATCTTGTCATTGTCCTTGTATTTTTCTGTATAAAATAAGTTGGTTGTTCAGGATTCTTTCAGAGCTTTGCTTTCATTTCCTTTCTAGGCTGTGCACAGTTTCGTTGATTTTATTTTTTAACTTCCTTTCTTTCTGTCTGTATTTATTTCTTTTTTAAGAAATAGGGTCTTTGCTATGTTGCCTGGGCTGGAGAGCAGTGGCTATCCACAGGCAAGATCATGGCACACTGTAGCCTTAAACTCCTGGGCTCAAGTGCTCCTCCTGCCTTGGCCCTGGAGTAGCTGGGACTATGGGTATACACCACTGTGTCTGTCCCTTTCTCTAAACTATTGCCACCAGTTCCAATCCATTGCTGAAGAAACTTTATTAGTAAGTTTTGTGTTAGGAGCAGTTGAACTATAAAGGATATTGTGAAAGTTTTATTGATAGAGAAAAGGGGTTTGTTTCTCTTATAATAATGGAAGCATCATACATTTATAAAGCAGTTTAAGAGGAGTTTTTCATTGTGTCTGAGATGGTGAAAAATACTTACGAGGTTGATCCTTGACAAAGTGGGTTCAGGTTGGATGGCGCTCTCAGGGTTTCCTACGATGGTTTTCTTGGAGCCTGCATAGCCCAGTGGACCTGCCAGCCCTTACTCTGGGATAAGATGACATTTTTTTCCTCTCAGATGTCTTTTCTGGCCTGGAAAGTTAGAAATGGTGGGAACATTTTCTACCTTATGTAACACTGACTATAAAATTATGAAAAGTGTTTTCCATTATGTGTGAGTTCTGTGCATACACCGTAACTTTTTTTAAAAACAATTTGAAATGGTATTTATTAGGCACTTGCTCTTTTTTAGGTGCTATACTAGGTGCTAGGCATTCAGAGATAAGTGAGATAGTTCTTGCTTTTAAGGAGTTCATGATCTAGCTCACAACTGTCCAGTAGAACTTCTTGTACTGATGGAAATGTGTTTTTTTGTTGTTGTTGTTGTTGTTGTTTGTTTTTGAGACAGAGTGGCTAGAGTGCCATGCCGTCAGCCTAGAATTTCTTTCTACTTTTAGTAGAGAGGGGGTCTCACTCTTGCTCAGGCTGGTTTCAAACTCCTGACCTTGAGTGATCCTCCCGCCTCGGCCTCCCAGAGTCCTAGGATTACAGGCATGAACCACCTCATCCGGCCTGGAAACGTTTTTTATCTTTTCTGCCCAACGTGGTAGCCATAAGTCACATGTGATTATTGCTTTAGTGTGACCAAGGAACAGAATTTTTAATTATTTAAAATATTACTGATTATTTAATTTTACATGGTCACAAGGGTCTGGTTACCAAATTGGACAGTACTGAATCAGACAGGTCTAGTAGTAAAAATAAGGCAAAGTGACACAAATAGCAATGATACATCAAAGTATGACTTGATAAATCTTCACAGTGAGGTCATTATATCTCCCAATACATCCAATCATTCAGCAATGTTGTGCTGATTTTACTCCCTTGATATGTCTTAAATTTTTTTCTTCCTTGTCACCTTGCTACCAAGCAAGCATATCAATTTTTTTTTTAATTTTTTAATTTTTTTTTATTTTGGCATATTATGGGGGTACAGATTTTAAGGTTTCAATAAATGCCCATTTCCCCCCCTCCCCCCAAAAGTCTGAGTCTCCATATTGACCATCCCCCAGATGGTGGACATCTCACTCATTATGTATGTATATACCCGCCCCCCTCCCACCTCCCCAATACCCTATTACTGTAGCACCTATGTGTCCACTTAGGTGCTACTCAGTTAATACCAGTTTGCTGGAGAATATATCTGGTGCTTGTTTTTCCATTCTTGGGATACTTCACTTAGTAGTATGGGTTCCAGCAAGCATATCAATTTTTAGAATAAGTTCTTCCTGAACAGCAGAGACTTGTGAAGAAGCACAGGTTTCACGGCGTCAGCCTTTGGCTCTTAGATCTGGTGGGCCTTTTCCCTGTGGTGTCACTGGCAGTGGTGGGGACTGTTAGGAAACTAGGTCCAAGGAAAACCTGCTTCAAGATAGGATGCCTCTTCTGTGGCTTGGTCAGGCCACCTGCTTCTGACAAGTGTCTGCAATCCAGGTTGGTTAAATCACGAATTGCAGTTTGTATGTTGTCTCTTCCTGCCAGTGTGTGGCCACCTGATGTAACCCATAGCTCTTTAAAAGTTGAACTGTTCTTCTTTTTTTAGTTCAAACCCATCTTCCTGAACACTATTGACCCCTCTCACCCTATGGCAAAGCTGAGCAGAGCTGCCAATACCCAGAAATGCATCCGGGCTGGAGGCAAACACAATGACCTGGACGACGTGGGCAAGGACGTCTATCATCACACGTTCTTTGAGATGTTGGGCTCTTGGTCTTTTGGAGATTACTTCAAGGTGAGCTCAGAGCAGGGGAACTGTTGGGGTTTTGAATAAAGTAATCATTTCCATGGAGAGAAGTACGTTCTAATTTTGCTTATTTTAAAATATAAAATATGATCACCTGGGAGATTCAGGAATGAAGGGCATTTATTCTAAGACTTCCTGGAAATAGTACCTGGGATTTGATGATTTCAGTTTATATTTGGATTTCTCATATAAATTGATCCTGAATTTAGTTAAGTCTATAGTGAGGATATTGTCGTATGTTTATCTGTGTTCCTAGAATCTGGTCTTTTTCTACTCATACTAACTAGATTTTGGTTGGGCCATGTTCTGTATCATCCTTTTTGTAGGAATTGGCTTGTAAGATGGCTCTGGAACTTCTCACCCAAGAGTTTGGCATTCCAGTTGAAAGACTTTATGTAACTTACTTTGGTGGGGATGAAGCAGCTGGCTTAGAACCAGATCTGGAGTGCAAACAGATCTGGCAAAATTTGGGGTAAGAATGCAACTTACTTGTTGAGATAGAGAGGAATAAAACGATTCCTAACCTCAGTGTAAGAGTGAGGTCTCAACTGACCTGAAGTGCATCACCATTACCCATTTTGGGGAGTGCATTTTGAGCTGCAGTGGAGTTATGTGGGAGTAATTATCTTTAGATCATTAATTGCTCCTTTGATCATTCTGTTGAAAGCTGGCATGAGTCTCTCATTTTTTGCTTCTTATGTATTTTTTAAAATTGTGCATATAATACATGTTATAAAAATTTAAATTGTATAGATATGTGGAAAATAGGAAATGGAAGGTCCCTAAGATTAATCATCATTAATAGTTTGATACCCCATATATAGTTTTCTAGGCCTTGTTCATATTTCTGTAACCTTGTGTCTATGTGTGTATTTTTTTAATGAAGTGGTATCCTTCATATGAAACAGTTTATTTCTTTTTTTTTTTTTTTTTTTTTGAGACAGAGTCTCGCTTTGTTGCCCGGGCTAGAGTGAGTGCCGTGGCGTCAGCCTAGCTCACAGCAACCTCAAACTCCTGGGCTCGAGTGATCCTTCTGCCTCAGCCTCCCGGGTAGCTGGGACTACAGGCATGCGCCACCATGCCCGGCTAATTTTATATATATATATCAGTTGGCCAATTAATTTGTTTCTATTTATAGTAGAGACGGGGTCTCGCTCAGGCTGGTTTTGAACTCCTGACCTTGAGCAATCCGCCCGCCTCGGCCTCCCAAGAGCTAGGATTACAGGCGTGAGCCACAGCGCCCGGCCTGAAACAGTTTATTTCTTATGGAAATGTAATAGCATCAAACAGGACTAGGAAAAAAAGAAATTTTTTTAACATAATATTCTAAGATATAATCTAGCACAATAGATGAGTTATATGTGTTCTGTGCTATGACCTTAATAGAATTCATGACATGCTACATCAAGGGGAATCTGAATGGGGCTGGTGTACCCCTACAGACAGCTGGGCTGCCCTTGCTATCTTTGTCTTTAATTTTCTTGTCCTTTAGTGCATAGTTTCTTACTGTACTTGGAAGCAGGGCTGCTTCTCTGTTGCTGTTTCTTTTTAAATTACTTCTACTCTAGGTATATTATTCTAATCCAGCTTCCCCTTTTACTTGGTCTAAAATTCCTACTTGGTTAGACTCTATAGTCTAAATATACTTGGACATTTTGGGACATTTGGGAAGTCTAAGTCTATACTTAGACTCTATAGTCTAAGTATACTTGGACATATAGCCAAGTATACTTAGATACTTAGTCTAAGTATACTTGGACATTTGGGACATTTTAGTAATGTGTGAAAATTAAATGTTAATCTTGACCCTGGCTTTTTTTTTTTTCTTTTTTTCTTTTTTCTGAGATGGTTGCTCAGGCTAGAGTGCCGTGGCGTCAGCCTAGCTCACAGCAACCTCAAACTCCTGGTCTCAAGCAATCCTCCTGCCTCAACCTCCTGAGTAGCTGGGACTACAGGCACACACCACCATGCCTGGCTAATTTTTTCTATTTTTAGTAGAGAGGGGGTCTCCTTGCTCAGGCTGGTCTCGAATTCCCAAGCTTAAGCTATCCTCCCGCCTCGGCCTCCCAGAGTGCTGGGATTACAGGCGTGAGACACCTCGCCCGGCCCCATGGTAGTCATTCTTGAGAGAGTCGTGTTAGGCTTCTTTAGACTGCTAAGCACGCATGCTTAGCATTAGTCATTGCCAAAGGGTAGGACTTCTTTATAAAAAATTGTAAGGATTTCTTTTGTAGTGGATGCAAGTCTCGAAAGAATCCTTATCAGTGGCTATAACTGGGCTTATCTTACGTAGGCTGGATGACGGAAAAATCCTCCCCGGCAACATGAAGGATAACTTCTGGGAGATGGGTGACACAGGCCCATGTGGTCCATGCAGTGAGATCCACTATGACCGGATTGGTGGTCGGGACGCAGCACACCTTGTCAACCAGGATGACCCCAATGTGCTGGAGATCTGGAACCTTGTGTTTATCCAGTACAACAGGTGGCTTTGGGGTCCTGCCCTATTCCTGCTAAGAGCGGTACCTTTCCTAGAGCCGAATAGAGAAAGAGGAACTCAGAGCTGCGTGGCTTTCTTCTTGGCTGAAGGCTCTTTTCTAATCTTTGTCTTTGGGGCCAGTGAAGCAGTGCTGAAGCAAGCTCCGCAGGCATCATGGGATCTTATGGCACTTTCTTTAACTGTTATTTCTTGAGTTTCACCTTTGATCTCTGGGACAGGGCTGGGCCTATTCTTTTGTGACCTTGTCTTGTCCCACATAATACCTTCTGGAGGGCTCCTCCTGTAGTGTTATTCTGACTATAATTTTGGCTGCTATTTTAAAGCTAATTTCCTTGAAGTTGCCTTAGAGTACTTTTCCTTCCTTTCTCCCTCCGCTCCCTTCTTACTCAGCCAGGCAGATACAAATGGCAAATAGCCACAGCTGACAAACTGTGCTATGTGAGCGAGTTCTAAGCAGCAGGGACTGGTGGGGTGGTAGCCCCAGTCCCTGCTTCAACTTCCTCTCCCTCTGCATCATCCAGGGAGACTGATGGCATTCTGAAACCTCTTCCCAAGAAAAGCATTGACACAGGGATGGGCCTGGAGCGACTGGTGTCTGTGCTGCAGAATAAGATGTCCAACTATGACACTGACCTTTTTGTCCCTTACTTTGAAGCCATTCAGAAGGTACTGGTTCTGTCGCAACTGTTTCAAACTTCTGGGGAGGTTTTCAGGCTGGACTCTTAGCAGTGCTGCTGCCATAATTGACCTTATGCTTTGCCAGCCAAGGTTACCAGTTACCATCTGCCCACTTCATTGTTAACGACGACGATGTGAGGCTCCAGGCACAAGGCAGTGTAATTTGTTGCGTAGGGGGATGGCTGGAGTCTCCTTATTCTCCCACTGTCACTGTTCTTGGGGTAGAGGATCTGGCAAGGTGACCATCCTTTCTCCTAATAATCCTCAATACTCTGGGAACCTCCTCAGGCTAGGCAAAGCCAGGAGTACTGCTTCCTAATGGGCCACCTCCTGGTTTTTGTCTGTAGGGCACAGGTGCCCGGCCGTACACTGGGAAAGTTGGTGCCGACGATGCTGATGGGATTGACATGGCCTACAGGGTGCTGGCCGACCATGCTCGGACCATCACTGTGGCCCTAGCTGATGGGGGCCGGCCTGACAACACGGGGCGGGGGTAAGTACGTTACACACGGGGCAGCATTCAGACTGACAGCATGAGTTTTATGACTCTGTGGAACTGAAAGCCATACTTTATTATTGTTTCTTTTGTCTTCTGGGTAGTTGGAAGGAATCTCACTCCTCAATTTTTTTAAGGGATGAAGGGAATTTCAGCTAATGTTGAAGAGTTGTATTAAACTTTTGCTGCTCAGTACAAGACGATAGGATTGTTACTTAAAGCTGGTGGGATATTGACGGGGCAGAGTAGGAGCACGTATTGATTAGCCCCAGGGATCTGATTACTGACAGGCAAGGTGTCAAGTACACATCTGGTCTGCACTTCTTGCTTCTCTCTCTGGGTGGCCGAATATGGAAGGAAAACAAACCAGGGTTTACCTTAGGTCATCCTTGATGTGTATTTGTGGGTATGTTACTGAATTTCACGCTGGAATTAATGACCTTGGAGAATTCCAGAGGAAGCAGGTTTAAGATAAAAAAGTTTCTGATAGAGTAAGACAAAAAGTTGGTCACGTTGCTTTGGGTAGAAGTCCCAAGACCCCCTGTAAAACTCTCATCTGGCTATGCTGTCCAGCAGGGGACTTGTTTCTTCCTTTTACAGGTACGTGTTGAGACGGATTCTCCGCCGCGCCGTTCGATACTCCCATGAGAAACTCAATGCCAGTAGGGGTTTCTTTGCTACGTTAGTAGATGTTGTTGTCCAATCCCTGGTAAGTATATTTCCCTGCTTAGCTCTTCTGTGCTACAGGGAGCTAGCACATTGTTAATCAGCATTTTTAAGAGGGGTCATGGGATAAAGCCCCTCTCCTCTGCTTCTCCTTTGTCAGGGAGATGCATTTCCTGAGCTAAAGAAGGACCCAGACATGGTGAAGGACATCATTAATGAAGAGGAAGTGCAGTTTCTCAAGACTCTCAGCAGAGGGCGTCGTATCTTGGACAGGAAAATCCAGAGCCTGGGAGACAGCAAGACCATTCCCGGTATGGACCTATTTGTGTCCTTCTGCATCCTGGCTGTTTCATCCTTCTGGCAAAGGCCAGCCATTTGTCACAGACTGAGAGTGGGCTCCCACATCTCCAAGGCGAGCATAGCTTGGTTAAATTGCTTTTGGTGTGAAATGGGATTTATAGTAAAATTGTAAAACTAATGCATTATTGTGATAAAGTATTCAAACAATACTGAATACAAAAGTATTCAGAAAGTAAGATCTTTTTTAAACTCATTTCTCAGGCGTAACAACTCTTAAGAGTTTGGTGTGTTCAGGATTCTTCTCTTTGCATGCAAATACATGCAGGTATTTAGGGGTATGTGTGTATTTTTCAAGCAAAAATGGGGACATTTGGTATGTACTTTTTTTTTTTTTCTTTTTTTTTTTTTAAGTCACTGTTAGGCAAGGATTGGTATGTACTTTTTGCAACTTGCATTATTCTTTACCAGATGGGAAAATTAATTCCAAAGATGTTTTGTTCTGTTTATTGAATTATAACGTGCGCTTGATGAAGTTTCACAAGCTGAACACATGTATGTTCAGATGAAGCAACAGAACTTTGCCAGGAGACCCTTGTGCTTCCTCCAGGTCAACTGGAAAAGATTTGATGGGTTTTCTGACAGGCACACAGGGCCAATACCGACTTGCCCGGTCTCTTAATCCCTCTGTTGGTTCTAGTATCCTCCTGGGGGGTTTGGCGTGGAAAGGGAGAAGCCATCCTGCTGTTTTGACACACCTCTTTTATGCTGCATAGGAGACACTGCTTGGCTTCTCTATGACACCTACGGGTTTCCGGTGGATCTCACTGGACTGATTGCTGAAGAGAAGGGCCTGGTGGTAGATATGGATGGCTTTGAAGAGGAGAGGAAATTGGCCCAGGTAAACAATCTAGAGACTGAGCAGGAAACCCCACACCTGCCAACCCAGGACACAGTTGTGAAGCAAGCATGGGTTTCCCTCCATTAAAGTCTGAAATTCTTTCTTTTCTGGACCGGTGATTCTCAGCTCGGCGAGTCTGCCTCTTAGGAGGCATTTGGCAGTAATGTCTTAAGACATTTTTGGTTTTCACAACTGGGGGCGGAATGCTGCTGTCATCTAGTCGGTAGAGGCCAGGGATGCTGCAGAACGTCCTGCAGTGCAAGGGGATAGCCCCACAATAAAGAATTATCCAGCCTAGAACGTCAGGAGCACTGAAAGTGAAAAACCCTGTTTCAGAGTTTTACCCTGGGCATAGTTTAGCAAGTTTGAGTTCTCTTTCTCCTACTTCCAGGTAACTTATGCTTGTTTCTCTGTCTGGCAGCTGAAATCACAAGGCAAGGGCGCAGGTGGGGAAGATCTCATCATGCTGGACATTTATGCTATCGAAGAGCTCCGGGCAAAGGGGTTGGAGGTCACAGATGATTCACCAAAGTACAATTATCATTCGGACTCCAGCGGTAGCTACAGTATGTGCTCTTTTTGCTTCTGACCCTTCTGCCCCTTATCTGAGGGGTTTTGGGAGATGTTTCTTGAGATTAGGTACCTAGCAGATCACTGACTGTCCTGTAGTGCTGTAGTCATGCTGTGCACTTTTACACTCATCAGCACCCTTGGCTGGTTGTTTTCTTAACTCTTTATTTTGAAATAATTATAGTCACAGGTTGTTAAAAGTATTGTAGGGAGGTTCCATGTATCCTTCATGCAATGCAGCTTCTCCTAATTTTAACATCTTGTAGGAAACCAGGCAGTTGATGCTAATACAGTCCACAGTGGCTGTTGAATTTTGCATCAGGATAATAGCATTCTAAAGTTAAAAAACAAAAGAAATTAATAGGCAGTACACGTTATTTGTTTTTGTGCTGGCAAAGAACAGTCATACCTAAAAATCTATCCAAGAAAGCCTACAGGCTGGGCGCGGTGGCTCACGCCTGTAATCCTAGCACTCTGGGAGGCAGAGATGGGCGGATTGCTCGAGGTCAGGAGTTTGAAACCAGCCTGAGCAAGAGCGAGACCCCGTCTCTACTATAAATAGAAAGAAATTAATTGGCCAACTAATATATATAAAAAAAATTAGCCGGGCATGGTGGCTCATGCCTGTAGTCCCGGCTACTCGGGAGGCTGAGGCAGGAGGATCGCTTGAGCCTAGGAGATTGAGGTTGCTGTGAGCTAGGCTGACACCACGGCACCCACCTCTAGCCTGGACAACAAAGTGAGACTCTGTCTCAAAAAAAAGAAAAGAAAGCGTACAGAATGAATACATTCTTTGTGACTTGCCTTTGGACTAGGGGATGTGTTACTACTCTTAGAGATCTAATCAGATTCACCAAGCTTCGGCTCAGTAGCTCAGAGTTAGGGTGACCAACTGTCCCAGTTTGCTCAGAACTGTCCCACCTAGTTTTAATACTGAAAGCCTACATGCCAGGAAACCCCTCAGTTATGGAAACTGGGACAGTTGGTCACCCTACTGAGTGTTGCATTCTTTGGTAGAAAACCAGTGTGCCAAGCTCTGTCACATAGTCTAATGGGCTGGCTTCCAAATTAAAATTGGACAATTAGGACCTAAGAAGAGTTTGAGAAATAGAATCCAGCAAAGACCAGCTAAGAATGTGTGAATAAGTCATCGACCCTGTGTTCCCTGTTCTGTGCATTTCCATCGAGCAGTGTTTGAGAACACAGTGGCCACGGTGATGGCTCTGCGCAGGGAGAAGATGTTTGTGGAAGAGGTGTCCACGGGCCAGGAGTGTGGAGTGGTGCTGGACAAGACCTGTTTCTACGCCGAGCAAGGAGGGCAGATCTATGACGAAGGCTACCTGGTGAAGGTTGACGACAGCAGTGAGGACGTGAGCCAGCAGTTCTTCCTTGTTAGCCGGGATTGGGAAGTGGGGACAGCAAGCGTGGAGCCAGGCAGCTGTCACTCCTCAGTACTTGGGCGCCTTGGGGAGCAAACCCAACATACCTTTGGGTGTGGTTCCATTGTCAGGGTTTCTGAAGCCGAGGGAGCTACTAGTCCCTGTTGCTTCCTGGCCATCGGAGTATCCTTACAGCCAGGGCGCCAGGTTCTGACGTGTTTTCCTTATAAATAAGGAGGCACAGCTCTCTGGAGGGCACGTGTCCTTGTAGAAAACTCAGCTTCTAGCTCTGCCACTGCTGAGTTTGGTCTTGGATGAGTTACTCTGTCTGCCGAGGCTCTAGGTTTTTTACGATGGCTTCCGAATTCTATAAAATTCTCCTTAGTACTGTGTGTGGCATATATATTTCATTACATATAATGGTATTAATTATATGTGTGTACATACCCATTAGAATTTCTTAGAGAATATGTGTATACAATTTATATGTGTAAAGAATTTTTTATGCGTGTGAATTTATATGTATATATATGAGGGAATTGATATCTTTTTCAAGATTTTTATTGGTCTCCTCCTTGACTCTTCATAGAAAACTGAGTTTACGGTGAAGAATGCTCAGGTGCGAGGAGGGTATGTGCTACACATAGGAACTGTCTATGGCGACCTGAAAGTGGGTGATCAGGTCCGGCTGTTTATTGATGAGGTGAGTTGCATTATTGCATTATTCTGCCCCCTATTGGATCTGGATAGTAATCCCTTTCTTCTCTGGATTTTTTTTTGTTTATTTTGGAGGGGGACATGGTCTCCCTCTGTTGCCCAGTCTAGTGTGCAGTGGCGTCATCATAGCTCACTGCAGCCTCAGCCTCCTGGGGTGAGTCTCTGGGACTACAGGTGTGCACCACCACACCTGGCTAAAGGGTCTTGCTGTGTTGCCCAGGCTGGTCTCGAATTCCTGGGCCCATGTGATCTTCTCACATTGGCCTCCCAAAATGCTAGGATTATAGCCATGAGCCATTGTGCCCAGCCTTTCTCTGGCTTTAAATTGGCTCATTGTTGTCACTACTAAGTGAAATTATAAGTACAGGAGTAAATTTTGGTGCATTTTGTGGCTTGTGAAGGATGTAACTAAGGGTTAAATCTGTGTGTTTCCAAGTCAGTGATTTCAGTTGAGATCTTAATAGATTTGTTTTCATGGTTTGCTTTTCTAGCCTCAAATACTTCTTTAGGAGCCAAGGATCCTGTTTTAAGAACTAGGCTCTGTTGCATGTGTCAGATCCAAAATAAGAGCAGCTCACAACAGGATAGCAATGTGTATTTTGCACCTAAAAGTTCAAGCTGATAGAAAGCCTTTTCCCAAGAGTCACAGGGCCTAGCTTCTCACTTGTTGCTCCACTCTCATTCCTGAGGTGTTGCCCTTGATTTCATGGTCCAAGAGGGGACTTGTCAGATCCATTGTCTAGGCCAGGTTGGCGAATTTTTTTGTATAGGGCTAGAATAGTAAATATTTTTGGCTTTGTAGACTATATGCTCTTGGTCATGATTACTCAACTTTGCTGTCGTAGCTCACAAGTAGCTATAGACAATATGTAAACAAATGGGTGTGGGTGTATTCCAATAAGCTTTTTTATAACAACTGATAAAAATAAATGACAGGCCAGATTTGGCCCATAGGCCATAGTTTCCTAATTTCTGTTCTAGGCCGGGGAAGAGGAAGAGGGAGGGGGGAGGGAATGCCCCTTCCCTTTAAGGGTGGACATCATATTTGCTCACAACCAATTGACCAGAAATTAGTCACATGGTCACACTTAGCTGCACGGAAGCTGGGATATATAGTCTTTATTCTGGGTAGCCATGTGTCTAACTTAAAACTCTAGTACTTGGGGAAAAAAACGGGGAACAATACCAAGTTGGCTGAGATCTTTTTAAAAAATGGGTAACAAGTATTGGGGGACAACTTGCAGTCTGGTACGGACCTCTCTACCAGCCTCCTCTGCCCTCCATAGCCCCGACGGAGACCTGTCATGAGCAACCACACAGCTACCCACATTCTGAACTTCGCCCTGCGCTCTGTGCTTGGGGAGGCTGACCAGAAGGGCTCATTGGTCGCTCCTGATCGCCTTCGGTTTGACTTCACTGCCAAGGGAGCCATGTCCACTCAGCAGATCAAGAAGGCCGAAGAGATCGCTAACGAGATGATCGAGGCTGCCAAGGTAGGCTGGACTGGGTTCAAGCTCATGACCTTCACTCCTTCCCACATCATCACTGTCCACAGAGGCTCAGCTGTCCAAATGCTCCCGCTCTGTTGGGTCAGATTCTGCCCTGCACATAGATTTGCTTAAAGCACTGCTTCTCAAACTTTGCTTCTGTAGGGGGCAGTGCTGGTGCCTGGGTGTGGGAGATCTTTGCCCTACCCCCTCCTTAGGACGACCAGAGCTCTTCTAGTTATGTCTGTTTACATAAAAGATTTGGTTCACACATTTCCAAATAGTTGGAAATTCCCATCTTGATCCCCTTGACTTTGTACATGGTGCATTATTTCTGGAGCTTCAGGGCACATGCTGGGCAGAGCCCAGTCACACTCTCTGTGCTGCCTCTGGCTGCACCTCCAGGGACCTTTTCCAGCTTTTTTTCTGTCTTCTTTCTCTGGCAGCCCGTCTATATCCAGGACTGTCCCCTGGCAGCAGCGAAAGCCATCCAGGGCCTGCGGGCTGTGTTTGATGAAACCTATCCTGACCCCGTGCGAGTCGTCTCCATTGGGGTCCCAGTGTCTGAGCTGTTGGATGACCCCTCTGGTCCTGCTGGCTCCCTCACTTCCGTGGAGTTCTGTGGGGGGACGTGAGTACCACGGAGGAGCAGTAGACAGGGCCACCTGCCTTTATCATTTGGCATTCCCCTTTGAGGATGTGGGTCACAGGCTAGACCAACTCTTATCTTTCTGAGGTTGAAATGCTGTTGCCAAATAGCATTCCAAAGAGCCTCAGCATCCCAGTGCTCAGTCACACCTGTAGTGTCTGACAATAACATTTCCTGGGTTCGTGATGAAATGTTCTTCCTAGGAGGGGGTGGTGAGAACACTTACTACACAATCCCTTGCTGTTGTTCGCTGGATACTCCTAACAGGAGGCTGGTAGGAATTCAGGATTCAGCAAGGCCGTGGAGTGCTCATCAAGCTCCTGATCTGGTCTAGCCCTTTGCATTCCCGGTGCCCCGCCATAATCCCCTTGGGCAGCATCTGGGGGATTAAATTAAGCTCTGTTGTCTCAGGGCCCCTGCACAGGCCACCTGGTAGACCCAGCTCAGTTTGGCTTGGGAGAGCCACTTGTTTCTGCCAACTGGGATTCCTGTATAGCGTTGGGGATCTTTTTGGGAAAATCGTGGTGGCCTGGAAAGTTCCTGCTTCGAAAGGAAACCTGGTGAAAAGAATTTTCTTAAGATCCCATCCCAGGCCTCCTGCAGGCCTCAGGCAGGCAGGGAGTGGAGTGGGGTGGGATTGTGTAGGGGATCGAGTTCCAGGCCTCTCTGCCCAGTTGCATGGGCCTGCAAACGAGTCCCTCTCCTGCCTGAATACCTGTTTGCTAACACTCTTTAGGCTACAGGAAACAGTTTTCATAAACTTTATACTAGCCTTGCAGGAGATTGACTTGGGGAGTTAATGAGTATTTGAGGTTCTCTGTTTGAGGCAATTGGGGAATAAAACCTATTTGTTTAAGGGGTTCTGGGAGAATTTTAAAGTAACCCTCCAGTACTGTCACCTAGTGAGCAGGGATGTAAAACACAGCTGTGTTCCATCATGGGACCCAGCATGTCCGTAGAGCCTAACGACAAAAATATCGTACTGGATATTAAGGATTCCAGAGCATTTTGACATTTATCTCATTTGATTTTCACTCCAGCCATGTGAGGGAAAATTATCCCCATTCTATACCTGAGAACACTGAGGCTGAGAGAGATGGTGTCTTGCTCCCAACCCCAGGCTTTCTCTGATGCTCTTCTCCGTCCTACTGCTTCTCTTGTCCTCTTAAGCCAGAGCTGTGTTCTGAGAATCCCTTAACTGTGAAGGGCCTGTGTGCAGTGCCACCATGAGAGGGCTTCCCCAGCAGGGATGACACCACGGGGCTCACGCAGCCCAGCCAGAGCGCCTAAGTGCAGGTAGGAAAGCTGGGTGCCTGGGCTTCCTCTTCACCACGGACTTTGTGTTCCACCACCCAGGCACCTTCGGAACTCAAGTCATGCAGGAGCTTTTGTGATCGTGACTGAAGAAGCCATTGCCAAGGGTATCCGGAGAATTGTTGCTGTCACAGGTGCTGAAGCCCAGAAGGTGAGCGGATCCGACCGATTTGTTGCTTATTGAAACAAGGCGAGAGGTCCCCGTCCGTGAATCCACAGAGCAAACAGTGCTCTGTGTGGCTGTTGCAGCCAGAATGAAAGGACACACTGTGCTACCCCCAAAGTGTCCTCTAGTTACCCCTACTTGGCATAAGAAAGCTGCCACCATACAAGATGTCCTAGCTGTTTTATGTTTAATCTTTTAAAATACGTGTGGGCCGGGCACGGTGGCTCACACCTGTAATCCTAGCACTCTGGGAGGCTGAAGTGGGTGGATTGCTTGAGGTCAGGAGTTCGAAACCAGCCTGAGCAAGAGCGAGACCCCGTGTCTACTATAAATAGAAAGAAATTAATTGGCCAACTAATATATATAGAAAAAAATTAGCCCGGCATGGTGGCGCATGCCTGTAGTCCCAGCTGCTTGGGAGGCTGAGGCAGCAGGATTGCTTGAGCCGAGGAGTTTGAGGTTGCTGTGAGCTAGGCTGATGCCAAAGCGAGATTCTGTCTCAAAAAATAAATAAATGAATAAAATAAAATACGTGTGAATTAGGCTTCTACCCCCTATTATTTCCTTGTTGGGGAGCGTAAGCCATGGTTTCGCTGTGGCTTCCGGGGCCCCCAGGGCTTATCCACGTGTCCCTAGGCTGTGTGCCTCGTTTGAGGCGTGTGCAGTGGACGCTTGCTCTGGGGGTAGAAACTGTAGCTTGTGCCTGACTGTGTCAACACCTAATGGGTGGTCATTTCATGGGTTGAACAGGGCTCCTGATTCTGGAGTTCCTAGTCACACCCTGAGCCTGAGTTAGGAAGCAGCCTTTGGTGGCCTGGTGTGGACAGAAGGTACTTCTTTTTGGGACGTGGGGCTGTTCCCTGGAAGAAAGAAACTTCTGGTGTCTTAGGGTGTATTGCTCCATATTCTGTTATTGGGGCTGCCACAGCTGTGTACACACAGAGTAGTGAGGCTAACTATCACCTGCCTTGGAGTTTGCAACTGTGATTGTCCCCTCCCAGGCCCTCAGGAAAGCGGAGAGCTTGAACAAATCTCTGTCTGTCATGGAGGCCAAAGTGAAGGCCCAGACTGCGCCAAACAAGGACGTGCAGAGGGAGATCGCTGACCTTGGTGAGGTAGGGTGGCTTTCGTGGGGCTTACTCAGCCCTTGGGCCTGATGAGTATGACACTCTCTGTTCTTGGGGAACACTCACTGTGGCCTGTCAGGTCCTGGTTATCGGTGGAATGAGCTTCTAGGCTGACTTCTGTTGTCCTTCAGCTTTGCCAAGGGGACCCTATGGGTCCTGACCTGTGGACCCCAGACCTTCCTGCTGCTCTGGTTTCTATGAGGAGTCGAGCTCAGTCCGAGTCCAAGTGGGTCCCGAGGGCGAGGGAGATGGGGAAGGTGCTGAGACTACCCTGTTTCCAAGCCTGCCTGGTGGTCATTCATATTCAGGACTCCCCGTGAGCCTGTCACGGGCTGTGTTCCCAGCCTGGAAAGGACCAGGCCTTACACAAGAGCCCGGCTCGCTCTGCTGCCCCGTTTTCTCCAGCCCTGCTTGTTACAGCTGCTGCAGTTGCTCCTGAAACGACTGGTCTCAAGACCAGTAGATACTTCCACGTTTGTTTTCTCTCTTCTGTTCCAGACCCTAGTCAGGGAGCACTATGGTTGAAAACCAGCAGGGAGGGGTGGGCTGAGCCTCACATCCTAACTCCTTGTGGTCTTCCGGTTTTGTTTCCAGTCCCTGGCCACCGCGGTCATCCCCCAGTGGCAGAAGGATGAATTGCGGGAGACTCTCAAGTCCCTGAAGAAGATCATGGATGACCTTGATCGGGCCAGCAAGGCTGACGTCCAGAAGCGAGTGAGTCCTGGCAGTGTTGGGGGTAGAAGGAAGCCAAGAGGAATTCCTTGCAAAGGATGATGGGACTGCTGTCTGGGTTATTGGCCTGAGCCTCTCTTCTGGACTTTTCTTTTTGCAGGTGTTGGAGAGGACGAAACAGCTCATCGACAGCAACCCCAACCAGCCCCTCGTCATCCTGGAGATGGAGAGCGGCGCCTCCGCCAAGGCAACCCAGGGGTTGGGGGTGGCCTTTCTTTTGGGTCTTACCGGCCATTTGGTGGCTGACGTGGCCTCTGTAGCTCTGAGTTGGGTGGTCACCTAAAGACCCACTGTCTGGGCTGGAGGTCAGGCTGAGCCATGGAGAGACCTGGCTGCAGAGCTACCGGTCTGGCGAGGGGAAGAGTTCCTAGAAGTGAGAAGCCAACTTCATCCAAGGTGTGGGCAAGGCCCTATGCTTGGGTCCTTCTCCAGAGAGGCTCCCAGGGACAGCACCTGCTCTTGGAAGGGGTAGCAGCAGGTGGCCGGTGCTGGGGGCTGAGCTCTGCAAACTGTCTGCTCTTATGAAGAACAGGTCCCTCCCCAGGGCTGTGGCCTGACACCAGCTTCTCCCCATAGGCCCTGAATGAAGCCTTGAAGCTTTTCAAGACGCATTCCCCTCAGACGTCTGCCATGCTCTTCACTGTGGACAATGAGGCCGGCAAGATCACGTGCTTGTGTCAAGTTCCCCAGGTCAGAATTGGTGACAGCATTGCTCCAGACCCTGTCACCCCCTGCACCAGCAGGAAATGTCAGTTCCTAAGGCTGTCTGCCAAAACCCGCATGCTGTGTACAGCCCGCATTAGAAACAGCCATTTGTCACCTTTGCCAGTATCCCTTTCCCTGGGGCCTTCTCAGTGGTGAATACGTGTAAATGTGCTGGTTGACAGCTGGCTTTGCCACTCTGTATGCCTTGTGCTGGTGGTGGCACTGTGCTCCCCTGTGCGGCTGTGAAGTCCGTCTCAGCCTCTGGCATCACCCAGGGTGGGAGTGTGTCTCCTCCATCCTTTTTCTTTCCCTCCATCTTCCCCCAGTCCCATCCTGTCCTGACTTCCACTTCCCCCTCCTATCTTCCAGAATGCAGCCAATCGGGGCCTGAAAGCCAGTGAGTGGGTGCAGCAGGTATCAGGCCTGATGGATGGCAAAGGTGGTGGCAAGGATGTGTCCGCCCAAGCCACAGGCAAGAATGTGGGCTGCCTGCAGGAGGCGCTGCAGCTGGCCACTTCCTTTGCCCAGCTCCGCCTGGGAGCTGTGAAGAACTGAGGAGTGCTGCTACCACTCACCCTGGTGCATCAGTCCAGCCAGGCGCTCTCTGTCTACTGTCAGGACATGTGAATCCTGGGACCTTTAAATAGCCCCGTCCGTCCTCCTAACCCAGCAGTGACTGGGACTCACCCAGGAGCCGTCCTGGGACTCAGGGCCCCTTTGCATTTGTGCCCTGGGCTCTGCATGTCAGCACCACCTGTCTAGAACACTGACCCAAGGATTGTTACTGTCGTCACGTGTCTATAGACGCAGCTCTCCAGACCTGGGGCTTCTGGGTCTGCAAGTAGGAATCATTTTTGCTGCAGGAAATAAAAGGACCATGTGCAATACTTGATGATGCCTTGTGATCTCTACCCTCCCCAGCATAGAGGCTCCCTATTTGACAGCATGTGGCTCCCTGGGCATCTGGAATAAATGCCGTGGCTCCAGAGGGCTCCCGGTTGTAGTCCTCACCGAGTCCAGTCCCAGAATCCTGCACGTTGGGAATGGCCTCCAGGGTGCCTCAAGGTGTTTATGGAGGTAGAAGCAGGACAGGTTGGGTGAGATGGAGAGAGGCAGTAATAATTCAATGGAAGATGGTCTGTAGGGTTACTGGAAGCAGAGAAGCTCCTTTCTTAGAGCCTCTTGCAGGAGAAACTCCCCATTTCTTAGGCTTCTGCTCCTCCTGCTGCTTCTCTCCCTCCCTTTGAAGCTGCTGGTGTCAGGTCAGAGGTGTTCTCCATAGGAGAACATAGGAGGTATCTGGGATGCAGCTATTGCCTCTGCCTCCCCACTCCAGTGACTACCCCATCTTTCCCACTTCCTACACCCAAAGATGGCCAGTAAGGATAGAGACCCTGCCCTGGCCCTGAGTCTGGTTTACCCAAGCTTGGAAACAGCAGTGTATGGGGAGGTTACAGGGACTGCTGGTGTGGGCTCAGACTGACTGCACGTCCACTGGGTACAGCCGCCGCCTGGGGCCCAGGGTCACTCAGCCCTGTGGACAGAGCAGAGGCAGGAGAAGCAGGTCTGTTGGGAGTGAGGGGGGCAGAGGGAGGATGCCCTGGCTTCAGGCAGCATGTGCCAGGTGAGGAGTGTAGGGATACAAGGCATTACACGGTCCGCTGCCAAGGGAGACATAATTCCATTCGTTCATTCATTCAACAAATGGAAGGAACGAGACAAAGTCCTTGCCCTCTTGGGCAAGTCAGAGGAGAACACATATAAATATATACACAAATAAGTGTTAAATGTATAAGTGTTAAAACACAAATAAGTGTTTTAACACAAATAAGTGTTAAAATGTAACACAAATAAGATTAAATTACAGCCTGCACAGTGAAAGGAAGAAGTCACGCGCCCCGGGGTGGCCCTGGCCTGGGAGGCTAGAGGTCTACGTTGCCTGGACGGAGTCCATCGGAGGCTCCGTCCCTCCTCCAAGGCGCCAGGGGGCAATGCAGCCCCGCCGGCCCGCCCGCCGCTATCCCGACAGCCCTCGCGCGGGCGCGCGTCTTCAAGCGGCGGAAGAGCCCGGTCGCGAGGCCGGCGGCGGGCGGAAGCGGCTCGCACGCCCGGCGCCGCCATGCCGGGGGACCACCGGCGCATCCGCGGGCCTGAGGAGTCGCAGCCGCCGCAGCTGTACGCAGCCGATGAGGGCGAGGCGCCCGCCGCCCGCGACCCGACGCGGCTGCGGCCCGTGTACGCGCGCGCCGGGCTGCTGAGCCAGGCCAAGGGCTCGGCCTACCTGGAGGCGGGAGGCACCAAGGTGCTGTGCGCCGTGTCGGGCCCGCGCCAGGTCGAGGGCGGCGAGCGCGGCGGTGGCCCGGCCGGAGCGGGCGGTGAGGCCCCGGCCGCCTTGCGGGGTCGCCTGCTCTGCGACTTCCGCCGCGCGCCGTTCGCGGGCCGCCGGCGCCGCGCGCCCCCGGGAGGCGGCGAGGAGCGTGAGCTGGCGCTGGCGCTGCAGGAGGCGCTCGAGCCGGCCGTGCGCCTGGGCCGCTACCCGCGCGCGCAGCTGGAGGTGTCGGCGCTGCTGCTCGAGGACGGCGGCTCGGCCCTGGCCGCCGCACTCACGGCCGCCGCGCTCGCCCTGGCCGACGCGGGCGTCGAGATGTACGACCTGGTGGTGGGCTGCGGCTTGAGCCGCGCGCCGGAGCCCGCGCCCACCTGGCTGCTGGACCCCACGCGGCTCGAGGAGGAGCGCGCCGCCGCCGGCCTCACCGTGGCGCTCATGCCGGTGCTCAATCAGGTGGCAGGGCTGCTCGGCAGCGGGGAGGGCGGCCCGACCGAGAGCTGGGCTGAGGCCGTGCGCCTAGGCCTCGAGGGCTGCCAGCGCCTCTACCCGGTCCTGCAGCAGTGCCTGGTGCGGGCCGCCCGTCGGAGGGGCGCCGCCGCCTCGCCCTGAACCGCAAGCCTGAGCAGCGACAGTCGCCAGTTGAGAACTGTGCTGCCACTCTCCCCAAAGGACCCGCGTTGTCGATCTCCAGACCGTGCCGAGCCTAAGAAGCTCCAGCACCGGAGAGGGTCGAGGAAGGTGCGCACAGAGCTGATACACTGGACAGCTGTGTTGGGACGGGTTTTTACAAATTTCCATTGAAGGAACTTTTCTACCTGAGCTGACTCTCAGCTGCTAGGACACATTTGAAGAAACCTGTGACTGCAGCCTGACTCCCAAGTTGGAAATGACTTCAGCTGGACTTACCTGGGAAACGGGACCTGGAGCTGTTGTCATGTAAGGGAGGGACCCTCTGCAGGCCAGCCAGTGATTCCCTCCAAAATAACTGGGCTACTTTTGAGAAGATGGACAGGGGGGCTGTGCCTTTCCACTTATATCTTAGCTGAAACAAAACCTTTTGATATCTGAAAAATGTTTTCTGTTGTGATTTTTTTTTTTTTTCTGAGACAGAGTCTCGCTTTGTTGCCCAAGCTAGAGTGAGTGCCGTGGCGTCAGCCTAGCTCACAGCAACCTCAAACTCCTGGGCTCAAGCTATTCTGCTCCTTCAGCCTCCCGAGTAGCTGGGACTACAGGCATGCGCCACCATGACTAGCTAATTTTTTCTGTATATATTAGTTGGCCAATTAATTTCTATTTATAGTAGAAACAGGGTCTCGCTCTTGCTCAGGCTGTTTTCCAACTCCTGATCTCGAGCAATCCTCCCGCCTTGGCCTCCCAGAGTGCTAGGATTACAGCCGTGAGCCACCACGCCTGGCCTCTGTTGTGATTCTTCTTGGTACAGGATTTTAAAAAGCAAGGCTCTTCTGAGCTGGGCAGTGTATTCTGGGACTCCTGGTGTCCAGAGCTCAAGACAGCACTGCCATAAATGTGTCCTGTCCCTTAGGACAACATAAGTAGAAGAGACAGGCTGAAATACTGAAGCAGCTGCAGGGGTTGATGTGGGAAACGTGCTTTTAGAGGAGGAGAAGAGTCTGGGTAGCTGCAAGATGTGACCAGAATGGGGAGAGTTGTGTTCCCCCCCCCCCCCAGCCCCTGGTTTAGTGCTGGGCAAGAACACAGCTCAGGGTTGGGTAGCTGGAAAGGGTTGTGCTCTGAGTGGAAGCCAGATCCCAGCCTGCCTTGACTGTGCAGAGCAGCACAACCAGAGGCCTCCTCCACTGCCTGTGAGAAGTGGGGTTCTGGGTTGGCTTCGTCACCTGGTGCCTCTGGTCTAGCCTTGGCTCCTAGAAGCAAGGCCCTGAGCATTGTAGGCTGGGGACAGGGCAGATGAACTGCCAAGAGCACAAGCTTCTAGATATTGGAAAACCTGATAAAGCCTGCCTGTTCCATAAGGCAGAGCTGGCCTGACTGTCCTCAAGGGTGTGGTCTTCTCTTTGTACTCAAGGCTGGACTGGAGGAAGCCAGGTGAGACTGCCCTTCAGAATAAAGGCAAGGCAGCCTGGTGCAGTATGGGTTTCTAAATGTGTGTTTCAAGGGCCTGCTTAGTTTCTCTAGGAGAGGCTGGTCCTGGGGCAGCCTAAGGACCAGAATGAAGATTGAAGTTCTGGGACCACTCCAGGAATCCCCCTTGACCAAGAAAAAGAAATACAAATTTTACTTTTCCCCTTCTGACATAATACATTTTTCTAGAGCAGGTCTGAAATACATGGTATCACACCAGCCAGAGACAAGATAGAAAACAGGACATACAAACGGCACCCCTATTCTGAAGGATGGCTTTGTAGAGTGGATGGGGCGTCTGGAACCAACAGAGGATGGCTTTGTAGAGTGGATGGGGCGTCTGGAACCAACAGGAGTTTTGTCGGGCACGCACTGAGGACCTTGCATTTTGGAGTCGGAGGGAGGGCAACTGTAGGAACAGGTGTACCTCCTTTCAGCTGATGGTGGCACTTGGGGAGCAGGTAAGAGCAGCTGAGGTGTCTGCATTCAGACAGGGCTGAGGCTATCCCCTGACCTCTTGTGGAAGCCCCTGTCATCTGCCCCTTGTAAGGTGGTCCCAGCTTCATGACAATGGTGACCTGGTGCTGGGCAGTTCTAGACTGTCTCACTCTAGCCCCAGGACTCATCTGGAAACAACCTTCAAGGAAGCTTAACCTACCACAAGGGGAGGCTTTCCAGCCTCCACTTCACTGCCCCAGCTCCAGCTCCAAAATGATGTCTTAGGCTGCATGGGTGCCACCAGGCAAGGGAGGGAGGTACCCAAGAGTGCCTGGAAGGATTCTTACCTCCTACTGGCTGCCTTCCTGGTCTGATGCACGATTCTTCACCTTTAGGAAGAGAAGTGGGATACTGGTGACTGGAGGCGTGGTATGGCTAGGAAGGGGAGGGCCACCTGTTCACATCTAGTCTCCCCTCCACCCCACCCACCCATTTCTCAAGAGCTTTAGGAGCTCAGGGCTACTCTAGATTCTTCCTAAAACCTGGGAACCTAGAACCACCATGCAAATACAGCATTGTCTCCATCTAGCCTATTCTTCCCGGATGTTACAGATGTGACTTAAGGCCCCAAGCAGCATTGAGAGTCCTGACCCCAGCAGGCCAGGGGCAGAGCTGAGCAGGTAGAGGAGGGAAGCTCACCACTGCCAGCCTCCCAGCAGCCCTGGCCTTGCTGGGAGGGCTCCGGCAGCAGTGTGGGCTTGGCTCGCCAAGAGTGGAGTAGGAGGTGCTACAGTGGGGAATACTCAGGCCCTTGAATGCTGCACAAAGGGCTATCGTGGGTTCCATATTGGATCTTCTCCATCTAGGAATGTCAGTGTGCCACAGCTTCCCAGGGGAGCACGGTACAAGCAGGCCACCCAGAGACCCTGCTGCAGCAGGTAGGTGCGGGGCCAGGAAGGGGGCAGAAATCAGAGGTTTAATGAGCTTATCAGCTGGGTCTCAGACAAGGGGTCTGGGGCATGGGGCACATCTGTGACATTCCCCCTACCATGCTCAATTCCCCCCACCCTCCACTGCCTTCCAGAAGGAAAAGGTATTTCAGGCCATAACAGACCCAATTGCCCAGCAGCCCCTGGCACGGCTGAGCCGACCAAACCTGGAGTCAGGAGGGCTGAGCAGGGCAGGGCCCAGCCTTCCCCGGCATGCTCTATGGCAGAGGTCACAGGCCTCTCCTGGCCTATCAAATTGGGGTCCTGGCCGGGCACGGTGGCTCACGCCTGTAATCCTAGCACTTTAGGAGGCCGAGGCGGGCGGATTGCTCAAGGTCAGGAGTTCAAAACCAGCCTGAGCGAGACCCCGTCTCTACCAAAAATAGAAAGAAATTAATTGACCAACTAAAAATATATATACAAAAAAAAAAAATTAGAAATTGGGGTCCTGCACAAAACCAAGTTCCCCCCTTGCTCAAGGGAGGCCACAAGGACTCAAGCACACGAAGGATGGGGATGACACTCACTGCCTGCTCTGTGTCTGTGCTTCCCTTGGAGCCATCAGTCTCTGGGTTGGCCTTTTGGCCCCTGGGTTTCTGGCAGGGCTCGCTGCTTCTGTTTGAGGAGCCCTCACAGCCAGGGCCCCTGTTATCTTCACTGTCCTTTGTCCCTGTGCAGAAAGAGTCACCAGTTTATACAACTGGGTTTGGAGGCCCCAGTTGACCCCAGAGAGGCCACTTGATGCCCAGCAATTACGTAGGACATCCTAGGGTTTGGGAGGGCAGGAGGCAGATCGGCTGGGATATTCTGCTCTGGCTCCAGATAGCTGCTGAGTGGGCTGGGGTGATGGGACAACCCAGAAGCCACAAGGGTCTTCAAGCCACAAGAACAGCTGGTGGGGTGTACTCCAGGGAGGGGGACCATTGAAGACAGGGACAGGCCCAGGCAGGACCTCAGGCACCCTGGCATCCTCAGGAGTGGTGGGCAAAGCTGGGGCCTACTGAGAGCGTGGCCTGGGCCACACCTAGGGAGCTGACCTGCCGGCTGGTCCCTCTGCCGGTCGATGCGTTCCACATGCTGCAGGAGGCTGTCCACCTGGGCTTTGATCTGGCTCAGCTCCCCCCTGATGGAGCGCAGCTCCTCAGTCCGGACTGCTGGGAGAGGGCCAGGGTTGGTGCCCACACTGGGCAGGGGGACCGAGGGCGGTGCTGCCCAGGCATGTGCCCCCTCACTCACGCTTTATCTGTGCACGGGGCAGGGGGCTGTTCCTAGAGGCTTTGTGGGGGCTGAAGCTGCTCTTGACCCCCAGGCCCGTGTGGGACCTCCGGAGCTTGACAGGCACACGGTTGATGAGTGGGGGGATCCTCTGGTATTCATGCATCCTATGGGGACAGGAGAGAGGGACTCAGGCCAACCAGCCTCACCCACACACCCAGAGGACCCAGGGCAGGACCTACCTACCTGTAGGGAACATCTTCTCTGTACAGTTCGTAGTTCAAGTTGTAGTTACTGCTGCAAAGTAGGAGATTAATAAGAAGGGGTCACTGTCCAAGGTCAGAGTCTGCCTGACATGCCCAGTTGAACTTGGGGAAACGGAAGTATGCAAGGTCACTTTGGGAGACCACAGCATACCAGTTTCCCCCAGTTGGCCTCCGATACGGGGTGTTTCCCAGGTGGCTCCAAGAGGCAGGAGAGATGCCTGCAGGCTTCTGGTCAGCTACAGCCTGGGCCAACTAAAGCTGCCCTGCCTGAGCCGGGCACTGCTGACCTTCTGGATCTTAGCCTGGCAGAGGATGAAAGGGATGAGTTAAGTCAGAGCCAAAGCCTGGGTGGCTGTGCAAGAGCCTGTGATCCCTGCGTGGGCATCACAGGATGCAGGGCCCAGCCCACAGCAGGCAGGGTTAGGGTTAGGGTCAGAGCAGCGGCCAGGCCCTGGGAGAGAGGACAAGCCTGAATGGTCCCGGACTCACACTGGCGGGCCTCGCCCCCTTCCCACATGCACTGAGCACTCCAGGGCACTGGTGCCCAGAGGGGTGGGGGGAATCCGTGCAGGGGGACAACTGTGTCCCAGCCTGGGCAGGAAGGCCCTGTGGGGACACAGCTGCAGGAGCTTCAGATCCCGCCTCTGGCTGGGGAAGGTGATGAGTTGAGGGCAGGAAGGAGATGCGTGGGTGCGGGGGGGGGGGGGGGGGGGGGGGGGGCAGTGGGGAAAAGTAAACTTCTAAAACAACTTTCTGGAACAGTCGCCATGCCCCCAGCCCAAGGCTAGCCCATGAGGGGCGAGGCCTGTGGGAGTCCCTTCGGTGGAATGGAGGACACACGGGGTGTGGCTCCTCCCCTTCACGGCGCAGGGCAACAAACAAGGACTATCAATCATATTTCACACGACAACCCCAAGCACCCCCCCCATCCCCCGCTTTCTGGCTTCAGCAGATCTTGGTGGGCTCGATTTGTCTCGGAGGACAAGGAGAGCAAGCAGTGGCTGGTGCAGCGGGCGTCCGGTAGGGGATGAGGGCTGCGCGTGCATGCGCAAGCAGGAGGACGGCAGTCTCGAGGGCCAGGAAAGACAGAGCGGGGAAGACTGGGACCAGGACGGAGCTCGAGTGCTAGGGAAGCACTAAGCAGAGACCGCGGGGCCATGCTGACCACCTGAGCCGCTGTGGCAGGGACTCAGCAACCACGCATTGGTGGTTCAGTGGTAGAATTCTCGCCTGCCACGCGGGAGGCCCGGGTTCGATTCCCGGCCAATGCACAAGGTATAATCGTTTTTGTTCTTTGCCTCATTGCTGTTTTCCAAAATTCCTGCTTTAAGCACAGAGATTTTACTGACCCTGGCAACCTCTAAATGAGCAACGGGGGTTGGGGGAAGGAATTGCAAATTTTTTTTTGAGACAGAGTCTTGCTTTGTTGCCCAGGCTAGAGTGAGTGCCCTGGTGTCAGCCTAGCTCATAGCAACTTCAAACTCTTGGGCTCAAGTGATCGTTCTGCTTCAGCCTCCCGAATAGCTGGGACTACAGGCATGTGCCACCATGCCCAGCTCATTTTTTCTATATATATTAGTTGGCCAATTAATTACTTTCTTTTTTTTTTTTTGAGACAGAGTCTCACTTTGTTGTCCAGGCTAGAGTGAGTGCCGTGGCGTCAGCCTAGCTCACAGCAACCTCAAACTCCTGGGCTCGAGTGATCCTTCTGCCTCAGCCTCCCGGGTAGCTGGGACTACAGGCATGCGCCACCATGCCCGGCTAATTTTTTATATATATATCAGTTGGCCAATTAATTTCTTTCTATTTATAGTAGAGACGGGCTGGTTTTGAACTCCTGACCTTGAGCAATCCGCCCGCCTCGGCCTCCCAAGAGCTAGGATTACAGGCGTGAGCCACAGCGCCCGGCCTAATTACTTTCTATTTATAGTAGAGACGGGTCTCGCTCTTGCTCAGGCTGGTTTCAAACTCCTGAACTCAAGCAATCTGCCCGCCTCGGCCTCCCAGAATGCTAGGATTATAGGCATGAGCCACGGACCCAGGCCTAGGAATTGCAATTTGATCGCATGAGTGGGCAGGCTGGGGTTCCTGCCCCACTGGGGGTCTTCCTGCCTTTGCCATGGCTAAGGCCTGTGCCCTAGGTTGGTGGCCTTACCCTTGTCTCCCAAAGGGGAGGAGTACAGCTGCACTCTGGTCTGGGCTAATGGTTACAGCCTGTGAAGTCACCCAGCAGCCCAGTGTCCACCATTGCCCCATCCCTGAACTGTCCTTCCTCGGGGGACCATCCCAAGGGGCCAGAGCCACCACCACAGCCTCCCGCCCACTGTTGTCCAACCCCCAGGGTAAGCACTTAGTCATCCTCATTGGAGATCCCTGGGGAAAACTGAGTCTTATGGAGGTCACCTCCATCCCAGGTCTTGAATGCCAGGGGCCCCTCTGAATAGGGTCTGAGTCCCTGCAGGACAGGCATCGTCTGGCCCCATTGCTTCCGGGTCCCCCCATGTACGGCCCTACCCCAAAGTGCCCCAGGGAGAGCTTACAGGACTGGATCCCAACAGGGTGGATGGAAAATATGCAATCAGATGAAGGCACCTAGTGCTGAAGGACTGAGGAAGGGTTCACTCAGCCTCAGAAGTGCCCACGTTCAACAAACACGTGATAACCATGACCGTCCATCAGCCAGAAAATTATGAGCTGTCCCAGCAGACTCTCTGGGTGAGTCTTGCACGTGAGACATGAACCAGCACCCATCCGTACAGTTCTGCTAGATTAAAAACCTTCGCACGGCCGGGCGCGGTGGCTCACGCCTGTAATCCTAGCTCTCTGGGAGGCCGAGGCGGGCGGATTGCTCGAGGTCAGGAGTTCGAAACCAGCCTGAGCAAGAGCGAGACCCCGTCTCTACTATAAATAGAAAGAAATTAATTGGCCAACTAATATATATACAAAAAATTAGCCGGGCATGGTGGCGAATGCCTGTAGTCCCAGCTACTTGGGAGGCTGAGGCAGGAGGATTGCTTGAGCCCAGGAGTTTGAGGTTGCTGTGAGCTAGGCTGACGCCACGGCACTCACTCTAGCCTGGGCAACAAAGCGAGACTCTGTCTCAAAAAAAAAAAAAAAAAAACCTTCGCACGCTATAGAGTGGCACAGACTCAGGCTGCAGGGGGCCGGGACAGATCTGGCCTAATCTCTATTAGGTCATCCTGGAGCTACAGGGACATCTCAGAGCAGCCAGCCCACACCCTGGCCTTGCCATCCCACTTCTAGGCAGAGGAGCCGAGGCAAAAACCTCGGCTTGACCCTCAGTACCAACCAGGGTGTTTATGGCAGCGCTGTTGCTAACAGCAGCCGGTGCCCTCCTACCTCCCGCCTCCCCACCGCCACCCAGACCGGCCCAGGCACAGCAAGGCCAGGAGCTGACCGCAGGCATTGCACATGCCCGGTGAGGGGACAAAGAGGCAGTCTGGCTGCCGTACACCCTAGTGCACCTGTGAAAATGACCTGTTTGCTGGCAGAAGTTGGTGAGCCCCTTTCTGAAAATGTTTAAAGGTTTCTTTAAAATTGCTTTAAGCTTCCCAAATTAGGGGCCCAATGTCATCCAGAAAGGCTCCCCTTTGCTACTTCCCAAAGGTCTATACCTGGAAAACAAACCCAAGCGCCCACAGGTGAGGGTCTCGGGAAGACAGACACCTGCCTCTGTCAGGATGGTGGCGGGTCATGCCAGGTGGAAGGGGCGCTGGGATGCACTGGGTCAAGTTCACAGGCCAAGCCTGAGGCTGAGGGAGAAGGACCTGAGCAGCTTGAGCCCTGAGTGTGCAACACACTCAGTGAGGCTTCTGGGGCCTTGTCCTGTCCCAGGGACCCCAGAGTCCCACACAAGCCAGCAACCAGCCTCCCTCCCTGGCAGGCCACCCGACAGACTCACCAGAAGATGGCTGTGCCCTGCTGCCTCTTCTGGCCTGGCCGGGCAGGGCCAGGCATGGGCTCCCGAGCCATATCGGAATCTAAAGGGAGAGCAGAGAGGAGGCAGAGCATGAGAGGAAGAAGGAAGGGGTGCAGGGGACGGCCCACATGCACAGGGCCCTGCTAGCTCCTGGCTGACTCTTCCCTGCAGCCCGCCCACCTGGGCCACAGGCAGCCTGGCCGGGGCTCTGATGGACCCAGGACCCCCTCCCAGGGCTGGGCTCAGGCCCCATGGGGCTGTTCTAGAGGTCCCCCAGAACAAAGAGGCAAATAGTCCCTTTGGCACATTCTAAAATAAAACCACCTTGAGGGTGGGCAAGGGTGCTCTCCTGTTTCCTTCAGACCTGAACGGACCCTGGGAATCAAGCCCATCACCCATGACCTGGAATTTGGGGTGCTGCCATCAGAAGGCAGGAGGGGGATACCTGGGGTCCTCGTGTCCTCTGAGGAGACACCCAACCCTGGTCTGGGTTAATTCTGGAGTGTCCTCTGCCGCCTGACCAGGATGGAGAGCCTCTGCCCGCTGCCTGCCCACTGGCCTACCCGGTGCCAGGCCCCTATGCCAAGCCTCTGCGCTGGCCACTGTCCCGACAGCCAGCAGGGCTCCCAGGGAGAAGCACAATGGGCCCACTTTACAAAACAATTTAAAGTTCACCCCCAAATCGTTCTTTTTCATCCACTTTTCCCACCTACGTCAAAGAAATGTATGTGTGGGTCTGAAGTCTAGAGGCAGCTGAAGCCCATTCAGGGGAGGGCTGAGAAGTCAAGTGACATATCCCTGAACTGCACCATGGGCAGGTCACCTAGTGGAGAGACCCTGGGGAAGGAAGCCCACTTCCTGCTGTGTCCCCACCACTCGCTCAGGGCTCAGGGCCAGGATGTAGCACGTGCTCAGTTGGTGTCTGCTGAGTAAGTGAAGAAGCATCACAGGACCAGCCGCTGGGGGTGCTTGCTCTGTACTTATCCCTCCCAAAGGTCCCCAGACACACTTGTTAGGAGATACGTGCTCTCGTACCCTACAGCTGTGGGCCTGGAGCACGGGTGGGGTAGTTAATGAACGAGTCATAATGAAGGACAGCAGGTGACGCAGGACTGGGGAGGTTGGCAGTTGGGTGGGAAGAAAATAGAACAACATGGAGAGGCCACACTGCTGGAAGGACAAGAATAAGGACAGAGGGCAGGAGCAGATGGGGGTGGACACAGGGAGCAACTAATCCCAGAGGTCACCGAGTGACTCCCAGACACGTCCAGATGTCATCAGGTGGTGCACAGTAGGAAAGGGGAACTGTGTTGTGTCCCAGATTAAAGACTACCAGCAGCTAACAGTGACTGCGCCTGGCAGCAGCTCCTTTACTCCTCACAAGCACCTTGCATGGTGGGGGGTGCTGTTGCCAGGCAGATTTGCAGGCTGACACATGTGTTGAGGGCCACGGGGAAAGCACACTGGCGGAAGTGATGCCATCTCAGTGTCCAGCCCCAGGCCCACGACACTGTGGTAAGAAGTCAGATGCCCTATCGCAGATACTCCGTGGACTCAGCCTGCTGGCATCTCCAGCCATTGCTGCTTTCACACAGGGTGACCGCTCTGCTACCCGCTGCACCTGCACAGGATCCTCGTCGCGGGGCTGATGAGGCCGGCACTGTGAGCCGAGTCCCAGGTAGGTGCACCAGGTGGATTCTTACGGTGGGCAGGAGCCATTCTCCTGGCCACCCCACATCTAAGCCCCCTTCCTGTGTCAGAGGTGTCCCCAAACTTTGAGATGGAGGCTGCCTCCCAGGACAGAAGCTGTAAATGCCCCTTTTCTGCTCCCATCCCCCAGTCTCCCTTGCAGGGAGGGGCTGGGCACAGCACTTGGCTTTTCCAACCAGTCCCACATGCCCGACACTGAATGAAAGTGGCTGACGGGAAGCATCATCATCTCAGCAATTGATGGTGGAAGCGGCAGCAGCTGCTTCCAGCCTTTAAAGGTGGTGCCAGTTATAGCTTCTGTGCCCAGGAGAGGCAGTGGCCCCTTCCAGATCTGGCTCCCCAAGCCTTTCAGAGCTCCTGGGAACTAACCAGCATCTTCGGCAAACTCCTTTTCTGCTTGGAGTTGCCAGAATTAGTTTCTGTTGCTTAAAATTAAGAACCTTGATTAATACAAAAATAGAACCAGGAGTGGATAAAGCAAGCCCTGAAGGAAACGGGAGTGATCTAAGGCTGGTAAGTGGCCAGAGAACAGTGAAAATCCAGCTGGTATTAAAGGACAGGACACCGGCAGCCCACGGCGTGCCCCAGAAAGACAGTTAATCCTGTGGTCCCCTGGAACAAAGCGCCCATCAAAGATAGGCTTCAGGGGACCTAGTGGCTCCTGTCATAGAAGTATATAAAGATGACACTGAAGTCAAGATCTGCCGGGCAGGGTAGTTGTGCTAATAGCAACACACGGCTTAAATGAAAAGAAAGACAAGCTCAAAATCCAAATTCTTTGCTCAGGACATTGTTAGAAAACCCAGAAATGTTACTATGTTGCAGCTATAAAGCCAAGAGAGTAAAAAAACAAACTTAAAGCTTGAGTCAATGATTATAAAATGACCATCAAGTGGATTCACATCTTGAAAGGTCTTTATTTGAGAAAATGTTGTTGCCCGGGATAGCATGCCATGGTGTCAGCCTAGCTCACTGCAACCTCAAACTCCTGGCCTCAAGAGATCCTACTGCCTCAGCCTCCCAAGTAGCTGGGACTACAGGCATGCGCTACCATGCCCAGCTAATTTTTTCTATATTTTTAGTTGGCCAATTAATTTTTATATTTTTAGTAGAGAGAGGGTCTCTCTCTTCCTCAGGCTGGTCTCGAACTCCTGACCTTTAGCGATCTGCCCGCCTCGGCCTCCCAGATTGCTAGGATTACAGGCGAGAGCTACTGTGCCTGGCCCCAAACATGGTTTTCTGACTCTTCCCAAAATCCTATGACCAACCACTGTCCCCTGTTATTAAAAAACTGGAGGTTAAGGCCGGGCGCTGTGGCTCACGCTGTAATCCTAGCTCTTGGGAGGCTGAGGCGGGCGGATTGCTTCAAGGTCAGGAGTTCAAAACCAGCCTGAGCAAGAGCGGAGACCCCGTCTCTACTATAACAGAAAGAAATTAATTGGCCAACTGATATATATATATAAAAAATGAGCCGGGCATGGTGGTGCATGCCTGTAGTCCCAGCTACTCGGGAGGCTGAGGCAGAAGGATCACTCGAGCCCAGGAGTTTGAGGTTGCTGTGAGCTAGGCTGACGCCACGGCACTCACTCTAGCCTGGACAACAAAGTGAGACTCTGTCTCAAAAAAAAAAAAAAACTGAGGTTAAGGCTGGGCGCAGTGGCTCACGCCTATAATCCTAGCACTCTGGGAGGCCCAGGCAGGCAGATCGCTAGAGGTCAGGAGTTCAAAACCAGCGTGAGCAAGACCGAGATCCCATCTCTACTATAAATAGAGAGAAATTAATTGGCCAACTAATATAGATATAGAAAAAATTAGCCGGGCTTGGTGGCACTCACTCTAGCCTGGACAACAAAGTGAGACTCTGTCTCACAAAAAAAACACCTAAGGTTAAATCCACATAATATAAAATTAACCAATTCAGTGGCATTTAGTGTATTCACAATGTTGTGCAACACAGACTTCTATCCAGTTCCAAAACATTTTAATTTATTATTTATTTACTTATTGGCAGAGTCTTACTCTGTTGCCCAGGCCAGAGTGCTGTGCCGTCAGCCTCGCTCACTGCAACCTCCAACTCCTGGGCTCAAGCGATCCTCCTGCCTCAGCCTCCTGAGTAGCTGGGACTACAGGCATGTGCCACCATACCAGGCTATCCAGCCAACTCTTAACTCTTGGCCAAGACCACAGGAAGACAATGTCCAATAGATGCCTTGTTCTTTTTTTTTTTTTTTTTTTTTTTGAGACAGAATCTCGCTCTGTCACCCAGACTAGAGTGTCATGGCATCAGCCTAGCTCACAGCAACCTCAAACTCTTGGGCTCAAGTGATCCTCATGCCTCAGCCTCCCAAGTAGCTGGGACTACAGGCATGTGCCACCATGCCTGGCATATATTTTAGTTGGCCAATTTATTTTCTTTCTATTTTTAGTAGAGACGAGGTCTCGCTCTTGCTAAGGGTGGTTTCGAACTCCTGGCCTTGAGCAATCCGTCTGCTTGGCCTCCCAGAGTGCTAGGATTATAGGCGTGAGCTACCACACCTGGCCAGATGCCTTGTTCTTTAGGCAGCCTAGGCTATGAGACCTGATCCTTGTATGCACCTTCTCCAGGGAGCAGAGGGCACTTCCCAAGCACATCACAAGGCAACCCCTTCAAGTACACAATGAAAATATTAAGAAACTTACATTCATCTTTATCTTTTAAAGTTTTTATCTGTCTCTTTCATAGTGTACATACTATTTTAGTATAATAGTACATAGAGATAATTCGTTATTCAGTACATATAAACATATTAAAAACACCTGCTAGAGTTTTTACAGCTAGAGGTTTGCAACCAAAACATTTGGAAAGCCTACAAAGCACCATGTTTGGGACCAAGAGCAAGCTCTGCCTTCTGGAACCTCGGTTCAGAACACCAGCTAGCTAGAGCCACAGGCACACCAAGGGGGAGGGGTCCTCAGCCCAGTGCTGACGAAAACCTCAGAAGACCTTCTTTCTCCTCGGAAGCCCAGACGGCTTCTTCCTCATTCTCCCTCTCGACACCGGCTGGTTCACACTCAGTCCCCGCCATACTCAGCCGGCCCTGCCTCTGTCCCCTGGGGAAGCTAATTACAGGCGGGGGCTTTCAAAGAACCGGGTCGGGTCGTAGCTCACTGCCCCTCCTCGCCCCTCAATACTTTCCCAGACTTTGCTACACACACACACGCCTGGCCTAGAAGCGTTTACCGCATCAAGGAAAAATAAGTTCCCCAGAAAAAACTCCACAGAGACAGAAACATTTCAGTCAGGCCTTGAAAGTTTTCCAGAACTCACTCCAGGGACCCACTGTGAGGGGCAGAATCTTTCTGTTTCGCAAATAATGATTGCTTCGCCAACACCTTTGATTTCATAGTCTGTGTTGGCTCTCGCGAGCGCGGGCGTACGGAGACGCCAGGGCCAGGCTGAATGGAAGATAAAGGGAGGACGCTAGGGCTGCCCAGGACACCAGTGTCGCGGGTGGCACAGCAACAAAGAGCTGCGAAAGGGGGGAGACGCGAGCCAACAGCGGGATGGCGCGCTCTGGGGAGGCACAAATGTTCCCAAACCCTCCCAGCCTCCTCACCCGCCCCGCCACTCCTCAGGGAGCCAAAGACAAGCGGGCCACGGCGGTGACAGGGACTGGCAGCCCGTACTTTCCCTGCGTGTGGCCTGCGGACTCACTCCGGAGCCGGAGCCGAAGGCCCGTCTCCCCGCACCGGGTGTCTACACCTGCGGACGCGAGAGGCGACTCCGCCCCTAGGGACACCCTGCGCACCCACCTCTCAGGACGCCGCGGCCGGTCGTCCGCCAGGTGTGGGGGTGGGGGTCTGAGCTGCCCGCTCCTCCCCGGCCCCGGCGGGCGCGCGCCCGAGCCACCCCTCTCCCCCCTGCCGGCGGGCGCGCGCAGAGCGTACTCACGACTCCGACACTCGTCCGGCTGCCGAGCGGCCTCGCCGCCACCCGCTGAGGGCCTAGCGGGAACGGGGTCAGCTCCCAGGCGGGCGCGGGCAGCCTAGAGAAGGGCTTCGGCGGGTGACTGCCGCGCGGCGGGAGGCGGGGGCGGGCTGCGCGTGCGCGGGCCTGGCTCCCACGGGCGCGTGCACCCGACGCGGATCCGGTGGTGGGAGCCTCTTGGGCGCAGGGTGACATCTCCCAGCGCGTGTGGCTGCGGCTCCTGCAGAGGGGCCATGTCCCATGTCCCGTGTCCCAGAGGAGTTGCGGCCGGATGCCTGCCTACCGCTTACACACGGGACCAAGGCGGGAGAGCAGGGCGCCCCCACTCGGGGCCGCGGGGATGGGGTTGAGTGAGCGAACCAGCCCAGAAGCCTGAGGCCGGGTCCTCCTCGCAGGTGACCTTGGGCAAATACCTGAAGCAGGGGCCTGGGGCTCACCCCTGCCACAAGTGTCTGGCTCCTTCCTTTGCAGGTGGTGGAGATAGTAGGGGGCATCTGTGGACACCCCGCGTGTGCCCACGCTCTAATCGGGGCACAAAGACTTCCTGTAGGTCCCTGATTGAACAGGCTGAACCAACAAAAGAAAATGGAAAGATTAAACGATAGAGTGACTGGGTGTGATTCCCAGCTGTGTGATCTTGGGCAAATTACTCAACCTCTCTGTGCCTCCACTGCTTCAACTGTAAAATGGGGGTAGTATTCCTTGTCAATGAGGAAGTGGGAGGGTTTCAGTGAGCTAAATGTTTATTATGTGTCTGACACATGTAAGTTCAGCCATGATATTTGAGGATAGGCACGGGAGTGGGACTCTTCAGTTTCTGACTGTGCCACCAGCCCATGAAGACGAGACACATGCCACTTCCCAGACGTTCAGAGCAGTGTCTGCAATGCCTACCTGGGGCCCAGCCATGGAAACTGATGGAAAAAAGACCCCTCACTGAGGCAGACAGTCTGGTCTTCCACCTTACTGGGGAGCCTGAAAACGTCCAGAGGGTGACCAGGAAAGGGACAAGGTGGGTAAGGGCAACCGCAGTGAAGCCTCAGGTCCCCTCTGGTCTTCCCAGGATCATCCTGAGTCACCTAAATTCCCCTTTGAAACAAGCATTTCATTCACAAGTCCAGGTTATTCATAACTTAGTTTACTCCTTTGTGGACTGCATCTGGCCAGGAAGGGGGAGAGCTGTCTCTTCTGACCGCTGGCCCTGGCTTCTGCTTTGGCGTCTAATCGAAGCCCATCTTCCCGATCAAAAGTAGGCTAAGGGGCTCTGGGCTCTTCTAGCACTCCCTCTCCATCCCTTGCTGGCCTCCCTGCCACCCTCTGCCCAACTTCTTGCATCACGCAAGTCTGAGGCCTCTTCGGACTCCTGGCATGTGGTCCCAGCCTGGCCCTTGTTCCAGACAGGTGGGCAGCTGGGCAAGCAGAGCAGGTGCACCCAGGGGCTGGCAGGGGAGCTGCCTGGCCAGGCCTCAGGGCCCTGGGTCCCACCGGGAAATGTGCTCCTGAGCTGGAAAGGAAGCAGAAGGGATTGGGCATTGGTGGCAGCTCAGGCAGTCCTGGAATATGGCAACCTGGCTGCACTTGGTCTGGAAGTTCCCATGGCCATGGTCCCATATGGAGCTCTAGACCCTTCTAGCAGGGGCTGCTGGGAGTTGGTGCTGGGCCAGATCCACCTCTGCCCTCCAGCATGGTTCACTGGGCTCCAGGGAATCAGGGATCACAGAGAACATGACAAGGCCCTGTAGCAGCTTTCATGGTAGGAGAAGAGGGTCATTAGAGAAATCATCTGCCAGGCTGCGGTTCCGATCCTGCCTCCGTGTGGACATGCTGTGTGATGCTGGGCCTGTCGTTTCTGGCTGGGCCTCAGGGACTCACAGGTACAAGGCCCCCAGTAGAGCATCCTCAGTGGCCCTATGTGCTCCAACACACTCCAGACCTGTGACCTAGATATCCTAGCACCCTGCAAAGGGCTAGCAGTACCCCAGGGGACAGGAATCAGAGAAGGGAGTCATGGAAAGGCCCTCACCAAACTGGCAGATGTAACGGTTCCGGGTTTTACAGCGCTGGTCATTCCAGTTGAAGGCGGCAGATGCCTGCAGCTCCACACAGTTGCCGAACCTGCTGGGCCAGGATGTCAGGTACACAGGGTGGAGGAGTGACATCAGGAGTCAGGAGAGGCTTAAACTCTTTATCCCATCCACCTACAGCTGGGGCTGCTGGGAGCCAGACCAGCCCTGAGTCCCCATCCCTGCCCCCAAGTGCTGCCTAGGTAACAGTTCCGCCTCGCCCCCTGTACACTCCACCACGGCAGCCAGTGGGGGTGTTGGGCATCAGGAACAGGCTAGTGTCCTTCCCTCCCAGCAAGGAGAAGGCGTGCCTGGGAGCCAACCAGGCCTGGACTTCCTCCAGTCGCCAGGCAAGGAGGGCCAGGTGAGAGGGCTGGAGCCTTGGCAGCCCCTCGGCAGCCACATGGCCTGACCACCTCTACCCTCGCCCTGGCATTCCTGGGCTTTGAAGGCCACATGATCAGAAGGTCCTCGGCACAGGGTGGCTGATGGCTGTGTGTGGAAAGGATGCGGGTGGGTGGACAGCTATGGGACGCCAGAGCCAGGGAGCTGATGCAGGCAGAGCTGGGGGATGGGGGGATGGTGGGTGGGGTGAAGGGATGAGACATGGAGGCTGGAGGCACACTAGGGGACAGTGGGGGCTGGTAGATGGATGGAGTCTTCCTGGGGACCCTGTCTTTAGGTGATAGGCCTTCTGATTTGCATCTCCCTCACCTCAGCACTGTGCCCGCCCCAGCTGTGCCCACACTTCCCTGGTCGTGGGCACCAGGCAAGGCCCAGGCCTCAGAGGGCCCAGCCAGGCGGCGGGCTGGGGGGCTCTTCAGCGGAGGCTGAATCCTGGGGGGAGGGCACCCCACACTCACCCCTGGTTGTCAGGCTGCCCGAAGGCAAAACTCGTAAAGGCCTGGTGCTCCCCAGTGGTCCAGCGGAAGGAGTCCTTGGCAGTCTTGTAGGTGAGCCCTGGGCCGGGGGAGCCGAGGTTACCCCCACCTGAGACCCCTGGGCCCCTTCTAGCCCCTGCTCAGCATTACCAACCCCCTGCTGAGTCTTCCCCCTCGGCCCTCTCCCCAGGGGAGGGGTGGGCAGCCTGGCCCTTGCCACACCCTTGCCATCTGCTGTCCCTGCTCTGGGCTGCCATGGCCCACGATTCTCGGAGCAACAGAGGCATCAAGACTCCGCACTGGCAGCACCCCCAACCAGCCAGGCACTCACCAATCCAAAAGTTCCTGGTCTCGAAGTCACTGTCGGTCACCTCATTGGTGGTCTCCAGACGGCCCAGGTAGAAGGCGAGGATGTCCTGCACTTTCTGGCTCTCAATCTGGGCCAGCAGTCCACCTTTTCTCTGTAACCCCCACCCCGGTCATGCTGGACTGGCAGGGCCCCCAGAGCTCGTGCCAGCCCCTCCTGCCCTTCCTGCCACCCACCCCCCATGACTATGGATGCCAAATGTGTGTGCTGGCCTGGTCCTGACAGCCTCCTGCCTCTAAGAATAAAGGTCCCCTTCCACTCCCCTGCCTGTTTCTCCTCTCCCTGAGCACAGGATCCCAAGTGGCAGCCCCTGGAGACCCCAGCAGGGTCCTGCCCTGGGAAAGGTTTTGTTTCGCCTGCACAGCCTCTTACACGCAAACTGACTGCCAGTATTAGTACACTGAGAGATGTCAACAAAAATCTGCATTTCTGGTTCTCTTGAAAAATCCCAAGTTCTGGTCATGCTTAACTCAAATTTCTTCATGGTGACCCACAGCTGGAGCCGAGTCAGGTCAGCTCCCTTGGATAAAGGTTGGGAGGGACCTTGTCTCTGGGTCCCTCAGCTCATTAAGTGACCTCCCAGCTTCCATGAGCCTCTGAGTCTGGGACTCCTGCTTTATGCTAATGAAGGGTGTGAGGTCAGAGATGTCAAAGGAACCAGCTGTCCAGTCCAGGGTCCCTCCAATAAGTCCGTCACTTGAGACCCTGGACGTTCCAGGGAAGACAGGGGACAGCCATCACCTGGCATTTCAGCTTGGCTCCATAGTAGGTGTCCGCCTCTGAAGACACCATGAAGCAGTCTCCGTCGATCCTCAGGTCGCAGGTGTGGAAGGGAAAGTGTACCTTGGCTGGGCAGGGGGTGCCGAGTCAGTGTGTGCGGACCTCAGAATTGTCACCCTCCCCCGCCCTGCCAAGGAGCTGCACCCAAAGTGTCCCTTCCTCTGGCTACCTGCTCCAGACTGGAGAGTGGGTGGGGCAGGGGTGTGCCGGTAAGTGTGTAACGAGGAACTCTCTCTCACTCCCACCCACCCAAAAAAATCCACAGTTTGTAGTATTTGCCAATTTTTGTGGTGTAATTCCCCACACTGCGGTCGACTTTGAGCGACAATATGACATCACTGACTGAGGGGTTGGGAGAAGATGTATACGTAGTGGGCTCCTGGGAGTTGGCACCACGAAGGGGGCCTGGGGCGGCACTCACTGGCACACTGGGCTCCCCCATAGCCCACGTCGCAGACGCAGGAGCACTCCTCCTCCCGGAACCGGCCGTGCACGCACTGCACGCTGCACCGCACTGCCAGGGCAGGGCAGGGGGGCACAGCGCTCAGCCCCCAGCCATGTGGATACCACGCTGCCCCACACAGGCCTCGAACATTCAGAAATGCCAACCACAGCAAGAACACCCCTCAGGGACAGAACCTATCAGGACTTCCAACTGCTGCCACGCTTGGTGTCTTCGGTTTGATCCCCATTGTAGACAGAGGCAAATTGGGGTTTGGGAGGTGACCTGCTCATAGTCACAGAGCACGGAGGGGTGGGGGCAGTGCGGTAAGAATTCACCTCTGGTTCCTAATTCTATCCTCCTCCCACCATCCTAGACCCCAACGGGTCAAATCTGATTCTACTTTGGATCCCCTGCACAGTTCAGGGTCTAGCAGACAGTTGGTGCTCCATAAATGCAGTGTGCACACTCAGCACGTACATGGTCAGCAGTCCCTAACAGACTGGAGACTCCCTCAAAGTGTAACAGCCCAGGACACGGGCAGGCGTGTGCACACCCGGTCTCTGCCTCCCTCCTCACTGCTAGGGGGCTGCCTGCCTATGCACTGGGTCCCCCGGCAGTCGTGATCTGGAACTCCAGTGCCCCTCACCTTGGCAGTATCTGCCTGTGTAGCCCGGGGGACAGTGGCAGTGGCAGGTGCTGACATTTAGATGTCCGTGGTTCCGGCAGCTCATGCGACACGGGTTCCTGGGGACCTCTGGTCAGATGAGGGGGGAGCCTCCCTGGGTGCTGAGGGCCAGGGCTTCCCGGACAGCCCCTCAGGAAGCTGCCACCCACCCCAGGATGACCACACCAAGCCCTCATGTGCCTGCTGCCCCAGGACAGGGCAGGTGGGTGGGGCACTCACCACAGAGCCCCCCTGCGTGGTCCCAGGCTTTGAAGCAGCCCGAGACGCTGGCTGTGCAGAGAGAACACCAGGCGCCCTTCTTATAGGGGACGATTGTTTTCCCGTTGACCTCCCAGTTGCCGCTGTGAGAGCAAGTGCCAAGGGTCTGCAAGGGCCTTGCTGCCTGCCCCCCAGGGCCCCTCAGCTCCTCTGGCCCCACTAGGGAGTTAGGGAGCTGGATAAGATGGGGAGATTCCCTAGGAAACTGAAGATGACCTCCAAACTAGTCCTGGGCAAATTCCCCGACACTAGGGTCAGGCTTCCGGGAAGGCACATTTGTATGGCCAGAATCTTCACCCTCTCCCTTTCTGCTTTTTCCCTCCCACCAATGGGTAAAGGCCTTCCAGGTGTGTGGGTGAGCATGTCACGGTGGGTGAAAGCATCCCTCCTCACCTCCCAGACGGCCCAGCAGGAGTGGCAGGGCAGCTGCCATAATGGGGGCTTACCCAGGGGAGTAGGCACAGACAAAGGCTTCCACGGCTGCCTGGCCCATGGAGCACAGATGCCGCCCACAGCCCAGCTGGCTCGAGGTGGCCCACACGAGCTGCAGGAGACACAGTGGCTCAGAAACCCTATCGTGGACTAGATCTCAGGAGGGGGACATAGCTTTTGCCACAATCCAGGCAGGCAGACAGCTCCCTCACCTCCTTGGGGGCCTTAGGAGCTGCGGCTGTCCTGGGCAGGGCTATAGCCTAGGATGGGGGCAGGGAACAGCCTAGGAAGGGTTTCTAAGTGGAGGGGGTAGGGCCAGCAGACCTGAAGGGAGGGGAGATTGTGGATGGGTGGAGATAAACTTGGACATCAAGGACCTTGTGATTGCAAAATGACCACAACCCTTCTTGCTACGTGACTTTACAGCTCTTTGCAGTAAGAGGAGGTATGTCTTTCCCCACGCCTTGAATCTGGCTGGCCTTGGGACCTGTGTTTTTCAACAGATTGCAGCAGAAATGATACTGGACTGATTTTGAATCTGGTGTCAGAAGATCTTGCAACTTCCATTCAGTTTCACAGAACTATGCTCAGCCACCATACAAACAAGCTCAGGACAGCCTGCTGGAGGTTGAAAGACTCACAGGGCAAGATGAGCTACTTGGGGCCATTCTACACAGCCAGTTCCCAGCCACCCACTAGTTGACTGCAGCTGCATGAGTGGGCCCAGCCAGGACCAGAGAACCTCCCAGCAGAGCCCAACCCAAATGACTGACCTGCAAAATCAAAGGCTGCTAAATTTTGGGGTGGTATGTCATGCAGCAAAAGCTAATAGATATAAATCTTTAAAGTCTTAGAATCGGTGACAATTTGGAAACAGCACAAGTGGTCAACACAAGAACAGATAAATAAGCAAACACTTTGGTAGCCAGATAAGTATGAAACTGGGTTGTGGGAGAGAGAGGTGAGCATGCAGTTATATAACTATATCCAATAATTACAGAGTTTGCATTCTTTTAAAGAATCTACAGAACTTTTGCAAATCACAAAGCAAGACCCCGTATTAGACCACAAAGCAAGTCTTTACAATACCAAGGAATCAACATCCTACAGGCCACATTCTATGAATTCAATGTAATGAAATTTAAAGTAAATAATTTAAAAGTAAGTAAAAATGAAAATGGAGTTTGGAGACTTAAATATACACTTCAAAATAAAAAACAATATCATGATTGGAAATAGGAAATAGCTCTGAATAACAATTAAAACACTAAACACCAAAACTTATGGGATGCAGCTAAAATAGTTGAGAGGGAAATTCATAGCTTTAAATGCACATAGTGAAAAAAGAAACAGATTTAAAATGAATGAATAAGAAACCACATCACGGAGATAAAAAAGAATAATGGGCCGGGCGCTGTGGCTCACGCCTGTAATCCTAGCTCTTGGGAGGCCGAGGCGGGCGGATTGCTCAAGGTCAGGAGTTCAAAACCAGCCTGAGCAAGAGCGAGACCCCGTCTCTACTATAAAAACAGAAAGAAATTAATTGGCCAACTGATATATATATATAAAAAATTAGCCGGGCATAGTGGTACATGCCTGTAGTCCCAGCTACTCGGGAGGCTGAGGCAGAAGGATCACTCGAGCCCAGGAGTTTGAGGTTGCTGTGAGCTAGGCTGACGCCACGGCACTCACTCTAGCCTGGACAACAAAGTGAGACTCTGTCTCAAAAAAAAAAAAAAGAATAATGGAGTAAATTAAATAAAGTAGAAGAAAACATAAGGGCAGAAATTAATAAAATTAAGAATAAAGAAAAAACAGAGAACAAAAGCAAAAAGCTGATTTGTTGAAAAGACTAATAAAATAGACAAAAGTTTGTGAATATTGGTAAAGAATAAAAAAGAGAGAAGGTAAAAATAAACAATATTGGAAATTTAAAAGAACAAAGCTATAGAATAAATATATCTTTTTAAATCTATGCTTAATTCCAGTTTAAATCTCTTGTTAAGTAATGAGCAATTAAAACCAATAAATTGGAAAACATAAAATGGACAATTCCCTAGAAAACAGAACTTGGAAAAACTGTCTCAAGAAGAAATAGAAAACTTTAAATGATCTATAACCATTTCCAAAAGTTGAGTCAGTACTTAAAAATCTATTCATATGTGCACATATACAAACAAAAAACAGAACAAGGCTGAAATAGTTTTATAGGAGAGTTATAGGAAATAACACAGAAATTGTTCCAGAGAATAGAAAACGAAGCAAAGATTCCAACTCACTTCCTGAGGTCAGTACAGCGTTTCTATAACCCAGGTAAGGGCAGTAGGAGAAAAGAAAATTAAAAGTCAATTTCATTACCAATAATATTTAGCACATCAATTCCAGCAATGAATTCAAAACACAACACAACATAAACACACACACACAGAAATGATCATGTATGCCATCACTTTAACAGATATTTTTAAACAGTAAGATTATTTTAATAGATGTAGAAAAAGCATTTCATCAAACACAGACCCAGTCATGATTTTTGGGGGGGACAGAGTCTCACTTTTGTTGTCCGGGCTAGAGTGCCGTGGCATCAGCCTAGCTCACAGCAACCTCAAACTCCTGGGCTCAAGCGATCCTCCTGCCTCAGCCTCCTGAGTAGCTGGGCCTAAAGGCATGCACCACCATGCCTGGCTAATATATATATATATATAACTATAACTATAACTATATATATATTTAGTTGGCCAATTAATTTCTTTCTATTTATAGTAGAGACGGGGTCTCGCTGTTGCTCAGGCTGGTTTTGAACTCCCGACCTTGAGCAATCCACCTTCCTCAGCCTCCCAGAGTGCTAGGATTGCAGGCATGAGCCACTGTGCCCACCGCACCCAGCCCCCAGTCATGATTTTAAAAAAGCTTAACAAAGGCAGGGCATGGTGGCATGTGCCTGTAGTCCCAGCTACTAGTTTTTTTTTTCTTTTTTTCCCCTGGCAATAGACTGATGGAAGTCCCAGCTACTAGAAAGGCTAAGGTGGGAGGATCACAGGAGTTGGAGCCAGGAGTTGGAGGTTGCAGTGAGCTATGATGACACCACTGCACTCTAGCCCAGGCAACAGAGCAAGACCCGCTCTTAAAAAATAAAAATAAAAAACAATAAAAAGAAGAAGGAAATGTCTGTAACCTGATATGGGATATTTGTTAAATTTGTAGGAAAGAATCAAGAACCATGACTAGACAAGATATTTTTGAACAAATATGGAGAATGGGGAGTCGTCATGTCAAAGCTTTTTATAACACCGTAATAATTTAAACACAGTTTGTGCAGGGACAGATGAAAACACCAACAGAACAGAACAGAGAGCTCAGTAACAGCCCTGTGTGCATATATGAACTTAGCATATGACTCTGGTGGCATCATGAATCAGCTGGGGAAGGATTCAATAAAAGGTGCTCATATGGAAAAAGATAAAATTAAGTCCTATGTCACAGTATGCACGAACATTTCAGGTGGCTAAATGACCTCAGTAAGAGAACATTTAAACCTTGGAAGAAAGTACAGAAAAAAATATCTTTCTGATATTAGGATAGAAAAGAATTCCTCCAACATGATACAACAAAAAGGATGCACTATAAAGGAAAAGACTGATAAAATGGATTACATTAATATCAAAATCTTCTACACAATAAAAGATAACACAAAGAGAAAACACAAGCTGTATGCTAGAAAAAGTATTTGCAAACCATGGGATAATCAAAAAGTATACTGAAAGGATGCCTACACATTAATAAGAAAAAGATAAACTGTGTTGTAAAAATGGGCAAGGGATAGGTAATTAGTAGGGTGGGAAATGTGCTCAGTCTCACAGGTGATGGGGAAATGAAATTGAAAACAGAGGGAGGTTTTTACACCCTGGATTCTGACAAAAATCAAGGAGCCCGACGATGCCAGGAAGTGGGAACTGGTTTGCTGGTCTGTACAGCTGCTGTAATTGCTCTGGCAACACATGGTTGTATGTTCCCTGTCACAGGCCAGTCCTTTTCTGAGTCTCTCCTAGAGAAACTCTGGACACACACATACAAGAGGACCTGAACAGGGTCTGTATACTGCGGTATGGTTTGTAATAATAAAAAAGCGGAAATAACCTAGATGCCCATCCATATCCTTCAGAATGAATGAATTGCATTTTATTCATAGTGAAACAGGAATAGTCAACATGAATCCCCTGTGCCTATGTGGATCATCGGAAGTAAATCTTATATGTGGTCTGGAGTGATAAAGTTTCAAAAGGAGACACAGAGAGAGAACATCCATGTAAGATTTAAAAACGCAACTCATTTGCATAAGTGGAAAACATACAAAAACACTTATACATGTAGTAAATATATCAAAACCTGCTTGGGATATGGCTTCTGCTTTTCAGTGCTGTACCTTAGCACCGAAAGAGTACCAGGTACGTAAAAAGCACTTCACAGGCCGGGCGCTGTGGCTCACGCCTGTAATCCTAGCTCTTGGGAGGCCGAGGCGGGCGGATTGCTCAAGGTCAGGAGTTCAAAACCAGCCTGAGCAACAGCGAGACCCCGTCTCTACTATAAATAGAAAGAAATTAATTGGCCAACTGATATATATATATAAAAAAAATTAGCCGGGCATGGTGGCGCATGCCTGTAGTCCCAGCTACCCGGGAGGCTGAGGCAGAAGGATCACTCGAGCCCAGGAGTTTGAGGTTGCTGTGAGCTAGGCTGACGCCACAGCACTCTAGCCTGGGCAACAAAGCGAGACTCTGTCTCAAAAAAAAAAAAAAAAAAAAAAAGCACTTCACAAATATTTGTTGAACAAAGAGAAAAAAAAAAGAAACCTGCTCGGAAGTGATGGATCTGAACTTCAGGAAGGTTCCATCCGGGCAGGGACAGAGAGGAAAGGGAGGAAGTGGAACTTTAGCTTAGTAATATCTTCTAAATCTAGGCAGTGGGTAAGAAGAGGTTCATTTCTAAATTTATGTTTTAAATGACTCATATTTAAGATGGAAAAAAGTAAAATTAAACAAATAGGAGGAAAAGGAATCCCCAAAATGTAGGACAAATCATAGCCTTTTCTGAGACGACTCGGCTGGCCTCGGGGGCCTGGGAGCCTGTCCCTTGGCCTCACCTGCGACACACTCACCTGAGTGTAGCGGGCACAGGTGGCATTGTGGGCACACTCGGCTGCGGCGTGGCTATACCGCTGCCCCTCTGCGAACCACAGGCTGACCACTTCGGCAAAGGATGCCAAGCCTGCTGGCTGCAGCTGCTCGTTCCAGCCCACATGGAGGGCAGATGCCGGGCTGGGGCCTGGGGTGCCACAGAGGGCTGCCCTGGCTTGAGCCAGTCGGGCCAAGCTCTCGCTCCAGTCCTGCGGGTGGCACAGACAGAGGCGTCAGTGGGAGGCCTTTAGGTAATAAAGGAGGGGACTGTTGGGCCAGGCCTCAGTGATTCAACTCCTCCACTGTCTACAAGCACCCAGGAGGTGCCCGCCAGGTCATGTGGAGAAGCGAGCACTGGATGAGGAGTCCTGCTTGCACACCTGACGCTCTGAGCTGGTCTCCCTCACTGAGCTGGGGGGAGGAAAGTTCAGGCAGGACACACCGGGAGCTCTCCCAGGTGCCTGACACCGGACCCAGAGCTCGGCTCCTCCCAGGACGGAGCCTCCCTCTCTCCGAGTCCTGGCGTGGGCACCTGGGGGCTCTGCACAGGCAAGGGGATGAGCTTCCGGTGCCCTGGTCCTGTCAGGAAGTGGTGCCCCAGCCTCCCCGGCTGGCTCTGTGTTCTGCCCATTGTCAGAAAGGCTCAGTGGTTCCCACCTGGCCAAGCTGCCCTCCTGTGGTGGCCGTGCCTCTCTAGCCTGTTTTCTCAGTGCCGCCCCCCCTGCCTTGGAGTAAGTCAGGGTACAGTGTGGAACCAAATGGTGTGAGAGGACTCCTGGTTTTGGAGAGCTGTCTGGAGCAGGCCTCACTGCCCCCCTACCCCACCCCCTGGCCCAGCCATGCAACCCCCAGTGGTTACCTAATCTCCAAGAGACTCAGCGTCCTCATGTGTAAAATGGGGACGATGCAGGATAGCACGCTGTGAGGATTGAACAGGTTCAGGGGGAAGGTGCCCCTCAGGGCTGCCCCAGCAGGCCTGGCCTCGCAGATGTTCCCTGTGACTCTGCCTCTGATGAGGGCGCAGCGGGAGCAGGGGACTCCTGGGCCCTCACACCAGTCTCCAGTGTGTACAAAGCAGGGCGCTATGGGCCCTAAAGGTCCGCAAGGGAGCCCAGGGCCCAGGGCCCAGGTGGGAGGAGGGCTGAGGGGTAGGTTCCACTTGTACCTTTTACTGAAATGTGGTTTCCCAGGACTTCAACAAAAGGCCCTGAAAAGGGTGCCAACTGCCGGCCCCCTGGCCACAGCACCTGTGAGGTCCCAGGCAGGAGCAGCCCCCACTGGTTGTCATAGCTGGGAAGAGCCCTGGCTGCCCAGGGGCTGGGCCTGAGGAGTGGCAGAGCCATTCAGGGCCAGGAAAGGGGGAGAAGTGACATCTCCCCCACAGCCCCGCCCTCCCCACCCCCACCTCCTGGGAAACTGACCCCAGAGCTCTCAAGGTCACTGCTAGCCTAGGAGGAGTCCATGGGAGGCAGCCATGGGGAACCTTGCCTGCCCCCGCCGGGGCCTGCCCCTGCTCCCTGGCCTGTGAACGTGGGTTGAGGCTGCTGGGTCCCAGACTATGGGGGTGGCAGCTCTGAGCCCCCTGAGCACAGCTAACCCCGTAGCCCCACTTGGGGTGGTGGGAAATGCCACCTCCCCATACCTGCTCCTGCTGCGAAACATGAACAGTGAATGAGCAGGGCACTTGGCAGAGGCCCCGCCTGGTGGCCTGGATAAGCCCAGGAAGATGTCCACCCTCCCCACCCCCACCCCCCATCCCCCATCCTGCTGGACTCCTGGGGAAAATCCCTTTCCCTGGAGGAGGGGACTGTCTCTTTCCATGTCTCCTGGTCTCCATGGTGACAGGATGCCAGGGAAGGCCCAAGGCCTGCCCTTCAGGCCTGTGTGAGCCGAGGGGCCAGACCTCCTGCACTGAGGGTCCCCTGGGGGGAAAAAGCCACAGAGTCCCAGGACCCAGGGCCACAGTCTCTCCAGTGGGCGAGGTGACTGGCTGTGCCTGAGCCCTCCTCTGGGGCCTGTCCCTCCAGCTGCCCCCTGGCAGAGCAGAGCCGGCTGGGGCACTCACCATTCTCTGCATGTTGGCCGCGGGCGGGTGAACCCGGCTGCGCAGGCGGTTGTGCAGCGAGAGTAGCAAGAAACTCTCCTTCCTGCTCAAGGCTATGGTGGAGAGAGAAGGTCAGACTGCGAGCAGGAGACCTGGGCCTGAGCCAGGGCGGGTGAGGGTGCAAGTCTCCCTTAGGAAACAAGACCTAAGCTGGAGAAGAGGGTGGTGGGTGTGGGGAGGGCAGGGGGCACATGGATGGAGAAGGAAGCCTGGGGACAGAAGCTGGCCTCAGAGTGGGGTGAGGTCAGCGGGGCGTGGGGAGGGCAGCTGACCTTGCCTGGGGCTCTTGCCTGCCCTTGCCTGGGGCTCTGCTCGGCCACTGAGGCGCTTCTGGGCCCAGCTGCAGGCTCTGGTCAGTTTTCCTCCTTGACCCCAGCCCTGGGCCCAGCCCTTCCTCCTTCCTCCTCCCCAGCCCCAGCCCTGGCTCCAGTCCACCACAGTTCCCTCATTAAGTCACATCAGCATAGCCCAGGGCTCCAAAAGTCACCTAGCACCCCCTCTGCAGAGTTCACAATGCTTCGCCCAAATGTCCCTTACCTCCGGGCACTGGAGCCTGCTCCTGCGGGTGGGGCATCCACACCTCCGCCCGGGCGATGCCAAGGAGAGCCAGGAGCACAGGCAGGAGGCCCCCCAGCCCGGGGGAGGGCTCCAGCCACAGCATGGGCCGGTCGGGCGCTCCGGGCACAGCCTGGCTCAGCCGTCCAGCTCGCTTCCCAGGCTGGACGGAGCTATTCACAATATCGAGGAGTCAGACTGGGCTGGTAGACAAAAGAGGGAGGCTGGTGAGTAAGTAATCGGTGTGTCCAAACAGCCTCCCGTCGGCGCTGGCATAAAAAGGGACAGACAGCTCCCAGGGCTACCCGCCTGCTCCAGCCTCAGCCAGCCCAGCCCGCCCCACCAACAGCAGGCGGAGCGGCGCGCACTGACCCCATGGCCCCTGCTAATCATTGCAGGATTATTAGCGCCCTTGGGGAGCCCCCAGAGACCCTGTTGATTGGCCCACGGACATTCCAGGGCTGGGGATTAGTGACCGATAGCTGTGCCCTGGCTGGGACGGTGTCCTCCGAGCCCATCGGTGGTTTCCACTCCCCAGCCCCAGGCCCAGGGAGGAGGCTGGGGCCTCAGCTATGTGCTCTTCGGTGGGCAGGACCTGGGCAAGACCCCAGGGGAGTTCTTCCCTTTCCTGGGAAGCTCCTCCCAACCCCCCAGCCATGAATTAAAAATGGACGAGAGGTAACCTCACACCGGACAGGTACCGCCAGTGGGCTCATGGGGGAATGGGCCGGGGCCGCTCCTGCAGGAGGGAAAGGGTACCTTAGGACAGTCTGTCTGGGTAGTGCCCCCCACCCTCCCCCACGTGATGGCGCCAGGAGGGGCGAGGCAGGCGGGGACCAGAGCACGTGATGCCCTCGGCTGACTCCACTCATGCTGGGAAGGAGTCTGTCTCCAGACAGACAGGCGGTGTAGCAGGAGGGCAGCAGATTGACATGGTGCGCAGGCCTGGCTGTGACCTACATAATCCCACCAGGATAAACTGCAGCAGATCTGCACCACAGCCCTCATTTCTTAGAAAATAAAAGACTGTCCTGCAGGCCACAGGCAAATGCCCGCATTCCTCTCAGGGCAGATGGAGGGTTATTCAACTGTGCCAATGGCCCACCTCTCAAACCAACTGCTTCTGTCCTCTGGAGTTGGCGTGACTGCAGACCCTGGGCCAGCACCTCTCAGAGCTGGGTGTCGACTCCTTGGAGACTCGGCTGAGATGCAGGTGGGCTTGACTTTCCTGGGGGGACACCATTGGGCTGTGGATGTCATCATGGGTGTTGGGGGTGGGGGGTGAGGCCAGCCACAAGGACCAGGAAGCTGGCCTGGGGCTGTGGATCTCCTGACCATACCCAGGGCCTCCCTCAAACGGATAATTCAGCAACCTCAAACTCACCACATCCAGGTCCCAGCTCTGCTTAGTAACAGCTACCTTTTCTTGCAGAGCTTACAAACCATGTTCACGTGTGCAAGTTCATCTCATTGACATAACAGCTGTGTAGTAGCAGATGGGACACCCATTCTGTAGATGAGGAAACTGGGGCTCAGTGTGGACCCCAGCTAATCAAAGATCTCTGCCCTCATACCCCAGCACATTCATTCACATGTCGATCTTTCTGAGTTCGGTTGCCACAGCTCTGCTCTGTGCTGGGTCATAAAATACCCACTTCCTACCCCTGGGTTTTGATGATAAACGTGAGTAGTTGTCCCATAATAGCATGATGCTAGGCACTTGGGATAGGTGGGAGGAAAATATATTTTGGGGCTCAGAGTGGAGCAACTTTTGAGGGTCCCTGGTGGCCGTGGCTCATGGCAAGGTGAGTCCAGAGTGACCACAGGGTCACAAGCCAGAAGAGAAGGAGCTGAGTGGATAAAGCAGGAGATGAGACACTTGAGGGCCTAGGCTCTCCCTGATAGCTCTGTGTGACCCTGGGAGTGACTTCCACTCTGAGCCTCGGCATCCAATGGCGGGGCGTAGGGCTGGGATGACCACCTCTGCTGGACTCCCTAACCAGGGCATTGCATCTCGGTTTATGTGATATTTCTTCCTGGATCCAGACTTCCTGCTGGAGCCGGCTCAGGGGTGGGGCTGGGTTTTAGCAACAAACAGCCCCATTCTTGCAAGGCACTTTCTCTGGGTGAGGCTACATGTGGCTTGTATCCAGCACCCAGATTTTGCAATTCACAGTTTGCTATGTTTGTTTTATCACGTAAGTCTCTAACCATCCACCCCCCTCCAGCTCATGCATGGCTGTCACCTCTGCTCTCAGTCTGCACTCGGAGCCGCAGCATTCAAGCCATTCTGTCTCTGAAGCAGCTCGTTTCTTCAGAGCCATGAAATACTGTTGATGGTCTCCAAAAAAAAAATCTCTTTAAGATTTACATTCAAGCCAGTCATGGTGGCGCATACCTCTAGTCTTAGCTGTTCAGGAGGGTGAGTGAGGCAGGAGGATCACTTGAGCCCAGGAGTTCAAGAGCAGAGTAGGCAACATAGCAAGACCCCATATCTAAAAAAAAAAAAAAAAAAAAAAAAGATTTACGTTCAACTCCAGGAGAGCTGTGGCTGCATTTTTTTAAAAAATTACATGTCCATTTTAAATTTCTAAAAAATTTCTTTTTGAAAAACATCAAACTTGTAGAAAAGTTGAAAGAATAGTCCAATGATCATTCATATACATTTTACCTAGATTCATCCATTGCTAACATTTTGCCTCTTTTTATATATAAAAAGTCATGCACCTCGTAACAAAGTTTCAGTTAATGACAGACCAGACCCAATATATTAATACTAAGTGGTGCCACAAATTATCAAACTATTTACTGTACTTTTTCTATGTTTAGATACACAAATATTTACCATTGTGTTACAACTGTATCCAGGACAGTATACAGGACATGCTATACAGGACTATACTCCATAGCCTAGGGATGTAGTACACTATTCCATCTAGGTTTGTGTAAGTGCACTCTATGATGTTCCACAATGACAAAATCACATAATGACACAATTCTCAGGACACAGCCATCGTTAAGCGACACATGATTACACATACATATATATATATGTACATATATATATACACACAATTGAGGTAATATTTATGTACTCACTGTACATACCTTACATGTACAATTCAATGAATCCTGTCAAGTGTACACATGGGTGTAACCAATACCCTAGTCAGCATACAGACTATCTTTGTCTCCCCAGAACTTTCCTTCATGCCCTTTTCTGGTCAACTCTCATTCCCTAATAAGCAACTTCTACTCTAACTTCCATCAGCATAGGTTAAGTTTTATTTCCTCTGACTCTCATATACATGGACTCATACAATATGCACACTTTAATGTCTGGAATCTTTTCCTCCATATCGTGTCTGTGAGATTCTCCACATTGTTGTCTATATCAGTAAGTTGTTTCTTACTTGTTTAAAATTGCTGGTAGCATTTCATTGTATATCCAGTTGTTTATTCATTCTCCTAGCAAGAGAATTTGGGTTGTTTTAAGCTTCTGTTTGTTATGAATAAAGTTGCTGTAAACATAACTGTACAATTTAAAAAATTCTTTTAATAAATACCCAGAAAAGAGAGACAAGATAAAATTATCCATATCACGAGGGAAAAAGGGGACATCATGACAACTGATGAAATCAAAAAGTTTATAAGGAAATATTAAGAACAACTTCATGCTAAAAAAAAAAATCTTTTCCACAAAGAAAAGCTTAAGTACAAATGACTTCACTGGCAAATTTTACAAAATATTTAAGGAAGGAAAAATACCAATCATGTACAAACCTTTTCAGAAAGCAGAAAAGGAAGAACATTTCCAAACTCATTCTCCAAGGTCAATGTTACCCTTACACCAAAACCAGGCAAAGACATCACAGGAAACTCTAGAATAATATGCCTCATAAATATAGACAAAGAAATCTTCAACAAAGTATTACAAAACTAATCTAACAACTTATAAAAAGGATTAAACAACATCACTGAGTGGGATTTATTTTAGGAACATAGGGTTGCTTTAACATCTGAAAATCAGCTAAAGGAATGCAGTGAGGCCAGGCATAGTGGCTCACACCAGTAATCTCAGCACTTTAGGAGGCTGAAGTAGGAGGATCGCTTAAGCCCAGGAGTTTGAAGCTGCAGTGAGCTATGACGATGCTGCTGCACTCTACCCCGGGCAACAGAGCAAGACCCTGTCTCAAAATAACTAACTAAAAGAAGGAATGCACTATATTAATAGTCATAAAGGACAAAACCCACATGCTCATCTTAAAGATAAAGAAAAAGCATTTGATAAAGTCCCAAATCTACTCCTGTGAAAATTCTCAACAAACTAGTATTAATAATAGGAAGGAAATTCCTCAGCCTAACAAAGGGCCCCAGCTATGAGTTGAACTGTACCCCCACCAATGGATATGTTGAAGTCCTGACTCTAGCACCTCAGAATGTCTTTGGAGTTAAGGTGTTTAAAGAGGTAGTTAAAGCTAAATGAAGTCATTGGGGTGGGCTCTAATCCAACATGACTGGTGTGCTTATAGGAAGAGATCAGGACACAGACACAGAAGGAAGACCATGTGAATACACAGGGGAGGAGATGGCCAAGTACAAGCCGAGAGAGGCCCTCAGAAGAAACCAACCCCGTCGACACCTTGATCTTGGCATTTAAGCCTCTAGAACTGTAAGAACATACATTTCTGTTGTTTAAGCCACCCAGTGTGTGGCACCTTGTATGGCAGTCCTAGCAAATGAATACAGCCCCTATGAAAACCCTACAGCTAATATCATACTTTATGGTGAGACTAAATGCTTTCCTCCCTAAGATCAGAAACAAGGCAAGGATGTCTTTTCTCAAGACTTCCACTCAGCAAAAGTAGTGTTTTATTTTTGTTATTGTCTTCGTTTTTTTGTTTGTTTTTTGAGATAGGGTCTTGCTCTGTTGCCTGAGCTAGAGTGGTGTGGTGTCACCATAGCTCATTGCAACCTCAAACTCCCAGGCTCAAGTAATCCTCCTGCCTCAGCCTCTCGAGTAGCTAGGACTATAGGCATGTGCTACCACCCCCGGCTAATTTTAGAATTTCTTTGTAGAGACAGGGTCTTGCTATATTGCCCAGGCTGGTCTCAAACTCCTGGCCTTAAGTGATCCTCATGCCTCAGCCTCCCAAAGTACTTGGGATTACAGGTGTGAGCCACCACATTTGGCCCTTTTAGTTTTTTTATAATGTAGATCTGCTAGCATCAAATTCTCTATTTTTGTTTATCTGGGAATGTTTTTATTTCACCTTCATTTTTTTTTTTTTTTTTTTGAGACAGAGTCTTGCTTTGTTGCCGAGGCTAGAGTGAGTGCCATGGTGTCAGCCTAGCTCACAGCAACCTCAGACTCCTGGGCTCAAGCCATCCTCTTGCCTCAGCCTCCCGAGTAGCTGGGACTACAGGCATGCACCACCATGCCTGGCTAATTTTTTCTATATATATTAGTTGGCCAATTAATTTCTTTCTATTTATAGTAGAGATGGGGTCTTGCTCTTGCTCAGGCTGGTTTCAAACTCCTGACCTTGAGTAATCCGCCTGCCTTGGCCTCCCAGAGTGCTAGGATTATAGGCGTGAGCCACTGCGCCCGGCCTTCACCTTCGTTTTTGAAGGGTAATTTGCTGGATATGGAATGCTTGGTTGATAGGTTTTTTTTCTTTTAGCACATTAAATATGTGATCTCATTGCCTTCTTCCCCTTGTTTCTGATGAGAAGTCAGCTTTTAATATGGAGGCTTCCTTGTACATGCTGCAGAGTTTCTTCTCTTGCTGCTTTCATGATTTTCTCTGTTGTTTGACATCTCGTCTGTGATGTGTGTAGGGGTTAATCTCTGAGTTGATCTCACTTGGCGTTTGTGGATGTATAATGGAGCTTCTTGGATGTATAATGTTTTCTGTCATGTTTAGCAAGTTTTCAGCCACTGTTTTTTCTGCAGCAACATCTTGCTCTTTTCTGGCTGAAACCATGGGTGTTGAAGAGGAGAAAAAGAAGCTTCCTGCTGTGCCAGAAACTCTTAAGAAGGAATTTTGCAGAGCTGAAGATCAAATGCTTGAGAAAGAAGTTTGCCCAACAAATGCTTTGAAAGGCAATGCTGGGTTATCAACCTTCCCAGGGAGATTTGATGAGTCTGACTTGGGCTTCCAATAGATCCTGACATAGTCCACACAGCACAAGGGGCCGTGTGAACCCAGAAAACCTCAAATCACACGCCACAGCGCCACCTACTGGCCCGTGGGTGTGGACAAAGGCAATAAAGGAAGCATGACCTGACCTGGGAGGTGACAGGGCATTTTCCCCGGTTTCAAGTTGGCAAACAGTTTCTGCTGTTCACTCTGCCCTGTTCATTTAGCCACCTACTAAATGCTAGGTGTTGGAGTTTTAAAGAAGTCAAGTCCTTCTCAGAGGGATATACAGAGCCAGTAGGGGATAAAAAGTAAAGCTATATCAGCAAACGATGTGGTGGGTGTTTTTTTTTTCGGACAGCTCTGTCACCCAGGCTGGAGTGACATGGCATTGGTAGCTCACTGCAGCCTTGAACTCCCAGGCTCAAGTGATCCTCCTCACTCAGCCACCTGAGTAGCTACAAGCATGTGCCACTATGCCCAGACAATTTTTTATTTTTATTTTTTTAGAGACGAGGTCTTGCTATGTGCCCAGGCTGGTGTTGAATTCCTATCCTCAAGTGATCCTCCCCCTTTGGCCTCCCAAAGTTCTAGGATTACAGGTGTGAGCCCCTGTACCTGGCAGGCTTTGTTTTGAAACATGGGAGTGCTCTGCCAGGATGACTGGGGTGTGTGTGTGTGTGTGTGGGAAGAGGATCATTTGATTCTAAATTAGGAACTTTCCACCCAAAGCAGGATGGGGGCCAGGATGGCCTTTTAGTGAGCAAAAGATGGGAGTAGCAAACCTCTCACTGTGACTTAAGAGCAGGGTGCAACATAAGATTTAGTCCCAGCTGCAGGGAGAGTGAACCAGGCTCAGGCCCCAGCATCACACCCAGCGGGGTCCCCGAGACCTGGAGCACCATGGCCGGCACACCACAGAGCCCCTTGGTTGGCCTGGAGTCTGAAGTCTATCTCATGATGAAGGGAAGTCACTTGAGGGTTTCAAGTCAGGGAGTCAGTGACCTGCTGTGTCTTAGAAAGACGACCCTGCACAGGGAGGACGGTAAAGACAAGCAGGAGAATCGTTAGGAGGTTAGTACTGAAGTCAGGGACGGTAACTGTCTCAACCACAGCAGTGACGGTGGGGACAGAGGGGCCTCAACAGATGAGAGGCATTGAGGAGACAGCCTGTCGGGCAAGTGCCAAATTGGAGGTGGAGGGAGAGGTGAGGGGGGACCAGATGACTCCCAGGTTTCTGGTGGGGCTGACCATTCATAAAGCTGAAATAAATGGGGGTGTGGAAGACCAGATGAAGATTATTGAGGACATGTTGGCCTATGCGATTCCCAGATGTAACTGCTCAAACACTGGTTGGATAAACAGAGAAAGTCCAGTGACTTAATGTGTGGCTGGACACTGGGGTAGTAACAGGCCACCGTGTGAGGACACACACACACCCTTGTTTTCCACACAAACACAGGCTCCCATGTACATGGGGTAGAGGCCAGGTCCTGACTATGAAGTTAATTGTGGGCAGCCCATGCAGTCCAGTGACAGCGACAGTAATTTCACAGGGAGGAGAGAGGATTCCCCCAGCCATGCCAGGGCTCCATGGTGGGGAAGATAAACACCCACATCCTCCCTACCTCAGTTTCTTTATTACATTGTGTTAACACAGGTAGGTACAAACTTTTTTTTTTTTTTTTTTTGACAGAGTCTCGCTTTGTTGCCCAGGCTAGAGTGAGTGCCATGGCATCAGCCTAGCTCACAGCAACCTCAAACTCCTGGGCTCAAGCCATCCTGCGGCCTCAGCCTCCCGAGTAGCTGGGACTACAGGCATGTGCCACCATGCCTGGCTAATTTTTTCTCTATATATTAGTTGGCCAATTAATTTCTTTCTATTTATAGTAGAGATGGGGTCTCGCTCTTGCTCAGGTTGGTTTCGAACTCTTGACCTCGAGCAATCTGCCCGCCTCGGCCTCCCAGAGTGCTAGGATTACAGGCGTGAGCCACCGCGCCTGGCCAGGTACAAATGGTTTTATGCACAGTTTGTCATTTGTGATGGCAAATACGTATACCAAGTCACTGCACTTGAAGAACACTTCAAAAGTAGACATGGCAAGAATCATTACGATGTCTGTTTATTCATTTACAAACCTTATAACATGAAAAGGAAATCTTAATGGAAACCTAGCTTGATAGAAATACAGCGCACAATGTTAATATCACATTCATGGGGGGCAGAAATGCTCCATCACCCTGTGTGCCCAAAGTCACCCGGGCTTCTCAGGAATAGATCCCACTTACTAAAGTGCCTCGAATGTCTTTGGGACCCCGTTCTAACTCTACACAGGAACAGAAAAGGGCTGAGCTAAACTGCACATCTACAGACACGAATAGTGAGTTACAGTACTTTACAATAATTACAATGGTGCTTTTATACATCCCAAGTGTTGACCAGAGTAAAGTGTTAACTGTGCTGTTAGAAAACCCTTCCCTGAAAGAGCTTTCTAGCACCTGCCCACCTGTTCTGAGGAAGGAGAGGCTACGTGGGGTGGATGGGAACCCACACACTGAAACAAACTTTCTTTCTCATTCTTCCTACCTATATCCACGATTTGACATTCTGGAGTGTAAGGCACTAGAACCTGGCTTAGAGAGAAGTGGCGCTCCAAGCTCCAGTTCTTGGTGTGCAAAGGAAATCTTGACATAGATCTTTTGAAACAGATGCTACAAATACCCTTCCCACCTCTCTTGTAATTTCTGTCCTTGACAGACAGGAAAACAAGAAGGCAGAAGATGTCTTTAAAGGATAAAAATCGATGCATCTAAATATGAGAAAAATGGCCCATTGAAGACGTGCGTAATTCTCCAAGACATACAGACGCTCTGCTCAGAGAAGTCAAGAATCACATACAGGGAAAACTGTGATGTTTAAAAAGAAGACGACAAAGACATACAAAAATACTCAGTCCTCTTGAAAAGTAGTGCATTGGTAGTGACGAGGGCTGCGAGGCGAGCCCGACACTGACGATGGAGGAGCCTTACAACTCAGCACCTTGGAGTGGAGGCAAAGTGGTGGCGGGAGGGAGGCGCTGACAGACCCATGGCTCACTCACCACTTCCTGCGCGGACGCGGGGCGGCCGTAAAGCCTCAAACATCTACCCTGTCTTCCACTCAACTGTGCTTCTCCTGAATCCACGTGCCTGCAAATGACATGTGCAAGATGAACATTGTGTATTCCCAAGAAAAATTTCATTATATTGCATTGATAAAATACTGCTTATATCAATGTCGGGAGTGGGCCGTGTGTGGGGCAGAGCAGAGAGAAAATTAAAAGGGCGGAAGGTCACCCTTCGGAATTCACTACTGCCGACCAAACCTCTACCTTAGGTATTAAAGAGAAACTTTTGTGGACTACACTGACCAAGAAGCAACAGAGACATAAAAATGAACCTTGTAGCTAATCCCTGAAAACAGGCCAATGCAAATGATCTACTAGGACACAGTCTTCTAGAAGATTCCCTTCTATATATTTCAAGTTCTCAAAAAAATGGTACAGACTCACTCAAATGCCAGCAAATGTGTCCATAAGACAGAGGATAAACAGAGCCAGAAATCAGGGCTGTGGGTCCTCTCTTCAGGGAAGCAAATGACACTTTCAGACAGCTACTGTCATTCCTGTATGGATACAGCCACCAACATGGTGGAGGGTGGAGGAGGTTAACATCTCAAAAGCATGCAAAGGAAGGGTGTTCATATGTCTGTCAAAGCTGCACCTTTTTTTTATATGTCTGAGTTACTTTCTGGGAAACAAGAGCCCAGGAAAGCAAGCAAGCAGGTAGAGCTGTTTGTGTGTTCAAGGAGACACCGCCCATGGACAGTATACCTCCTGATGAGACCCAAGCTGAAGCGACTAGGCTCCACTCTCATAGAAATGGACTCTCTGGGGCTCCAGGAAACTGCTGTTTAATCACTGGGCTAAGTGGTCTCTGTATCCCTGGCCTAAATGGGATCTCTTGAATTTGGGGGTACAGGGACCCCTGGAAGAACTCTAGAAATATCGTGGTTTACTGTCCAGGTTTCTCTGGAAACCGGAGCTGTCCTGCCTGTGAGGTGCTATGTGACTGTAATGCAGGGTTAAAGGACATCAAATAGTCCATGTAAGCAGTTAGTTGTTGTCCCTTTTTGTTCTTAAAACTTTCTCAATTAGAGATTTTCTGACTTCAGTTCCACTATCACAGAAGAGAAATCCTGCTGATGCAAGCTTAAATCTAAGTCAAATGACAGTGGCAGTGCTAAGTGACAGCCTTTACATGTGGCCCGAGCAATGACAGGGAAGTAATTAAAGACATTTCAAGGGACAAGGCCCACAGAAAACTTGTAAGCCTGGCTCTTCCTCTGTTTGAGGCCAGTACACTTTCCGTTCCTAAGTTCAGAAAGATTGTTTAACTGAACACACAGACAAGAGAGCGCAGAGCCCCTCCCCTATGGAAAGCACAAATGTGATGATGGATAATTTCAGAGAGAAAAAAGTACCCAACTCCCTAAAGCTAAAGTCTAGCTACCCATTCACAGGAGCCCAGAATCCTTCAAATCTCTAGGGACAGAAAACCAAGTAATCAGCTCCCAGAGTGAGCTGTCACACAAGGCAAACACATATGCCTGCTGCCCAAGAGATGGAAATGACACGCGAACGGGGGTGTTCTGATTGTCCTTCCCTGTTACTGCTGGGTTTGCAGCTGGGCCTCTGGATCTAGAGCTCCACTGGCACCCCTTGCTTACTAGAGAGGCTCCTGCCACTCAGGAGTCCAGAATACCGAGCTCTGATATCAGTGGGCCAGGGAGATTACGCTGCCTGCCCTCCTGACTGTCTAAGGTGCTTGTGACACCAGACAGAGATAAAGCAATTATGCTAGAGGCAGGGAAGAGCCACTCACTGGCAGACTTGCCTGTTCAAAGAGCTCACCTCAGACCAAATAGAGAAAAATGCCAGATTCACACTGCTTATGTATGAAGGAACCAGAAGAGATTTTGAGGATGAATTTTAAAGTGCTAAAAGATAAATCTGTAAGTTTCAGGGCACTCAATAAACAAGTGATGCCCCAGAAGATCAACACCTTGTCAATCTGAGGAGTGTGACCCTATCATGGACAAGGGGTTTCAAAGTGCAGCCTGAGAGCTTGCCCCTCAACATCCCTTCCCAGCAAGAGAAGCAGGTGCTTGAAGGGGGGAGGATGTGACGTGAGTAAACATGAGGCCAGTACTATTAGCTCCAGTTCAACAGAAAGTCACTGCATGATTTTGGACAGAGCATCAGATTTTCCTCCTACTTCTTAGAAAGGAAAGCTAATTAATAAGACAGTAATTAGCTAGCGATGAACGAGTGCAGAAAAGAAAAGAATCCAAGTCTTAGAACTCTATGTTGGACATCCTTCTGATGAAAATTCTATTTGAAAGAAATACTGTGTTGATGGCATTATCCAATTTTACACTATGGAGATACCTTTTATTTTTCAATTTGTATCTTATTAAGTGGTGATACTTCTATGTAACAGTTAAATAGCAAATTTATTGCCATAGTTAAGGTTGGAAGAGTTATGTCTTATGCACAACTCAGTTTCTTTTGGGTTGAATTACAAATAAGTTTTCACTTACAAAGATGACTTTGGAGGGGTGCAAATGCTGTGACTGGAAGAGCAGTGATACCTGTGGCTCTCCATCATCTCTTTACATCTTCTTAGGATAAGTAAGCTCCCTGCTGGCAATGCCAGCATTTGGCCAAGGGCCCATTCCTGCTCTCCCAAGTCCTTCACAGCTGCTGTTTCACTGCTCGGCTCTTCAGCTAGGCAACACCTCTCCTCCTCGCTCCTCTCTGCCTAGAAGCAGCATCTCTCAGATAGTTAAATACACATTTGCTCCAAAATAGCCAGCCCCCAAATGGAATTCTAATCATACACTCCCTTAATAAACCAACTAAGACTGCCACAGAAAGGTGGACATTGAAGTCAGTAATCAAGCAGGAGTGGTCGAGCTGGAGAAATGGCAAAAATATCTAGAAGGAGCCAGTCTAAGTGGGTAAACAGGAGATTCCAGAGAAATGCCAGAGGATGACACCCAAGAATTCTAAGCTGCTCTAATAAAATAAATGATCTCCTTTAATATACTTACAGATTTATCGGAGCTAATGCTTCCAAGATACCAAGACACCAAATGTTACAGTTTAACAAAATAACATTTCTAATAGCAGCATGTTTGCACTAAAAAAAAAAAAAATCAGATTAGGGAAGTTTATATGTAAGGGGAAAATGTAAATGTTGGGACAAGACAATACAGTCTATCATATCCACACTTCACCTTCAGAAAGCAGAGACACTGCTTAAAAGTGTGCAGGACACTCTTGGGGTAGCACACGTCATTCTCTATTTCAGAGGATATGGAGGGATGGCTGGATGGGAGAAGAGAGCCTGAAAGGAGAGAAGGAAAAGCTATCCTCCAGCCCTGTGTAACTTACATCCCCCAGGACTCGGAAAGCTCAATGAACTGACATGGGTCACCTCTGTGTGGCTTTGTTTGTTCTGTGCCAGAGGAAGTAACACCTGGGATTCCAATAGCTCTGTGAAACTCAGCACAACACACCCTCTACTCCACCTTCCTGTCCTAAAGGGAGAGAAATGTATGCTGAGCTCATAGGCCGACTGCAAAGGGGACAGGTGAAGCTGGCTTAATGCACCGGGAGAAAGGAAAATCAAGGTGGGATGGCTGAACTTTGGATAGCTAGAAGAAAAGCAGCATCGTTTTAACAGCAGAAAACTGAGCAACACCGATGTTGTACTTTTTGAGGTCAGACCTTTCAGGTAGGAAAAGCAACACAAAAGGCAACATGGTTTTTCCCTTTCAAACACTGTGGCTTACTCGTTTACTTAGCTAAAAAAGAAAAAAAAAACACCTTATTAAGATTAGCAAGAGATGAAAATTACAGGCAGGCTGTCCCAGCCCAAAGTCTGCTAAGTGGTTCCACAGGGAGGATGAGGATGGTGCCAGGTTAAATGCTCATCTTTGCTACAGACCAGAAGAGGTCCAGGCGCTGCCTCTCGTCAGTGAGGTAGATGATCATCCTCTTGCTAGAGTCATCAGGCGCCAACCCACCGCACAGCGGATCGGGAGTGTGAGCTGCCTGGCTACAAGGCACAAGCTCGTCCACAGGGCCACATCGAACACACAGCAATTCCACCGAAATCAACAGGTGACTCAGGGAAACAGCTCAAGGGGGCTGGACTCTTGCCCTGGGACCTGCACGACACCAGCCTGCCTAGCTTTGACATGCACGTTTGAAATCGGCTGTTACTGTAACCCACTTCCACAGTGGGGCTTGCTTCTTGTCCTGCCTGTCAGACAAACTCCTGCCACCATGGGGGTCTGAGCAGAGGGGAGGGAAGGGAAGAAGAGCCCAGAGTGAGTATTAGGAAGGGGATTGCAAACGGAGAAGGAGAAGATGGGAGGACACTAAAGGCTGCAAAGCAAAAAGTTTAAAAGTAGGTAAATTTCAAAATTATATCAGGGAGATAAGAGATGGGAGGCAAAGGCTCGATAAAGAGGGATGGAGTCAGTGCAAGAGAAGCTCCGAGGTGATGTTTCTCCAGGATAAGACAGCAGGGAGGTGAAACCGCCATGGCCTTATTTCCCATGCAAGTCACTCAGCTCCACTTCACCCTTTCGGTGCTTGTGGGTATAGAGGGAGGTGACAGGGTAGAGCTTGGCCTTGGCTTGGAACCGATGTCCCCCGATGTCAATCTCATACTCTCCCCGGTTGATAAAATCTGCTGTCACCACCTGCTCTTCCCCAGTGTCCTCGGAAAAATTGTGCACAAAGCCCAGGCAGATGTGGCGCTCCAGGGTGTAGCTATAGGCACTGCTGGTGGTGTTGCCAACGTACTGCCCGTTTCGGTAAATGGGCTCTCCCCACCACGGCCAAAGGTCTAGGTCTGTGTCGTGGTCATCCAGGATGAACAACGTGAAGCGTTTATACACCCCATTCTGCCTCTGATGCAGCAGGGCATCCCGACCAATGAAATCCATGCCCTAAGAAAGAAAGGAACGGCTGAGTTATCATTATCCATCGACATGCTAACCCTTACCATAAGAAGCAGTGCCACAGGAAGGGTCCCCCTGGTGTCACTGCAGCGAGACGCAGCAACCTCCTTCCATAATACTACCCCCTCCATTCCCATCCCCCAGCTTTTGGGAAATGGTGCACTTTCCACCATGTGGAAAACTGCATTCACAGCATGAAAGACACCCTCAAGAATCTGTGTAACAACAGAGGTCCATATTTTTCTTTTTCTATTTTATAAACACAGATTTTAATCACAAGACCACACAGAGCAAAAACATTTGGGAAGAAAACTCAAGTCTCAAAAATAATTGCTAGAATTGTTTTAGAAAATGTGTTTATATAATCCCAATAAAAACTCTGTGCATATGTATCTCTATTCAATGCATATGTATATGCACATATTAAAAAAAGACTAGAATAAAATAAACTATTAATAAGTGATTATCACTGAATAGATAAAATATAGGTGCTTTTAAATTTCTTCTTTATATTTTCCCATTTTCAAAAATGAGTTATTTATTACTTTTATATCAGAGAAAAATTATTACATGTAATTGCTCAAAAAGAATACTGTAGATCTACGGTATTCCTAAGGAAAAACTGCCAAGGTTTTGTTAAATAAAATAACGAAGGTGCAATACAGCAAGCATGTGGTTTCCACCATTTAGGTCAAAAAAGTAGGCAGGGGACATTATACTCGAGCATGTTTGCACTATACTGACACCCTCTAAAAGGGGGAACAAGAAACGGGAATTGCCTGGCAAATGGGACAAGAAATTAGGTAGGCTCAGAGGTGGATAAGAGACTCACTTTTCATTGAATATTCTCTTCAACTATGATGTTTTCTAAAAAAATCATGTTCCTATATTAGTTAAAAAAAATCAATAAAATTAGGCAGCTGACTATAAGACAACTAATTTTTACAAATATTCGTGTTATGTTCATGTATCACCATCCTCAACTCAGAAAAACTTCCCAGAATGCACTTAGTCTTTTGATAGCAAAGCACAGGACATAGGTATTATTTATTATGTTTTCACAGGAAGATGTTTTTTTTTTTTTTAGGATGTGTCTTTTTTTTTAATTTCAGCATATTATGGGGGTACAGATTTTAAGGTTTCAATAAATGCCCTTTCCCCCCTCCCCCCACAAGTCTGAGTCTCCGGCATGACCATCCCCCAGATGGTGCACATCTCACTCATTATGTATGTATATACCCGCCCCCATTCCCCCTCCCACCTGCCCAATACCCTATTACTGTAGTACCTATGTGTGCACTTAGGTGCTGCTCAGTTAATACCAGTTTGCTGGTGAGTATATATGGTGCTTGTTTTTCCATTCTTGGGATACTTCACTTAGTACAGGAAGATGTTTTATCCCAGAGATAATGTTTTCATTCTAGGAACATTATCCACCTGATGCTCTCATTGAGGCCTCAATCTTTTCACACTTTTCCTGCCATATTAGCTCTTCTTCCTATTCTAGTGCAGATTTCACTACTTAGGAAGCTGAATGACAGACAGGAGTCTGGATAAATATGGTACCTTATCTAATTTCACGCGAGACTCTCGTCCACATTCAAGAGGCGTCGTGAGGGTATTTAAATCCTGACCCCAGAAGGCAAAAAACTTCTCAATTCGGAGACTACGAAGGGCGTAATACCCAGCATTCCGGATTCCGTATTTCTGCCCAACACTCATCACTTCGTTGTATACATGCAGGGCATACTACAGGGAGAGATGAAAGGTTAGTTACCAGCCTACCTTCAGAATTAAACCCATAACCTGTCCGCAAGTGCTGATGGCTCACATTATTATCATGGACAAGGGAGAAGGCTGTATAGGACTCCTAGGATATCTTATCATCAATAAACCAAAACTCTACAGCCTAGGAGTTGGGGTCACTCCAACCCAGACTATAAACTCCATGAAAGCAGGATCCACATCTTTTCATTTCTCTAAAATGTCTCTGAGAGGCCTGGTGCATTGGCTCACACCTATAACCTGAGAATTTTGGGAGGCTGTAGAGGGTGGATCACTTGAGGCCAAGAATTTAAAACCAGCCTGGAGGGGGGGGTAAAAAAAAAAAAAATAAAACCAGCCTGGGCAACACAGCAAGACATGGTGCCAGGCGTGGTAGTGCATGGCTGTAGTCTCAGCTATTCAGGAGGCTGAGGCAGGAGGACTGCTTGGGCCCAGGAGTTTGAGGCTGCAGTGAGCTATGATTATGCCACTGTACTCCAGCATGGGTGACAGAGTAACATGCTGTCTCAAAAGAAAAAAAAAAGGCTGGGCATAGTGGCCCATGCCTGTAATTCTAGCACTCTGGGAGGCCGAGGTGGGCGGATCACAAGGCGGATCAAGGTCAGGAGTTCGAAACCAGCCTGAGCAAGAGTGAGACCCCGTCTCTACTAAAAATAGAAAGAAATTAATTGGCCAACTAAAAATATACAGAAAAAATTAGCCGGGCATGGTGGCGCATGCCTGTAGTCCCAGCTACTTGGGAGGTTGAGGTAGGAGGATCACTTAAACCCAGGAGTTTGAAGTTGCTGTGAGCTAGGCTGACGCCATGGCACTCACTCTAGCCTGGGCAACAAAGTGAGACTCTGTCTCAAAACAAACAAACAAACAAACAAAAAACCAGATGAAGAGCAGCAGTACGCTACCGTTGGTGTTTTTCAAAAGGGGGCTAAAAATATGTCTGTGAATTCACTTTCATGGGCCTATAAATCTGACATTATATAAAAATAATACTAATGTCATTGGTGGTAGTTGGTGAGAACTGGTTAGGTGGCACTGAATACTTTTTAAATATATAATCTATTCAAAAGAAATCAAATAACTTACTTAAAAATTGTACAATCTCTTCAACGCAGCCTACCTCAGTCCCCAAGGCCACATCAGATACAGCTCTCAAACCTGCCCGTGCAGGCCTGGCAGAGCCAGCACACCTCCTGCAACTCAGGGAAAGGAAGACAGAGGCAAGCCTTCTGTATCTCACCTCTATGGGGATGTACAGCATGAATCCCGGCTCTCCTGTGTGAGTCATGCTCATCACCCGGATCCCGTTTGCGTAGCCCACACTCATCTCCTGCAGAGACAAAGGGACCAAGTCAGTGTAGGACTCTCCAGGCTGGACCAGGGAAGGACTGCCTGAGGGAAACCCCATCATTAACACTGGACCCTTTGTTTAACCTTCCAGGAGACACATGTCAAGGAAAGAATTTCTTCCTGATGATGGTCTGGTTCCAGGTACTGAGGGGCACTGAGAACAGCACGCACCTCTGTAGCACTTCTTCTCACCCCTGATATCACCACCTTAGGAGTTTTAGGCAGGCTGATGGTGGGAAGTGGAGGCCAAGTCTTTGACAAGCACAAAATATTTCTCTTGCAAAGTCTCTTTGCTAAAGACTGTCAGAGGTCTCAGGAGCATCGAAGACCAGGCAGGTGTCTTCTCTGAGGGACTCTGCAGACAAATCCTGGCCATTTGTCCCACAGAAGATGATGCCTGATGCCCACAGACATGATTCACCTGCTACCATGGGGCAAAGACCTGACCTCTAAATTTCGAAACAAGTGACAGCAGCTGGGGGCCACTGATGCAACCGTCGTTCCTATAAAGAAAGTGAAAAGCCCCGGATAGCACAGGAGCAAACTGTTGCTTCCATAGGAAGCCTCCATGACTGCCACTCGCCAGGTGCAAGCACATGCACTGCTGCTCCTTCAAGCAGCAGCGGACACACTATGCTGATGGCTAACACTGGAGAGTTTTCTGTTGGAGAAGAAACAGAAAACTTGCCTTGGAGTAGGAAAACTGTAAAATAATTTGTGGGTGGATCCCAACTTTGGTTCGAATTTCAAAGAGCCTCTGTCAGTTAACTGTCTGGAAGGTACTGGTTACAGGTTGCCAAAGTATCAGTTTGGACCTCTCTAAACTGCTTCCTAGGGGGAATTCAGTTATCATTGCTTTTATTCAGTTACAGTTTATTTCATTTAATTATAGCGGCCACTTATAGGAAAGAAAATTATTTAAATTGATTAGGAATTCACCTACACCATTTCCTTCCTAAAGATGCCACACACACAGAAGTTACTCTGTGTATAAAAGAGGATGCATTGCATGGAGAGAGGGGGCCTGACCTCGAATGGCACTTTTTGATGTCAGTGTCATAATCCTAGAACCTACAATTTTGATCTATTGCTACAGAAACCAATAAATATACAGACTTGACCTTCACTGAAGCTAAATTCACTTCAAAGGTATCCAAATGCTTATCAAATAAGGAGGCTTGAAGGGTGAAAAATAATTTGGTCATTTTTTTCGCCTAATAAAGGTTAGAATACTCTTCATAGGTGTTAATGTCATAGTAAGAATATGTAATTGCTGTCACTATAAAAGAAATGTTCTCTCCCCATTTGAAAAATAGAACTTTACTAGCACCCACCTTGCAAAAGAGACTTGGGAAGTGGTCTGGAGTCATAGGGGCATAGGACAACTCGGACAGCACATCCACAGCACGAGGGCCAATCAGATTGAGGGCTAAACAGGAAAGAACAAGAGATGACTAGCCTGTCCAAGTGAAGGGCTGAGCCAGTGGGAAAGGTCTGTTCTGGACTTGCTCACCAGGCCTGGGTGCTAAGACCACCAAAGCGTCCCTTGGCTTAGGCAATCCAGGGATGGATGCTGAGCACCGATTCCGGCAAATACACCTCTGCTGACAGGCCCGCTAGATGCTATTGACTGGGCTGGTGTGAAAGCACCTGGGTAGATGTTTCCTCTCCCTGGTAGCCAGGAAGACGACATTCCATAGCCTCCTCTGCAGTTAGATTAGGATCATGAGACCAAGTCCTGGCCAATGGGACATGAACCTACTTCCAGGGCTGGCCATACCTCCCCTTAATTCCCATTCTCTTCTTCTTCCCAGCGTGGCTACGTGATGGAAGAAGCCCGAGTCCCAAATCAGTATCTGGAGAAGAGCTGTCCAACCCCCTCCCCCAATCTGATGCTTGTGACACCAGCTTGTGCTAATTACCCATCAACCACTCTAATACAGGTTAGAACACACTTTTGTTCTAAAAGATTCTGCCAACCTGGTAGCAAGAAGTTAATTACTCCAAGGAAGTGAGAATGAGGGCCTGGGAGAGTAAATGCTGGTGGGGAAGAGGGGTAGGAATTAGGTAGGTGGGAGGGAGGAAGGGCAGGAGGGCTAAACCTGGAATGGGGAGGTAGAAGAGGGGGAGCTGCTCCCCCAACAGAACTGGTGAGGAAGAGATAATCATGAAATTAAGTCATCCTTAAAAATTATGTACTCATAAAAAAATGATACGTAGAAATTTTGAAGAAAATATTACTTAGGTCATAGATATAAAAAATACTTAAAATTTAAAAAAAATTTTTTATTCATTCAACAAATACTTGAACTCCTACATGCTTGCTGTAGGGGATGTAGAAGAGAACAAAACACAGAAGCCAAAGCACTAACCCATCTCACACCTCACCTATAAAAATCAAGAAAGTGTTGGAGGTCAGTCTTCTATGACTAGCAAGCCTCTTCTGCACTAACTCTGACATTCATATTTGTAAGTCAAATATCACAAACGAAAATGTAGAAGCAAATCTGGATTTTTCTCACTCAGGTGACCCCAGAAGATCCCCTTACCAGTGTATTTCCAGGTGACATCTTCCAGAAACATGTTGCTATCTTTTGGCATGTGTTTCTTAAGCCAGGCCCAGCAGTGGACCTGCTGGTCAGTTGGAGAGATCATGAAGAAACTGAAAGTGAGAGCCCAAAATAATCAAAACCAGGTGGCAGGAAAGAGATCAGGAAACAATCAAGTTCTCATCCAGTTTCAAAGCAATGAGGAGAATACTGGGAAATGATCTCTTAGCCTTCAGGGAGGGCCAGTAGCACCATTTTAGGACATATCACATAAAGACACAACAGAAAATTCTGGCCAGGCAGGGTGGCTCACGCCTTGTAATCCTAGCACTCTGGGAGGCCGAGGCTGGTGGATAGCTCAAGGTTAGGAGTTGGAAACCAGCCTGAGCAAGAGCGAGACCCTGTCTCTACTATAAATAGAAAGAAAATAATTGGCCAACTAATATATATAGAAAAAATTAGCCAGGCATGGTGGCGCATGCCTATAGTCCCAGCTACTCGAGAGGCTGAGGCAGTAGGATCACTTGAGCCCAGGAGTTTGAGGTTGCTGTGAGCTAGGCTGACGCCATGGCACTCACTCTAGCCTGGGCAACAAAGCAAGACTCTGTCAAAAAAAAAAAAAAAAAAAAAGAAAATTCTGGCTTCCTGTTGGTGCCAAGACATTATACAGACATACTAACCTAAGATAAGACATCATCTCTCAGTAGGGTAACTAATTCTCCAACACTAGTTTTACGTAAGCTAGTTGGTTTCTTCTTCTTTTCCTGATGATTTCTTTCTGTTTAGGGCTGCTAATTAATTGACTGCTCAAGAAATGGTTCAGGAAATGGTTTTTTTAGTCCCTGGGATAATTATGGTTTCCCAGAGAAGAACGTTATGTGCTCTGCTACAGCAGCCTTAAAGAATCAGTGTGTTGGAGGGAGCAGAGTGGGATAGTGGCTAACCTCACCTGCGCTTGCTCAGTCGTGCTATGCTGCAGTCATTTTCATACCCTCCGCCATCATTGAGCATGCCAGTGTGCACAATGTGGCCCACGGGCACGTCCAGGTCATTGGAGAAGAGGTACTGCATGATGTCTAACGCCTGATCCCCCGTGGACTGTGGAGTTAGAGAAGGAAGCAGAGACAGTAAGCACAAGAGCACTTGGCCAGGTAACATGGCCCAACTAGCAATGAGCCTTGTTGAGAAGATTCAATGAGCCAGTACCCACATGGCTATATTTGTAGATTTACTTTACAACAAGAAGCTCCAGGGAAAGCTGGCTATTGATTCTTATGATAAATGGGCCATGCTAGGCAAATTAAAACCAAGAAACAAGGAGCTAAAAAATGTTAAAATACAGATGAAACACTAAAATACACCAGAATTCTTAAGGAATCAGTTTTGAAGTGACAGATGAACAACAGGAGGCATTTAGTAAATAATTAATCTACTCTTTGGTTCCCCAATACTTACTGTTATCTCGAACTTTGTGAAAGAGGACATATCAATGACACACACAGCTTCCTTACAGCATTTGACTTCAGACTCCACGATGTCAAACCAATCTGGCTTATAGAAAGTCTTGCTCTGCTCCAGTGCCAGGAGGTCTGTGGAAGACAGAAAAGGAGAAGACCGGGATGTTTCCCTGTATAGTTTAGTACAGTCTAACAGCTTTTTATTATCTGTTCTTCTAGCAACACATTCTAGCTTATGCATTTAAAAATAAGTTTTACTGGCCGGGCGTGGTGGCTCATGCCTATAATCCTAGCATTCTGGGAGGCCGAGGTGGGAGGATCGCTCAAGGTCAGGAGTTTGAAACTAACCTGAGCAAGAGCGAGACCCTGTCTCTACTAAAAATGGAAAGAAATAATTGACCAACTAAAAATATATATACAAAAAATTAGCTGGGAATGGTGGTGCATGTCTATAGTCCCAGCTACTTGGGAGGCTGAGCCCAGGAGTTGAGGATGCTGTGAGGTAGGATGATGCCACAGCACTCCAGTTCGAGCAACACAGTGAGACTCTAACTCAAAAAAAACCTAAAAATATAAAAATAAGTTTTATTAATTCCAAGGACAAAAAAAAATGAACTCAAAACAAGAATGTCACTTCTTACCCTTGTCAGGTGGAACGAAGTACTTTGGCCTCTCAAATCCATGTTTCTCCATCCATCTGGCTCCTTGTGCATCTAACCGGTCATAGAGAGGAGACGTGCGTAACTGCCTACCAGTCTGGAAGTCCCATCGGGGAACCTTCAGGTCATACATCAGAGCTAGAACAGACAAGAGTAGTCTATCAAAGCCCAAGACCCAGATTTTAGAGCTGAGTATCCAACATCCACTAGACTCTGGAGTTGTTCCTATTCAAAAGAGCATGATTTCCAGGCTGATATAGCCTAATTTGTCAAATATTACCCAGTACAACAAGCATGCACCAGAAGAAAGGACAATATTACAAGAGCTGGTGTTATCCCTCCATAAAGTTATATAGCTATGAGTCACATAATGACCCTCAGTCCTTATTTACTTTTATAGTTCCAAACTAATAGATAGAAACAACACTGGGAGAAAGGCCATAGTTCTAAACCTTGCTAAGCTCCATAGGAGAGATGAAGGTAATACGTAAGTGGGACATAGGTGGGAACAAAATGTTGAAAAACTGGCACTTGACTCTTCACAGCGCTTGTGTTGTTAGGATCTCAGACCTAGTACAGACATCTCTTCTTTAATTTTTAACCCATTTCTGAAGTGAAAGGGTACGTATCATACCTTGATTTGGTGGCTCTGAAATCTGAGAGGTTGCACTGTATTGTCCCAGTGACATTATTCACATAACAAAGCTAGGGTCAGAATTCATTTCTCTTAATGTCCAATCTGTAACAGCAATAAGTAAAAAAAGCCAGAAAGAGAGCAATCTCTAGTCCCTTCCAAAGAGAAGACCTGACACCTCACACCATTGTAACAAAAGGTACATCAAGATGGGGGAAGGCTGGGAGATGCAGAAGAAAGCCACACTGGGTTCCTTGCATTGTGATAATTTCAACCTCTTGGTACTTGAGGTTCTACTTGCCGCTTCCCCATTTTCTATCATGCCTGCAATTTCTACTTTATGAGATTCAGAAAAGGCCATCAAAAGTGTCATATCCCCAAGGAGGTTCTAAAGTAACTATGGCTGGGGAAATCTAGACTTACAATCCCTTCAACATTTTAGCCAAAATACTGGCTAAAATTTCAGAACCTAAGCAGTTAAACTCACTGCTGCTAGGGCCTTCTTCTCCCATGGATGTAAGTTCTCTGCCACATGCCAAAAGTGAGCACTCAGGCATAAAGGCAATTCAAAGGTCTCACCACGAATGTCATCCAGGTACTAAACCAACATTTCATTTGTAACCACGAGTGGTGGTTGCAACCCAATGTAGAAAGTTAGTCTTGAGCATACAGATGCCCCAAATACTTAGATATCATTTGGCAAAAGTCAGAGAACAGTTCCTCAGTACAGGAAACGAAATTACATCCCATTAGAACCTATATGATTTGGTTCAATTCCTGATACAAAAGCTGTTTCTAAGGGCTTACTGGATAATAAATCAGACAAGGTAGAATAAAAAAGAGGCCAACCCTTACAGTATTCATTAAAAGTAAGATGCCAGCCCTTCAAAGTTGGAGGGAAGCAAGAACAAGGGGAATGAGAGCACAAATGCATGTTTTGTATTGACATACGAGAAACAGTTTCCTACTTTGCTAGTCTACGATGGATTAATGATGAAAATCACTCAGAGAAGCTTGAAGCTTTGAGCGTAACTTGGCAAATTCTCTGCCTTGGAAAAGAAAACAGCGATCTCCAAAACCAAGTGGGGAGTGAGAGAGTATTCACTTTGACAACAGGGTCTTTCAACGCAAACCGCAAAGGAGGCACCACTAGGAATATACAGGAATCTGCCACATGCTACCTGTAAATCCTATTCTACTTTCTTGTTCCCAGAAGTAAACAAGGTACAATATGCCAAAGAAAATGTTCGGTAAATACCATGTGGAGTATAAAGCCCCTTACTCAGGATTGGAACAGTCAAAAAGCAGGAACCCAACTCAAAGTCTTTAGTAAAAAACTGAAGAAAAATCTGCGCCCTCTGAATGACAAAATAGGCCAGCAGAAAGACACCAACTGGGATAAAGCTTCACTTACGCATAACTTCCATGACCCGGTGGCGCAGAAAAGTACGGCTGCTCTGGAGGGCTCCAAAACGCTTCAAGTCCAATTCCCAGACATTCTCTGAGGGATAACCATGTACCATCCACTCAGCGAGGTACCTGTTTAGATGAGGGGTCGGGGTTGTTGGGCCTCAGATATGGTATTACACCTCTGTAATAAAGCAATGCTCTACAAATCAAGAACCAAGAGAATCAAAAGATCCTATATATGTTGTCACAGACCAGTTAAAACAATTCTGGGCAATTTCCTTAACTTTTTTGGAAGAAACAAACATGGATCCATGTACGGCTCTCATAAGACCACAATGAGGATTTTTTTTAATTTTTTTATTTTTGAGACAGAGTCTTACTTTGTTCGCCTGGCTAGAGTGAGTGCCGTGGCATCAGCCTAGCTCACAGCAACCTCAAACTCCTGGGCTCAAGCAATCCTCCTGCCTCAGCCTCCCGAGTAGCTGGGACTACAGGCATGCACCACCATGCCCGGCTAATTTTTTCTATATATATTAGGTAGCCAATTAATTTCTCCCCTCTCTCTCTCTCTCTTTCTTTCTTTTGAGACAGAGTCTCACTTTGTTGCCCTGGCTAGAGTGAGTGCTGTGGCATCAGCCTAGCTCACAGCAACCTCCAACTCCTGGGCTCAAGCGATACTCCTGCCTCAGCCTCCGAGTAGCTGGGACTACAGGCATGTGCCACCATGCCCGGCTACTATATATATATATACATATATATATATATACACACATATATATATATATATATATTAGTTGGCCAATTAATTTCTATTTTATAGTAGAGACAGGGTCTCGCTCTTGCTCAGGCTGGTCTCGAACTGCACACCTGGAGCTATCCGCCCGCTTCTGACTCCCAGAGAGCTAGGATTATAGGCGTGAGCCACCGAGTCTGGCCAATTTCTTTCTATTTATAGTAGAGACAGGGTCTTGCTTTTGCTCAGGTTGGTTTCGAACTCCTGAGCTCAAATGATCCACCCGCCTCGGCCTCCCAGAGAGCTAGGATTATAGGCGCGAGCCACCGCGCCTGGCCCCAATGAGGATTGTAGCTCTAATGACAAGATTCTCTAGGAAGTGGTTAAGATATAAACAATATCTATGAAGAAATAGGACTAACACACACACACAAATGTACTCAGGTTACTTCTGTAAGACAGCCTCCTTGGGAGATTACACAGTTATCTGAACACATCTCATTTGCTCCTAATGTTTTTGGTAACTCCTCTTCTGTAAGTAACTATTTTTAGAGCCATTCTACAAGTCATTCAAGAAAACTGGCCTCATTAATTTAAAAAAAATTAATAGTTAACATACATGTAACATAAAATTTACCATCTTAACAATTTTTTTTTTTTTTTTTTTTTTTTTGAGACAACTCGCTTTGTTGCCCAGGCTAGAATGAGTGCCATGGCATCAGCCTAGCTCACAGCAACCTCAAACTCCTGGGCTCAAGCGATCCTTCTGCCTCAGCCTCCCAAGTGGCTGGTACTACAGGCATGCGCCACCATGCCCGGTTAATTTTTTTTTTCTATATATATTATTTGGCCAATTAATTTCTTTCTATTTATAGTAGAGACGGGGTCTCACTCTTGCTCAGGCTGGTTTCGAACTCCTGACCTCGAGCAATCCGCCCGCCTCGGCCTCCCAGAGAGCTAGGATTACAGGCGTGAGCCACCGCGCCCGGCCATCTTAACAATTTTTACATGTATAGTTTAGTGGTATTAAGTACATTCACACTGTTATATAACCCTCACCACCATCTACCTCCAGAACTTTTTTTTTTCTTTTTTATTTGAGACAGGGCTTCACCCTGTTGTCCAGGATGGAGTGCAGTGGCATCATTATAGCTCACTGCAACCTCAGACTCCTGGGGGCTCAAGTGATCTGCCTACCTTAGACTGCCAAGTAGCTGGGATGACAGACAAGAGCCAACACACCCAGCTAAGTTTTCTTTTCTTTCCTTCCCCCTCTCCTCCCCTTCTCTTCCCCCTCCCCTCCCCTTCCCTTCCCCCTCTCCTCTCTTCCCCTCCCCTCTCCTCTCCTCCCCTCCCCTCTCCTCTCTTCTTTTTTTTCTTTCTTTCTTCAATAGATTTAGGGGGTATAAGTATTTTTTGTTACATAGATGTAATTTTTCTATTTTTTATAGAGACAGGGGTCTTACTATGTTGCCCAGGCTGGTTTCAAACTCGTAGCTTCAAGTAATCCACCTGTCTTGGCCTCCCAAAGCACTAGGATTACAGGTGTGAGCCACCACGCCTGGCTTCCAGAACTCTTTTCGTCCTGCAAAACCAAAACTCTGTACCTATAAAACAATAACTTCCCACTTCCCCTGGTAACCACCATTGTACTTTCTGTCTCTATGAATCTGACTACTCTAGGGACTTCATATATGTGGAATCATACAGTATTCATCCTTTTGTGACTAATTTTTTATTAGTTATTAATTTTTAAATAAAAATTTGTATTACCTAGCTTGATCACCTAACTCATTCAACACACTAGGCTACTTCTAAACTCAAATACACACTCTGAGGACCAACATTTGTTATAACTGAAAAAGTACAAAAGAAGATTCCATAGGCTCTGTAGCTAACTCCAAAAGAGGAGGTCCAAAACATTTTGCATAATGACATTTCTATAATATGGGATAGCTTCCCATATTTTGAAGGAGACAACTCTCAAATTACACGTATCTTATTATTAACAAACTAGATTAAATGTATTATATACCATATTAACAAGTAATTCTAGAAGGGAAGCCCAGCAAGCTGACATATGTTCATAGCCAACTCTGAGTGAGAAAGACTTACTTCCCGGCTCCTCCACCAAAGGAAAGGCCAGCAGAGTTCATTCCCGCCAGGATGAAGTAGCCCTGCACTGTGGGAGACTCGCCCATGATGCACCTCATGTCTGGTGTGAAGGTCTCGGGGCAATTCACCAACTTCAAGATCTCCAGAGTCTCCAATTCTGGCATCCTACGCAGGAGGGAACTCAACAGGGGCTCTGAGCAATAAAAATAAACCCAAATAGAGTTCTCACTTTTAAGGAATTAACAAACTTTCACCCTCTTCTACTTTGTACCTCCCTCTCTTTTCAGAAAATCTCTTGGAAGAGATTTTTCTGAGAAGAGTCAACTGGGCCATTTATCAGAAAGCAGAAAGCTTGGTGGAATTTATAACCTGCAAAATGTTGTCATAAAGACTGAGAAAAAAAGACACTCTGTGGAAAGGAAAGGAGCTACAGAATATCAAGTAATACACGTGGTTACAAGATAATCATCTTGAAGGAGTCAGCATCGATGAAAAGAGCTCTTAAACAGCAGCCAAAGAGATTTCAATGGACGGCCATGTTCTTCTACAGTGGAGTAGCTGCAAAAGACACATCCTCATCTTAAAGCAAATCCACCAGCTGGGCATAATCCTGTGGGACAGTGGTAACAGATGAAACCATACTGGAGCTGGATATTGGGTACATGGGGTTCATCACACCACTACTCTATTCACTTTTATTTTATTTATTTTTTTATATTTTTGAGACAGAGTCTCACTCTGTTGCCCTGGCTAGAGTGCTGTGTTGTCAGCCTAGTTCACAGCAACCTCAAACTCCTTGGCTCAAGCGTCTATCCACTTTTAAAAGTTTGAAATTGGCCATACTAAGAAGTTTATTTAAAAAAAGATGCTGGAATTTCATAGTCATTTCTTGTTGGAAAATAAAAAAAAAAAAGAAAAAAAAAATAAATAAAAAAAGAAAGCCTATTAAGGGTGAAAGGGAAATTCTTCATCAGAGATCCTTCTACATCTTCTGAACCTCAAACTCCTGGGCTCAAATGATCCTCCTGCCTCAGCCTCCAGAGTAGCTGGGATTACAGGCACCCAACATGACACCTGGTTAATTTTTCTATTTTTCTTTTTTTAAGTAGAGATGGGTCTTGCTCTTGCTCAGGCTGGTCTTGAATCCTGAGCTCAAGCATTCCTCCCATCTCAGCCTCCCAGAGTGCTAGGATTACAGGCGTGAGCCACTGAAGATGTTTTGAACAATGTAACAGCTTAGACAAATATAAGGCATTGTTATAATCTAGTTCACACACCAAAGTGATCCCAGTCTTCCTGTAGATTCTGAATCTCCAGCTGATTCTTGCCCTCAGTGAAAATTGGTTTCGGGTTCTTCTCAAAGCCCCCAGACAAGATGCCACCCTGCCAGTTCCGAATATAGATTCTTCCATCAGCATCCACAATAGCTAAGGAAGAGAAATAACAAGGGAGTGTGGAGTAGGAAAAAAACATGAGTGTTTAGAGGCAAGCTAGCTTTCTAAGAGGACAAAAAAAGAAAGAAACAAACAAAAAACACCCATTAATGGCTTTGTTAATGAAATAGCATCCAATGCACACAGGCATTCATTAGCTTTAAAACACCTTTCAAGGTCATGGTGGAGGATCCTCCCACTCAGACTTACAGTGGAGACTGTTTCTCTAATTATCCCCAACCTTATTAGTTACCTAGAAGCTTTGACTAGTCCTCACAACCAAGCTACATAACTGCCACTGTGCCAAGCAAAAGTCTAACAGAAAGAGGGATTGCAGAGCCCATTCTAGGTATTAACACCATCAAAATGTTACCAAACTCTCTCCTATAGCACTTGGAGCCACTAACCCAGCTAAGTTTATAGTCACGACATTTCTACAATTTATAGCATTCAAGTTAAAAACTTAAGGTTATATTCCAATATTCTCAATGACCTCTGTTTAGGACTAAAATTAGCTTGCAAAAAACAAAACCAAAAAAACCCTGCTTAGTGGAATGACCATTCTGGCCATCCTCTCTTAAAGACATATATTAAAGAAAAGTCAGAACTGGGTCCACCTCCCTGTAACATGCTCCAGAAATGAAAAGGCTCTTTTAGGCACAGTCTGTCCTTAGTAGAAAGTCTTTCTTTTCAGAGGACAGGATATTGGCAAGGAAACAAGATCAAAAAAACAAAAAAACAAAAAAAAAAAGGTACAAGTCCTCACTTGGTGTGTTGCTCTGCAGAGGGGTCTCCAAGGGGCGAGTCAGAAGGTAGAAGTGTTCGCAGGCATGTAACGGGATATTAACCGGCTCCTCGTTGGACAGACCCAGCTCGTATGCCCACTACAAATGGACAGATTGATTTGTGGGTGGGAAGAGGAACAGAAATACAAATGAGCAAGTTCAGCCTCTTGAAAAGAGTTTAGTTTCAAGTGGCTTAAGTGTGCTCTTGCTATAATGTCAGGTGTGGGAAGTCAAGTTTCAGCCTGCTTTAGTTTGATTATTTGGATGGGGAGCAACACTATACTTTTAAAACGTAAAAATTACTTCTAGATCAAAGAAAGATTTACCAGCTAGTCAAAAGAGCCCACGGGAACCAAAGGAGGTCCTCTTAACAAAATGCCTGGCCTCAACTGTAAACCCCAAATACCAATCGTTAAAGGAACTTCATATGGCAAACAGTGTTTCCTACATCACTTTAAGACTGTGGAGTGGAAGGCAAGGAACAAATCTACCTTTTAAGTAGAAGAGGCTTAGTGTTCTAGATCCTGAATCCATGTTCATGACACAATAAAACAGCCTAATATTCTACTTGTTAGGTTGTACAATTAAATGTAACACAAAGACCCAACGCCAAGGATTCATGTCTATGCCTGGCCTTCCTGCTGGCCTTCCTGATCAGAACACCACCAATTAACCCAGTGTGGAGGATGGAAAAGGTCATATATGCTTCTATTTGAGGAATAAGTATGAGTTTATGATTTAGAATACCATACAAGATTCTGAGTTTTCTGGTCCAAACAAGAAACAGGATAGCTCTTAATGTCTGTTTATTAGTCAGTCAGAATATTATTTTATGTCTCTACTCCAAAAAATCCTGGACACAAAAGTTAAATAAAAAAATCAGCACTGCAGTGCTGGTGCTAACCTACCTGACCTGCACAGTTGACAAAATATTGGCATTCAATCTGTCCTTTATCTGTCTCCACACCAGTAACTTGACCTTTTTTGACCATTACGTGAAGAACAGCTGTCCGGTCATAGATCTGAACACCTGTTCCAAAGTAAAGAAAGAGTCGATGCATCATCTGATGTTCCAGAATTAAGGCATCTACAGCAGATTCTCCACCCAAAGAAATACTAACAAAGTTAGGTCCATGCTCTAACTCAAAAAAAGCAAAAAAAAACTCTAGGAACCACATCCTAAGACTATGTAAATGATCCTTGGCCAAGATTGAAAATAGGAGGTCAGTTTAAAAACAGACGTTAGCAAACAATCATTAAATTCTAGGAATCATAAAATATGAGGCAGGAAGGAGAGAATTCAAATAGGGCATTCAAATAGGGAGAATTCAAATAGGGAATCAGTTTACCCAAAGAATGTAGTAACCTGGACACTAATAAGCCTTCCTCTCATTCATTCCAACACTGGGTCATGATTTAAGTTGTGGATTAAACCCCCAAGGCATGTTCTAATGTTGGAGCTTCTCAAGTCCTGGGGGAAGGTGAAATTCCCTTAATTCTAAAGTATATTAATCAGCACTACAGGCAGTTCCTGGGAACTTTAAAAATGTCACCCAGAGGAAAAATAATTATTAACAGATGTTACAGAAAAGAAAATTGTAAGACCCAGTATTTAAAAATGGAATCTGAATACCCCAATGAGAATAATTTTTCCAAACATGAGTTGGTGTCACTGCCTATTTTGAGAGACTTTCTTAGACAACCTCTTCCTTCCCCACTCATCTTAAGAAAATGCAAAAATCTGCTCACCGTTTTGGGAGGCAGCACTTGCCAGGGCCAGAGCCACATCTGCAGAGGACACCACCGCGTCCTCAGGAACATGCATGGCCCCCACCAGGTCGTGCACGTTTAGGAAAGGGTGCAGTTCAGCCACTTTCTTGGGGGAGATGATCTCAGAAGGGATGCCTATGACACTGCCACAGAACACAAGGGGAAAATGACATTCACTGGTCCTTTGGCAGAGGTCAGTTTGGTAAAGTTGGGATAGGCTTCTACCCTCTTACGTACTTCAGCTTTGAGTTGATGCGCTTCAAGGAGATCAGCCGGTCCTGATTTTGAGCCAGACAGATCGAGCCTGTCCTTATGTAACCTGTAAGAAAAATCAGCCCAAACTGAGAGAGACCAGATCAAATGTAGAGTGGGACAGTGAAAAATCCATTAGATCATGTGTTAGAAGACCTATGATGAATCCTGAGACTGTCACTCAGTATCTTCAGGTGAGTAAATCAGCTTCCTCTGAGCTTACAGTGAAAATTTAAAGCACTCCAGATGCACTAAGGCAGCATTCCCTGTGCAAACATTCTCAGCTCATAGTTCTATGATGATCAAATGATATTCTAATGTACACAAAACTGCTCATAATAAAGATGAACGATACCATTGCTAAAAAATCTTTTTTGGGTAGGGCTACGACCAGGAATCCATCCCTATTTTTCCCTCCTTTTAGGCAATTTCATCCTTTCTTCTCCTAGTCTTGGAGCGAGTGTAATCCTTGGTTGAAGGCCACTCATGACATAACAGGATTGGCTGGATCTTCCCACTCCTTACCCAGTGTAGCCGAACAGTGGGCATGTGATCTAAGCTCAGCCAATCAGACCCTCCTGGAATGCTTGATCTTCAGCAAGCAGGTGAATGGCTGAAGATCACTCTCTCAGGGGCAGCAGCGCCCTGGCTAGACAGCTCCTGTTCCAGCTGAGGGACTGCCTGCCATGGGAGCCCCACATCCTGGCCGCCAGCTGGTAGTCTTCAACAACTCCACAGACCTCCAATGTCCTCCCAAAATCCTCCTTTTTGCCCAAGTTAGAGTCAATTGTTTGGAATCAGCATACTTGATATACAACCATTATTACACTTGCCAATGACAATCCTCCTAAAATGCAATGACTCTTAGTTCTTATAAAGAAAAAGTTGATCAATCAGGTATCTTTAAAAAAAGAAGTACAGTCACGATAATTTATATATTTTCTTAATTTCTCCTGAAATCATCAGATAAATATGTCCCTCACTGACATGACAATAAGGTCCCAGTTTGGAGGAAATGAAATTTCAAAGCCTAGTTTTTAAACATAGAGCTGGGTGTGGTGCTTCACGCTATAATCCTAGCACTTTGGGAGGCTCAGGCAGGACTGCTTGAAGGCCAGGAGTTTGAGACCAGCCTGGGCAACAAGGAGACCTTGTCTCTACAAAAAATAAAAAATAAATTAGCTAGGTGGTGGTACATGCCTGTAGTTCCAGATACTAAGGAGACTGAGGCAGGAGGATCCATTAAGCCCAGGAACTTGAGGTTGGAGTGATTCCACTGCACTTTAGCCCAGGCCAACAGAGTGAGACCATGTCTCAAAACCAAACCAAACATACACATATAAAATAAAATACAATGAAATAAAATAAACACAGCAGATATACCAGCCTGGTGCAGCAATTCTGGCCAGTGATCTGTGGGCCACTCTGAATCTCACCTTCAGACGGACAAAGGGTCCAGCAACTATTTTCTTTTCTTTTTTTTTTTTTTTTGAGACAGAGTCTCGCTTTGTTGCCCAGGCTAGAGTGAGTGCCGTGGCATCAGCCTCGCTCACAGCAACCTCAAACTCCTGGCTCAAGCAATCCTCCTGCCTCAGCCTCCCAAGTAGCTGGGACTACAGGCATTCGCCACCATGCCCGGCTAATTTTTTGTATATATTAGTTGGCCAATTAATTTCTTTCTATTTATAGTAGAGACGGGGTCTCGCTCTTGCTCAGGCTGGTTTCGAACTCCTGACCTCGAGCAATCCGCCCGCCTCGGCCTCCCAGAGAGCTAGGATTACAGGCGTGAGCCACCGCGCCCGGCCTATATTTTCTAATCTCTACCAAGACTACATATAGGAGAGTACCACTGTATGTGGACCTACATGGTATATCATGTTATACTATGTTAAATTATGTTCCCCCAAACAGAACTACCTATCATAACAAACTTAATAAACCACCCATTAACAAGATTAAAATTCTGCTATTTTCCCACAGAGGACTTTTAAGGTTTGGACTAGAGCAATTCTGGCTCATGATATCCTTTGTCAAAATGTTAAGAGTCATAAAATAGAACTATTACATAACAATAAGAAAAAAAAAGCATACAATAAAAGACAATTCAGAAAAGAAACATTAATGTAGACGGTCAGACTTATGAAGTGATATTTAACTGAAAGAGGTGTAAATTAGAATGTGATAACTTTTTCCATCTGTCAGATTAGCAAAAATTAAAATAATATCCAATGCTGAGAGGACTGTGAAGAAATAAGCACTCTCCTACACTACTGGTAAGAGAAGATAACCCTTTGGGAGGATGATTACACTTCCTCAAATATGAATTTTCTCATCTCTTATTTCTTACACAAAAGTAGCATATTATATGCCCTGTTTTACACTTTGCTTTTGTCATTTAACAATGTATCCCAGAAATCACTCCACAGCAGTTCAAGGAGACCTTCATTCTTTTTTCACCTACCTGGTTGTCCTTTGTGTGGATGTCCCATTTATTCAACTAATTTCCATGTCTGGGCATTTAAGTTTTCAATTCTATGTTTACAATTAAATAGCGCTACAATAAATAATCTGCATATATCTTTTCGCACAAAACATTCTTAAGTGGAAAAAACAAGGTATATAATATGCTTAATATATTTTGGTTAAAGTATACCTATATACACATACAAAAAAGGGACAGATTTTCACTTTTTTATAATTTTGTAATTCTTTTTTTCTTAGACACCAGGTGTCACTATGTTGCCCAGGCTGGAGAGTAGTGGCTATTCACAAGTGCAATCACAGTACACTATAGCCTCAAACTCCTGGGCTCAAGGGATCATCCTACCTCAGCCTCCCAAGTAGTTGGGACTACAGGTACATGCCACCACACCTGGCTTAAAAAGATTTTTTACCCACTAAATTAATTCTTTAAACTCAATTTGTCACTGACCTGAAAATTGGCTTAATCTCACTACATCTAGGTTTCTTTATATGTGAAAGAATAACCCTTCCTTATTATAAGATCAATTAAGGAATACTTTCAAAAGACTACTAAAACTTTTAGATGATCATATTCATTCCATTAACTTGATAAAAATTATATCACACGTAAACTGAAGCACTGCAGAAACTGGTATTCAGCATGGTAAAGGAATGAGGCATCTTGGAGTGACCCAGTATTTTGTATTAAAAAGTAGTTAATGTACCCCTCACCTGGATGAACTAGTTACACAGGATCAGCAAATAATATAGTCAGCCCTCTGTATCTGTAGGTTCTGCATCCATGGATTCAACCGAGGGCCAAAATTATTCAGGGGAAAAAATCCCACAAAATCCCAAAAAGCAAAACTTAATTTGCCATGTGTCAAGTACTATACTGAATCCACGTGAATGAAGTGATGTATAAGAACCGTATTACATATTATAAATAATCTAGAGATGATTTAAAGTATTCATGTAGGCCAGGCGCAGTGGCTCACACCTGTAATCCTAGCACTCTGAGAGGCCAAGGCGGGCAGATTGCTGGAGGTCAGGAGTTTGAAACCAGGCTGAGCAAGAGCAAGACCCCGTCTCTACTATAAATAAAAAAAAATTAATTGACCAACTAATATATATAGAAAAAATTAGCCAGGTACGGTGGCACATGCCTATAGTCCCAGTCACTCAGGAGGCTGAGGCAGTAGGATTGCTTGAGCCCAGGAATTTGAGGTTGCTATGAGGTAGGCTGATGCCATGGTGCTCACTCTAGCCTGGGCAACAAAGCGAGACTCTGTCTCAAAAAATAAAGTATTTATGTGTAGGTTATATGCAATACTACAACAGCTTATATTAGGGACTTGAACATTTGTAGATTCTTTTTTTTTTTGAGACAGAGTCTCACTTTGTTGCCCAGGCTAGAGTGAATGCTGTGGCATCAGCCTAGCTCACAGCAACCTCAAACTCCTGGGCTCAAGCAATCCTTCTGCCTCAGCTCCCGAGTGGCTGGGATTACAAGCATGTGCTGCCATGCCCGGCTAATTTTTTTTCTGTATATATTAGTTGGCCAATTAATTTCTTTCTATTTATAGTAGAGACGGGGTCTTACTCAGGCTGGTTTCAAACTCCTGACCTCGAGCAATCCGCCCGCCTCGGCCTCCCAGAGAGCTAGGATTACAGGTGTGAGCCACCATGCCTGACCTGTAGATTTTTTATCCAAGGGGGGGGTCTAGGAACCAATCACCACCCCCCACCCCAACACCAAGTGACAACTGTACTTCTCTCATTAAATCCAGACTGTACATATGTCCAGTCATCTTTATTTAATGACTCAAAAACAGTCTACTGAGTAACAATTATCACGTACACACCACGTTTAACAGAGAATTCTCGATCACTGATGCCCCTTCAGTCATCTTTCACGACACCATAGGTGTACCACAATGGGGGTGATAGCTTTCAGGCCATCCCCTTTATACTTCCTTGCTTGACTTCCTCTCTGCTTCCCCCCACCTGCCCCCCCTACAATCACCAAAGAGAACTCAGTCCAAATAAGGAGCTCCAGAACTAACAGTGGGCTAACCAACCTTCTAGCCCTAAAGCAGCCTGTGCTTCTGATTCCTCTGACGCACATAAGGCTCAGCAAAACACTAGTAACTGAGCCAACTGCTCCAACTCTGGCCCATTCTATGGACCCTCTTCTGATTCAAATTCTGGTTGATACTTGATTCAAGCACCTTATTGCCATCAAATTCAATCCGACCGAAAACAGGCATCTTCTCCAGTAAAAGCCAGGGACAGTGTAGCAGAACTACTTTTACTATGTTCTCAAAAGGAAGCCTGGTAAAGTTCAATGTCATCTAGTGATGTCACTAGACTTACTAGGATAAGGACTAGAGTGAGACAAGTGAACTATCGGTCTTGAGACTGGGCTTGACTCTGGGCTTCTGGCTACCTTTCGCCTTACAGCAAACTGACAGACTCTTTCCACCTTATCACATAGGATCATAGTACAGATTAGTCTTCCTGTTCTTAGAACAGTTCTAGTCCAATTTAACTTACAATTCCCTGTGTCATTTTCCCTTTAATTATACAGATAAGAAAAAAACACGTTTTTGCCTTATAATCAGAAACATACTGGCCGGGCGCGGTGGCTCACGCCTGTAATCCTAGCTCTCTGGGAGGCCGAGGCGGGCGGATTGCTCAAGGTCAGGAGTTTGAAACCAGCCTGAGCAAGAGCGAGACCCCGTCTCTACTATAAAGAAATTAACTGGCCAATACATATATATATGTGTATATATATATATATATATATATAAAATTAGCCGGGCATGGTGGCGCATGCCTGTAGTCCCAGCTACTTGGGAGGCTGAGGCAGAAGGATTACTTGAGCCCAGGAGTTTGAGGTTGCTGTGAGCTAGGCTGACGTCATGGCACTCACTATAGCCTGGGCAACAAGCGCGACTCTGTCTCAAAAAAAAAAAAACATACTTAATAACAATTGGTGAAGTTCAATGGGTCAAACTATGATTTAACTATCAAGTATCTGAACTTAAGATTTTTCTCCTCTTGTTTGTTTAAGAGTCAAGTATTGGCCGGGCGTGGTGTCTCACGCCTGTAATCCTAGCACTCTGGGAGGCCAAGGTGGGCGGATTGCTCGAGGTCAGGAGTTTGAAACCAGGCTGAGCAAGAGTGAGACCCCGTCTCTACTAAAAATAGAAAGAAATTAATTGACCAACTAAAAATATATATACAAAAAATTAGCCGGGCACGGTGCACATGCCTGTAGTCCTAGCTACTCAGGAGGCTGAGGCAGTAGGATTGCTTGAGCCCAGGAGACTGAGGTTGTTGTGAGCTAGGCTGATGCCACAGCTCTCACTCTAGCCTAGGCAACAAAGTGAGACTCTGTCTCAAAAAAAAAAAAAAAAAAAAAGAGTCAAGTATTGCCATTTACTATGCTTAAATGAGTGAAATATATAGGAAATGGCCCAGGAAAACTTTCACATAATGACAAGAATTATAGGATCTGAAAAGGATCTAGGACATTGATTGAAACACCTCATTTTATAGAAAAAAACTGAAGACAGCTCAACAAGCTTGCTCAAGTTAACATCCTGGCTGACGGCAGAGTCTGGACTAAAACCCAAGTCTTAATTACCAAATCACCAGGCAAAGCTGGTATAGGACCAAATACAGTACTGAGCAAGAGTCTGGGGGACAGGCAGACCAGTAAATAGTAGATTACCTGCTTACCTGTTTGAATCCCTGTTTCTTGCTCTAACTGATGGTAGAGTTTGTTTGAATAGTCTGCCATCTTCTGCTCAATGGTCAAGTGCCTGGCAGTGGTCAGGATGCCAGCACAGAACCTTGTAGAGCCAGCAGCCAGCCTGCAGGATGAATGCAAAATGCCATTAGATAGATTAACATAAGTTCAAGGTTTCTCATTGTAGTATTATTTGTAATACGAAAAGATGGCAACAACCTAAATGTTCATTGACATGGGACTGACTTAAAACCTAGAAAGTAATCTATATAATGGAATACTATATAGCTATAAAAAAGAATGAAAAAGCTCTTTATGCACCAATATGGAACCATGATAATGAAAAAGGCAAGGCGAGGAACAGTGTTTAAAGATATGCTACCACATGTACAAAAAAGTGAAAAAAAATGAATACCCATACACACATCTACATACCTACCAATACATATTTGCTTATATATATACAGAACGCATCTGGAACTTAACTTGCCTCCAGAGAAGGAACTTGTAGTTAGGGGTCAGGTAAGGGAGGGAGAACTTCCACTGTACACTCCTTTACATATTTTCAATTCTGAATCATACATTGCCTATTTGAAAATAAATGAAATTTAAATTGAAAAAATGTCTCCAATTCGGGGTAGGCAAAAGAACATAAAAAGTTCCAGTAATGGCTGGGCACAGTGGCTCACGCCTGTAATCCTAGCACTCTGGGAGGCCGAGGCGGGAGGATTGCTCAAGGTCAGGAGACTGAGACCAGCCTCAGCAAGAGTGAGACCTCGTCTCTACTAAATATAGAAAGAAATTAGCTAGACAACTAAAAATATATAGAAAAAATTAGCCAGGTGCATGTCTGTAGTCCCAGCTACTCAGGAGGCTGAGGCAGGAGGATCACTTAAGCCCAGGAATTTGAGATTGCTGTGAGCTAGGCTGGCGCCATGACACTCTACCCCGGGCAACAGAATGAGACTATGTCTCCAAAAAAATAAAAAATAAAATAACAATACTGATGTGTGGTCTCACCCCTAGAGATTCTGGTTTGTTCTGGGAAGAGGCCCAGGCGTTGGTATTTGTTAAAAGCTCCCTGGGTGATTCTAACGTGTAGCTGGAGTTGAGAACCATGGATCTATGAGGAGGACAATACTAGAGATGGAGAACAGGAACAATTATTTGATGAAGGGATGTGTAAAACTATTTCACAAGCCATGGTTGAGGCAAAATTTCTTAAAAAAAATTTTTTTTTTTTAGAGATGAGGTCTCACTCTGAGGCCCACTCTAGAGTGCAGTGGTACAATCATAGCTCACTGCAGCCTCTAACTCCTGGGCTCATGCGATCTTCCTACTCAGCCTCCTGAGTAGCTGGGACTACAGGTGTGTACCAACCACTGTGCTCAGCAGGGCATAATTATTTTTAAAAGTTGGGCTTGGCCAGGTGCCATGGCTCATGCCTGTAAACACAGCACCCTGGGAGGCCGAGGCGGGTGGATGGCTCAAGGTCAGGAGTTGGAAGCATTTAGATTAGCTATCAGTGGAACAGTAGTATCACCAAAAGGAGAAGGAACGAGAGAATCTTATACAATTAGTGCAGCACAGGGTGGGCACAGTGGCTTGTGCCTGTAATCCCAGCACTTTGGGAGGCCGAGGCAGGAGGATCGCTTGAGGCCAGTAGTTCAGGGCAGCCTGGGCAATATAGTGAGACACAGTTCAGCAAAATAATTAAAAAAAAAAAAAAGATTAGCATGGCACAGCCATGGGCCAAGTCCAGTTTGATTCTTACCTGCCCTGCTCCAGAAGGACAATATCCTTCCACCCCATTTTGGAGAGGTGATAAGCCACGGATGTGCCCATGATTCCACCCCCACAGACGACCACCTGTGTCTGCGTGGGCAGGGCGATAGAATGTGCTGCGGCAACTGACACGCTGTTTCTTGCTGAGGACCAATTCTGCCAGCCGGGGCTGGTTCTTTGCCTTCGGAAAATCGATAGCAACCGGTAGAACATCACGTCTGTCACCAACAGGGAGATCCCAAGAATTCAAACTAGACAGAGAACACCAAACATATTTCATTCCTCTTAACACAGAGCATAGAATTAATGAGAAAAGGATTTAGCAAAGGACAGGACCCATTCATTCAACAAATATCTGAGGACCTACTGAGCTTCCGACACTCTGCCAAGTGCAGATGTTAGCAGTAAACAAGAATATGAAGTTCCTGTGTGACTGGTACACATGAAAAAAAAGAAAAAAAGAGCCAGGCATGGTGGCTCACATCTGTAATCTTAGCACTCTGAGAGGCCAAGGCGGGCGGACTGCTCGAGGTCAGGAGTTTGAAACCAACCTGAGCAAGAGCAAGACCCTGTCTCTACTATAAATACAAAGAAATTAATTGGATGGAGTAACTAGGGGTTTATATAAAATAGGATGGTCACAACAGGCCTCCGAGGAAGTGGTATTAGAAATGAGACCTAAAAAAAAAAAAAAAAGAAAAAGAAAAAAGAAATGAGACCTGATGGATCAGAAGGAACCAGCTATATGTGTTGCACATATAGGGATGGGCATGTGCAAAGGCCCTGAGGTAAGATGGACCTTGATGAGGCCAAGAAGGAAAAGGAGGCCAGTTTGTGTACAACATGGGGAATGAGGGGGGACAATCTAAGACAACGCTGCAGAGGCAGCAGAAACCAACCATACACAGCCCTTGAGAGTGCCATCACCATCAGGAGCAGGAATTTTGTTTTAAGTCCAAAGGAAAATCGCTAAAGCAAGGAAATAAAAGGATCTGGCATGTTTTTCAAAGGTCAGTCTGGCTCCAAAGTGTAGAATGGAAGATAGAAACAGGAAAAGCAGAGAGATGAGTTAGGGAGCTACTGCAGTAGTATAAGGAAGATATCATGGTAGCTTAGACAAAGATGGTGGCAGTGGAGTCAGAAATATGACTGGATTATTTTGCTAGTAGAAATGACAGAACTTAACTGCCAAAAACTGGATATTAAAGGTGGAAAAAAAAGAAATAAGGAGGCTAGTTAAGTTTCTGAGTTAAGTGTGAAGACTAGGAACAAAGGAGGAAGGAAGCAGAGAGGTGGGGAAGGAGAGTGAGTGAGGGTGTGTGTACCGCCCAATGTTACGTTTTCAGACATGTCAAGTGTGAGATACTCACCAGGCATCCAAGTGGAAACACCAAGCAGCAGCTGGACATAAAAGCCTGAAAATTGAAGAAAAGGTTTGGTCATTAGCATATATACAGCATTTAGAGCCCTAGTATTAGGAGAGGAACAAGAAGTCTGAAGGCCCCAGCACTTACAGATTGGCAAGAGAAAGATTAGGCCTGAACACTGCAGCAGATCCCAGAGAGTGTCCAGATAAAGAGAGAACTAGCTAAAGAAAGGAGAAAGAGGGGTTGGTAAGGTAGAAAGAAAACCAGGCAGAGGTGTCTCAGAGGCCAAGAGAGGAAAGTGTTGGAAGAAGTGGTTAACTACAGACGGTGCTGAGGGGTCAGGCAAGATAACAAGTGTCCAGAGGCATTTGACAACATTAAGTGTCCTTGGTGTTCTCGAAAAGAACATTTTCAGGGGAGTGGCAGGGATGAAATACAGACTAGTGCAAACTGAAGAGTAACGGAGATGAGGGAGTGGCAGCAGCTCCATTACATTTTGCTCTGAAGAGGAGCAGAAAAATGGGCCAGAAGCAAGAATTGGGGTAGAGCAAGATTGTTTATTTTTATAGATAAGAGATGTTAAGAATGTTCACTGCTGGTGGGAATGACCCAGGCATTCAGGCAAACAGATGATTAGAAAGGAGAGGCAGTAACAAACAATAGGGTCCCTGGGAAAAAAAAAAAGAGATGCAATCCAGGGCCTAGGCAAAGGATAGCCCATCTTGTGTTTCCGTGGATCAGCTGGTGGTGATTTAAGTATTTTAAGTCTTTTCCTGGACAGGAAGAGAGGCTTATTAGCCATGTTAGGCTTCTCATTTACACGAACATGAATCACAGGTGATAACAAAGCACACGTTTCTACAAGACAATAAATATAATAAGCTACAGGAGAAATAAGCAAAGGCTCTGGCCATCAGGGAAAGAATCGTATATAGGCCGGGCGAGGTGGCTCACGCCTGTAATCCTAGCTCTCTGGGAGGCCGAGGCGGGTGGATTGCTCGAGGTCGGGAGTTCGGATGAACCAGTAGCGTTCGAGACCCTGGGCACATACAAAAGGACACCCCATCCACAAAAAAATAAAAAATCAGCCAGAAGTGGTGGCACACCCACCTACACACCTGTAGTCCTAGCTACCTCAGGAGCTGCCAGGAAGGATTCAAGATTACAGTGACTATGATCTACCACTGACTGCCCAGCCATGGGCCCCAATAGAAAGAGACCAATGTCTCACAAAAAAAAACAAAAAAGAGGGGCAGATCTGTAACGCTGAGCCTTGGCGAGGTAAAATTTGGACAAAGACACAAAGAGAAAGCGGAAGCACGACGAAGTTACAAAACAAGTCTGACCATGCTGTGTGCTGGTGAGTGACAATAAGCAACCTCATGTGAAGGCTCCAGTGTCTATAATGAGTGCTGGGTACTAGCAACTGAAGGAAGGTGGATGGGATGTTGCTACACTGCCCAGGCTGGTCTCAAACCCCTGGCCTTAAGCAATTCTCCCACCTCAGCCTCCCAAAGTGGTAGGATTATAGGCATGAGCCACTGAGCCAGCCCTTCTCTTGACCCTAGCTCCATCAACTGTCCTCTCTTTCATGCACCTATGATGTTTCCCTCCCTTCTGGCTCTTTTTCCTCAGCATTTTAATAGCTCAAGTCCCTCCCAAGTGATTTAAGAAATGAAACAAAAGCTTCACAACTTATTCAATTAGCAATTTTTAATTTTACAACTTTTAAACTATAAAAATTATGGTCTTTGCAAAAACTCAAATACAAGAAGAAATTAAGATTTCCCACCACACAAAGATAACCAACACCAGTGTTAATGGTATTAATATTTTTCCAGGTTTTTCTTTTTTTTGTAGCAAGACCTGCCCTGCCACCACCACCCTCCTCTTAAGTCTTTCTTTTTTTTTTTTTTTTTTTTTGAGACAGAGTCTCGCTTTGTTGCCCAGGCTAGAGTGAGTGCCGTGGCGTCAGCCTAGCTCACAGCAACCTCAAACTCCTGGGCTCGAGTGATCCTTCTGCCTCAGCCTCCCGGGTAGCTGGGACTACAGGCATGCGCCACCATGCCCGGCTAATTTTTTATATATATATCAGTTGGCCAATTAATTTCTTTCTATTTATAGTAGAGACGGGGTCTCGCTCTTGCTCAGGCTGGTTTTGAACTCCTGACCTTGAGCAATCCGCCCGCCTCGGCCTCCCAAGAGCTAGGATTACAGGCGTGAGCCACAGCGCCCGGCCAAGTCTTTCTTTTCTTACACTTTATGAGTGTAGTCTGCTGGCAGGATTTTTAGGCAATAATTTATTCTTAACACATATATCAAATCTGTCTTTCACTTGATAAATTAATATGCGGAAAGAAGTGCTTATATTTTCTGTTTTTCACTTTTCCCTCATGCTACTCTCTCCTGAACCCAAAGCAGTTGGGCTTCTGCCCCAACAGCCACTGATGCTGTTCACGCCAAGAACACTAATGTTCCTCGTTTCCAAGGACGCTTTCTGGGCACCATTACACTTGACTTCTCCATGGCAGTTAATACCATTGATCACTCTTTCCTCCTCACACGGTTTCCTTGTTATATTCAACACCCAATTCCCTGCTCACATCTTTGCTGTCTTCTCTCCTCTGCCCATCCTGATGTGGCACTACCCCCCAGGGCTCTCCGAGGCCCGTTTCTCTTCCCATTCCACATGCTCTCCCAGGGTGATTTCATTTCTGACTATGACTGATGGCCTAGCCCACCACAAACCTGAGCCTTGGGCCTGCATGTATAGCTGCAGAATGGCCATCTCCACCTGCATTCCAGAGGTAAAACAGCACATCACAAGGTAAACCCATCTTCCTCAATCTCCAAACCTGCTCCCACTTCCTGTGTCCCCCAAGTAACATCACACACTAGAATCCTGGGTGTTAGCCTGGGCTTTGCCCTTTCTCTCATCACCCCTACCCAGTCAATCATCAAGGCCTATCACCTCTACACCCTAAACCTCACTGTCCACTGCTGGTACCTGAGTACAGATCACCATCGTGACTCACGCAGACCATTGCAGAGGCTTCCCAACAGGGCTGCCAACCCGATTTACACCTCATTCTTCCCTCCACACACTGCTCTTTACACAGGAGTCTGGACAAGTCTTCTAGAACAGAAATCTTATTTCATATCCCTGCTCATGTATCTTCAATGACTTTCTGATGTCCTCAGGAAAACGTCAAAACTCCTTAATACGAGTGCAAGATCCTTCACAATCTGGTTTCTTATCTCTCATCTCATTTCTCTTCTCTCCTTTCACTCTGATTAAGCCAGATTGAACTACTCGTAATTCCTCGTGCATGTTGGGCACGAACTCTCTCTTTCATTTCTGCCACTATTCCTGCCACCTCTCCCCCAAATAAAGAAAATCTAAGGTTATAGCCTCTTTCACATCTTATCTGATACCTGCCTCCCACCCCAACTTAGGTTTGGTGACTCTTCTATGTTCTCCCATAACACTCTACACTGCTCTCAGCACAGAATTCACCACAGTGTGTAATGGTTAATTGCCGATCTGAAAGCCCACACAGCAACCCAAATCTGGCTTTAGAGGCAGACAGATCTGGGTTTGAAAATCTGCCCCACCACCTCAGTAGCTGTGTGACTTTGAGCAAGCTGCTTAACCTCTGTGCTTCCAGCTCCTCATCTGTACCATGGGCCAGGAATACCTACCTCACATGGTTGCTGCAAAGACTGTATCAGGAGATGCAGGAAAAAAACATGACAACTGGCACCTAAGAAGCACTCAATAGTGGTAATTATTCCCCTATTATAACTGAACTTTCTGAAAGCAGGGACCAATTATAACTTGTTCCGTTTTCCTAGCCTTCTGCATAGGCACCTAGAAAATATATGTGGGCACATAGATGAGAACAGAGAACATAGGTGATGGGGGGCCGAGCGTGGTGGCTCATGCCTGTAATCCTAGCACTCTGGGAGGCCGAGGCAGGCGGATTGCTTGAGGTCAGGAGTTCGAAACCAGCCTGAGCAAGAGCGAGACCCCGTGTCTACTATAAATAGAAAGAAATTAATTTGCCAACTAATATATATAGAAAAAATTAGCCGGGCATGGTGATGCATGCCTGTAGTCCCAGCCACTTGGGACGCTGAGGCAGCAGGATTGCTTGAGCCCAGGAGTTTGAGGTTGCTGTGAGCTAGGCTGACGCCACGCCACTCACTCTAGCCTGGGCAACAAAGTGAGACTCTGTCTCAAAAAAAAAAAAAAAAAGGTGATGGGGGAAAGTCAATGATGACTCAGAGATCTCAAGGGTAGGCTCCAGATTTGAGGGGATATCTAACTAATTGAAATAATTTTTTTTAAACTAATATTTTTATAGGTAGTTACCATGTGCCAGGCACTGCCTATGTATATAACTAATTGAATCCTCACAATCCTATGAGGTAGACATTACCAGTTCTATTCTATACTTGAGAAAACTGTGGCACAGAGAAGTGAAGTGGTAGGTCCCTAGGTCCTGTAATACCACTGAGTGGCAGTCAGGACACTAACCCTGCAAGTCTGGTACTAAGGCTTGCCATTAATCATTACTTCATGCTACCTTTCATGCCACCTCCTGCTACCAGATGAGTAAAGAATGGACAGCTCTGAGGACAGACCCTAAGAAATCTTCCCTAGCAGGAAACTGGGAATTGCAAAGGTGGCAGAAGAATCATAGTAACAGATACGTTTCAAGATGAAATAAACAATGTTAGGCCAGGCACAGTGTCTCACACCTGTAATTTTAGCACCCTGGAAGGCCGAGGCTGGAGGATTACTCAAGGTCAGTTCGAAACCAGCCTGAGGAAGAGTGAGACCTTGTCTCTACTAAAAATGGAAAGAAATTAATTGGCCAACTAAAAATATATAGAAAAAATTAGCCAAGCATGCCTGTAGTCCCAGCTACTCAGGAGGCTGAGGCAGTAGCATTGCTTGAGCCCTGGAGTTTGAGGTTGCTGTGAGCTAGGCTGACTCCATGGCACTCTAGCCCAGGCAAAAGAGTAAGATTCTGTATCAAACAAACAAAAAAAAAACGTTAAAAGCCCAGAATGCTTAGAAGGAAGAACAGTATTTCTGACCTTGTGCTCATCATGACCTTCAAAAGAGTGAAGTGGCAGGGGCAGAAGAAAAGAAGGGCTCAAAGTGAACAAGGAAGGAAAGGGGGGCACCGGAGTCTATTCTAGTAGGTTTGGCAGCAAAACTAAAGCAAAGCTTGATAGCAAAGGCGATGAAGCCAGTGGAGAAGAAATTCAAGATGCCACAGGAATAAAACATATCACCTGGTTTAAAACAAATTTTACATTTTTTAAAGTTCTGGAAAATGTATAATATTCTCTACTAAGAAGAATAACTTTTGCTAAATAATTTTTTTTTTTTGAAACAATTACCAGCCATACTAAAGGAGAACATTGGAGAAAACAGGAAGGGATGCTAATGTAACCCATCTTGCAGGACGACTTTGAAGATTGGTCTTCTGTTGATCTAAGATGATTATTTTGTAAAAGACTTTCTAGTGTACAAGACACAACTGTGTCCAACTGTATATAGCTGCCAATTAGTTTTCTTTGTTTTTACTTTGTCCTTTGCTATCTGTGTTACGACTCAATGTGGATTTGTGTTTATATACATTTTATTTGTATGATTTCATGTTAAACCTCAAATAAATGCTTCCTTATGTGAAAAAAATAAAATAAAAAAAATAAAAAATAAAAAAAAAATTCAAGGTCTGTCCTTGAAACTCCTGGGCTCAAGCAATCCTCCTGCCTCAGCCTCCCTAGTAGCTGGGACTAAAGGCATGCACCACCATGCCCGGCTAATTTTTTCTATATATATATTAGTTGGCCAATTTCTTTCTATTTATAGTAGAGACGGGGTCTCCCTCTTGCTCAGGCTGGTTACGAACTCCTGACCTTGAGCAATCCGCCTGCCTCGGCCTCCCAGAGAGCTAGGATTACAGGCGTGAGCCACCCCGCCCGGCCTTGCTAAATAATTTTAAGACCGGAGCTGGCTCTGTTCAAATCTGTTCTTCCAGTGAGAGCAAAGTGATAGCTCTAATGTCCTTAGTTTTTCCTCTGCATGGCTACAGTACTGCACAGGGGGGCTGCTGGTCACAAGGAAGACTGGCTGAGTATGGTTGGATTAATACATTTCCCACACTTTTCTCAGCAGAAGAACCACTTGGGTCACCTATTTAAAAGCAAGAGATTCCCAGGCCCACCTTTGCAGATTCTGATCCTGCTGGTCCAGGAAGCTGTATTTTCCAACAAGTGCACCAGGTGCTCATGGAAGTTTAAGAAATTAATACAAGTCCCTACCACTGGAAAAGCGTACCCTTTGGGCCGGCTCCTCCTCCACCGTCCCCAGACATCATGCTTACATTCATGAGCGAAATGGGCTTGGAGGTTCCCAATTCAAATTTGAGTACCATACACTTCACTCCCGAAAGGTCAAACATAAGAAAGTTCACTGCCCTGGCCTAGACTTCTCCAGGTAACTTCTCCGCCGGATTCTGCAGCAGTCTTACTAGTTAGTGAAGCACAAGCGGACCGCACGTTTCGACGCGGGAAAATAATTCCACCTGCAGAGACAGATGCCGGGCTAGACAAACCGCAGTCGGCTGTGCGCTGAGGTGTGCATGCCCGCGGTGGGAGCAGCCAGAAGCGAGGTCACCCTGGCCATCCCAGACTGAGGTGCAGGCGCCTCAGAAAAGCAGGTGGGTAGGCCCTGGGGCAGCCCGGCAAGGGTCCCCGAGGCCCGGACAACCTTCGCGGGAGAGTCCCGGTATCGGAACGCGTCTTCTTCAGAGTACCAGGCGGAACCGACCCGGCGCGGAGGATTGCGGGGGACGACCCGTGGGCGAGACCAAGGCGGAAAGGGGGCAAACCAGGGGTCCCGGGGCGCTAAGGCCCGCGGGGACCAAGAGGCCGGGGAGGCCCTGTAGCTGTCTCCTTACCTCACGGGCCCCCCACAGGCTCCACGCTCAGTCACACCCTGGCGGAAGCGAGGCAGCAGCCACGACGGTTGCAGGGGGGTCGCTGCGGGCCGGAAGGGGGAACAGGGGGTGGGAAGGGGGCGGGGCGGAGGGAGTAAAAAGTTCCGGGGAAGCCGGAGACTGCGACCTTCCGTGCTTTCCGGCCCCCCCTGCAAGGGTATAGTCGGAGCGTGACCGCAGCCGCGCACGAGCGCGCCGTGACGTCACCGAGTAGGTCCCGCCCCTGCCACGTGAGATTGTTTGGGTCTCGCGAGGCTCCGCCCCTGAGGCCACTCAGCCAGCCAAGATGGAGGCGACCTAGAGGCTTGGATTCTCCGGGTCGTTTTATAACTAGGCCAGTGGAGCGAAGACGTCGGAGATGGGCAGCAGGCCCCGCTGGAACGTGGGGAGTGCGGGGATTCTTTCTACCCTCGAAGCCTGTGGCCAGGTCCTGCACATAATGAGTCCGCAGCTCAAAGCCACATGCAGTCCCAGGCGTAAAAAAGCTTTTTACACGGGCGATCGCGCTGTTTTTTGAAAGCCGCTCTCGACTTTCCTGGGTGAGGTTCTAGCGGAGCGGATCGGAAATCTGTTCTGATGGCTTAGCCCGACCTTGGAGGCAGGATTGGCAAGCCTGAGTTCCTGCCCCTCTTTTAACTACTTGCATTTTCCCAGCTGGGCGCCACTTAGAGGAAGAGTAATCATTCACTCAAGCCTCAGAGAAGTTGCCCCATCCACTTCTCCTTCACTATCACATCGCCCTGTTTCCTTTATAGATCTCAGCACTCTCTCAATAGGTGTTTTTTGTTTGTTTGTTTTTGTTTTTGAGACAGAGTCTCGCTTTGTTGCCCAGACTAGAGTGAGTGCCGTGGCGTCAGCCTAGCTCAATAGGTTTTCTTTACTGCCTTTCCCAATGGTGTATCCCCTGTTGATAGAACCTTTATGCACAGCTATACTTTCAGCGCCTAGAACAGTGCCTGGCACACCATCCAGTAAATATTCCTTTAAATGGATAGCGATCTAACGACGCAGCCACTATCGCATCTTGTGGCGCACTCTCCAGTTTCCATTCTTTGGATTCAGTGCCATCTCCCTATGCAAGCCAGTCTTGTGTTTTATTGCTGGCTGCCCGAGACTAGGCACGGTGCTGGGCGATGGGATCCAATGATGCACAAGAAAGAGAGGGCTTCTGCCCTTAGGGAGTGATAATAAAACTCCAGGGACTCCTATGTCACCATGCTAGCCCACAGTCTACATAGTTTATACCCCACTCACTGGCTTGGTCAACTCACACAAGACCACCCAGATGAGGTCTGGGTACAGAAGGACTGAAACTGCCTCTTGCTACTGATATATGAAAATTCAAGACATGCTGGGCTCCTGTGCTATGTAAATACTTTCATAATTTAAGGTTTAATGCTTGGGGTCACCTACCAGTCGAAAAAGATACTGAGCCATCTGATATATGTTATTGGAGAAACCTTTCCTGATGCACAGGATGTGCCAATTTGAGGAGGAAAACATCACAAGTTCTCTTCATGAGCTATCTGGCTCATGCCACGTCCAGGCACATGAATTTAGGAGAAATCTGGTTGTCTGCAGGAGGTGGTGAATGAAGTAAAGTGAATATGCTGATTCCATTCTGTTCACATGCGGTAAGTAGTGAACACGCTTTGTAGCTCTCTCCCTGCTTGCATCCCTCATCACTATAATCAGCCTGCACTTAAAAATGCTAAGTTCTAAGGCTCCGATCATTGACAAGGATGAGTCTTGTCCTTTGTAGGCTCTCATAACCACTGACACACTATATTTCAAGGGGGTTGAATGTTTTGATGTCTTTTGGCTTCTCTTTTTCCATAAAATGTCTGAGTTGTTCTGTGTATGATTCTTGACTTCTCTGAACAGAGACCATCCCTTGAAGAATTAAGGGAAGAATTACCTTTTTTCATACGCAATTTTTCTGACGAGATTTGGATACACTTAGCTTTTCATCCTTTGCAAATATCTTCTGCCATCTTCTTTTCCTGTCAAGGACAGAAATTACAGAGGTGGGAAGGATACTTGTAGCATCTGTGTCATAATTTCCTCTGCACACCAAGAGCTAGAGCTTGGAACGACACTTTTCTCTAAGCCGGGTTCTAGTGCCTTACACTCCAGAATGTCAAATCATGGATGTAGGTAGGAAGAATGAGAAAGAAAGTTCGTTTCAGTGTGTGGGCTCCCATCCACCCCACGTAGCCTCTCCTTCCTCAGAACAAGTGGGCAGGTGCTAGAAAGCTCTTTCAGGGAAGGGTTTTCTAGCAGTACAGTTAACACTTTACTCTGATCAACACTCAGGATGCATAAAAGCACCACTGTAATTATGGTAAAGTACTGTAACTCACTATTCATGTCTGTAGATGTGCAGTTCAGCTCAGCCCTTTTCTCTTCCTGTTTAGGGTTGGAATGTGGTCCTGAAGACACTCAAGGCACTTAAGTGGGATCTATTCCTGAGAAGCCCGGGTGACTTTGGGCACACAGGGTGACGGAGCATCTTTGCTTGCCGTGAATGTGATATTAACATTGTGTGCTGTATTTCTATCAAGCTAGGTTTCCATTAAGATTTTCTTTTTCATGTTACAAGGACTGTAAATCAATAAACAGACATCGTAATGACTCTTGCCACGTCCACTTCTGTTCTTCATGTGCAGTGGCTTGGTATAAGTATTTGCCATCACAAATGACAAACAGTGTACATAAAACTGTTTGTACCTATCTGTGTTACCACAGTGTAAGGAAGAATTTGGAAACTGAGGTGAGGAGGATGTGGGCATTTATCTTCCCCGCCATGCAGCCCTGGCATGGCTGAGGGGAGCCTCTCTCCTCCCTGTGAAATTACTGTTGCTGTCACTGGACTGCACGGCCTGCCCACAATTAACTTCATAGTCAGGACCTGGCCCCTGACTACCATCCATGTACGAGGGAGCCCATGTTTGTGTGGAAAACAAGGGTGTGTGTGCGTCCTGCTCACATGGTGGGAAGGGGAGGACGTGGTCTGAGGGAAACAGCCAGGGGCCTGTTACTACCCCAGCGTCCAGCCGCACATTCAGTTACTAAACTTTCTCTGTTTATCCAACCAGTGTTTGAGCAGTTACATCTGGGAATTGCATAGGGCAACATGTCCTCAATAATCTTCATCTAGTCTTCCAAACCTTTTATTTCTAGTTTCATCAATGGTCATCCCTGCCAGAAACCTGGGAGTCATCTGGTCCCCCCTCACCTCTGACCCCTGCCTCCAGTTCTGCACCCACTGGACAGGCTGTCTCCTCAATGCCTCTCATCTGTTGGGACCCCTCTGTCCCCACCATCGATGCTGTGGTTGAGACAGTTACCGTCCCTAACTGCAGTACTAGCCTCCTAACAATTTTCCTGCTTATGTCTTCGTCCTCCCTCTGCAGTTGTCTTTCTAAGACACAGCAGGACACTGACTCCTGACTTGAAACCCTCAAGTGACTCCCCTTCGTCATGAGATAAAGTCAGACCTCTAGCCAACCAAGGGTTCTGTGGTGTGCTGGCTGTGGCATTCCGGGTCTTGGGGACCCCGCTGGGTGTGATGCCAGGCCCTGAGCCCAGTTCACTCTCCCTGCCTGCAGCTGCGACTGGACCTTATCTCACACCCTGCTCTTAAGTCACACTGAGAGGTTTCCACATCTATCTTTTACTCACTAAAATGCCCTCCTGGCCCCCATCCTGCTGTGCTTGTGGGAAGTTCTGAATTTACAATCACATGACTCCTTCAACCACCCTGGCAGAGCCCTCCTATCTTTCAAAAACTCAGCCCAACACCACCACAGTGTCCTCAGTGGAGCCTTTGCTTCCCCAAGAGAATGGGCCTCCCTCCGGTGTCCCCAGCACACCCTTTTATGTCTTATCTTTTTATCCTCCTGGTTCTGTAAAACCCTTTGCAGAGGACTCAACTTCTTTGAAACTCCAACATCTAGCATTTGCTTGGCACTTAATAGATGATTAAATGAATAGGGAAAAGTGGACAGCCAAAGCTTTAAAAATGTTTTTAAGATTTAAAGATGTAAAATGTTTAAAACTTTCTTTTATTGGGAAACACTTCATTCTATAAAATAGAATAAGTAGTCCCCTGTTTTAAAAGTTTTAAATAATTGTTTGCCAACTTGAAACCAGGGAAAATGCCCTGTCACCTCCCAGGTCAGACATGATTGCTTTACTGCCTTTGTCCACATCCATAGGCCAGTAGGTGGCGCTGTGGCATGTGATTTGAGGCTTACTGGGTTCATAGGGCTGTATGGACTGTCAGAAAGAATTAGAAAACCCAAGTCAGACTCATGAAATCTCCAGGCGGAAGGCTGATAGCCCAGCATGGCCTTCATGGCACAGAAGGACTGAAATGAGGCTCCTTTGGAGCAGTCTCAAGAAGAGAGATGTGCCTTTTTCCTCCAGCTGCTTGTTCATATGAAAGTCTGTAGAGTTAGGGACCCTCAGACACTTAGATCTGGGCCATTATCTGCTTCAAGCCTCTCGGAATCCCAGATTGTCATGGTGGGTTAAGAGTGTGACTTATGGCCAGGCGCGGTGGCTCACACCTGTAATCCTAGCAGCCTGGGAGGCCGAGGCGGGTGGATCGCTCAAGGTCAGGAGTTCGAAACCAGCCTGAGTGAGACCCCGTCTCTACTAAAAATAGAAATAAACTAATTGACCAACTAAAAATATATATACAAAAAATTAGCCGGGCATGGTGGCGCACGCCTGTAGTCCCAGCTACTCGGGAGGCTAAGGCAGTAGGATTGCTTGAGCCTAGGAGTTTGAGGTTGCTGTGAGCTAGGCTGATGCCATGGCACTCACTCTAGCCAGAGCAACAGAGGGAGACTCTTGTCTCAAAAAAACAAAAACAAAACCAAAAAAAGAGTGTGACTTATTAGCCTGGGCATGGTGGTACATGCCTGTAGTCCCATCTACTCAGAGGCTGAGGCAGGTGGATCACTTGAGCCCAAGAATTTGAGGCTGCAGTGAGCTATGATGATGCCACTACACTGTAAGCCCAGGTGACAGAGACCCTGTATATAAAAAAATTATATATATATATATATATATATATATATATATATATAAAAATACTGACTTTGGGACTTTGAGCTTGGCCTGGCATTGCCCCTGCCTCTTCCTCAGTATACAACTTTGGGAGGTTACCTTTCCTAAGCCTCTGTATCAGTCTGTACACACACGCATGCGCTACGTGGGAAAGAGAGAGCACGAGAGTTAAATTTATTTTAAGGAATTCACTCACATGATTATAGAGGCTGGAAAGTTTGAAATATGAAGGGCAGGTCGGTAGACTGGAAGCTCTGGGAAGAGGTGATGTTGTGGCCTTGAATTAAAGATAGTCTGGCGGCAGAAGTCCTTCTTCCTTGGGGAACCTTAGTCTTTTTTCTTAGGGCCTTCAGCTGATTGGATGAGGAACATTCATATTATGGAGAGTAATCTGCTTTACTCAAAAACTCTATCGATTTAAATGTTAATCACATCCAAAAAATACCCTCACAACAACATCTAGATTGGCACTTGGCCAAACATCTGGGCATTCTAGGATAGTGAAGTTGACACACACAATCAGCCACCACAGCATTCATTAACTTGCTGGTAAAATGGGCAATGACATATTTTTTGAGACTCAACTAATAACACACATGAAATAACCGATCCATTGTAAAATCTTTCTGTGCACAACAGCTAGAGTGAATGCTGTGGCATCAGCCTAGCTCACAGCAACCTCAAACTCCTGAGCTCAAGCGATCCTCCTGCCTCAGCCTCCGGAGTAGCTGGGGCTACAGGCATGTGCCACCATGCCCGGCTAATTTTTCTATATATATTAGTTGGCCAATTAATTTCTTTCTATTTATAGTAGAGATGGGGTCTCGCTCTAGCTCAAGCCGGTTTCGAACTCCTGACCTCGAGCAATCCGCCCACTTCAGCCTCCCAGAGTGCCGGGATTACAGGTGTGAGCCACCTCGCCTGGCCAGAACTCAAGATCTTATCCACAGATTTGTATCAGTTGATAAATTCACTGTCATTGCTTACAGCTTCAAAAACTTCTCCTAGCAGAGCAGGTGGTTGGAGATTCCTCCCAGTCACCACAGAGAAGATTTAACAAGTAAAAACCTGCAAACTCTTTATTAAATTCTCCCATTTCATCTGTACAGAAAAAAATGCACATTATGTTCAGAACATATCTCAGTAACATCTCAAAATTACACAGCATGAACATGTAAAAACAAGGAACTGCCAGGATTTTATACATAGAAAGGAAACCCATTTACAAAAGAGGCTTGTTAATTGTACTTTTTTTTCTTTCCTTCAAAAAAAAAAAAAGTTAAAGGCCTAAGATCGCACACAGCATTTGCTGCAGTCTAGTTTTCCTGCTGGGACTAACCTGGGAACGCTGTGCTGGGGGAAGCCGCTCAGGAAGCCTCCCTGTTGTCAGCTCTCCTGTGGGTGCCCTCAACCCAGCGCACTGCCGTTTGAACTGGGGGACCTGTTTGTACCACCCTGGCATGTCTGCAGAGGGCCCTGCTGGGCTCTGGGGTCCAGATGTCAATTCTATCTTGAGGGGAAGGCAAAACATAATATAGAGGCACTGTCTGAACTTTCTCCTAGCGCAGGAATATTTCTCTAGTGCACACTGTACAACGTCCTACATGTGGGAAGGAGGGGAGAGAACCACCTCGGAGGATCCTGTCATCACCAGCCTGAGCAGAAAGCCCCATCTTTGTGCTCCAGGCTACAGTCCTCTGGGTGCCTACGATGATCTCACCAGATGGCCTGGGGGAACCTGTCACCCTGAAGATCAGTCTGGGTTTACTGATGACTTATCTGTTGTCTGATGTCTGGATAGGACAGGGTATTTGGCTTCAAACTTGAATGCCCCAGCATGTGACCTGGTCCTCCCTAGTGATGGAGGAGGAGGACCAAGGAGTGTGGTTAAAGGGATGGCCAACCAAAGGCAAATGGGAAGAATGGAGGGAGGCCAGAACACTGGATCTGGCCCCAGGCCCTTGAGAACCAAAGAAGTAAGTCAGAAGACAACTGTTCCTACAGCCCCGAGAGAAACTCATGACATAGAATAGTATATTTTATAAAACTACTTAGGTGCTGTCCAAATGGTGAGAAATAAAAGGGAGCATTCTGATCTGAGGTTTTTCAAATTTATGAGAAGCTGAAATACAAGTAAACACACACACAAAACCCCAAAAGCCATATTCTTCTTCTGGTTCTATGGCCCACATTTAGGTGGAATGTGCCAGGCTGGTAGGCTGACTCTGAGGGTTCCTAGTCCAGCTTCCTTCTCCTTATCTGCTGACTCAGACTTGGATCCAAGTGGTAGGTGTTTACTTTTGTGATGAGCAGGGGGAGCAATCGGGACGGAAGGCCTTTCCTCAGCGGGACCTGAGGCCAGCTAGGAGAAAAGGCCCCATGAAGCCACCTTACCCCTCCCTGGATGACTCACTAGAGCAGGATGTTGGGGACAGAAGTAATATCACAAGTCTGAAGGCCGGGAGACATTTCCAGAAACCATACTGGTACATTACATAAAAGTGAATCTTCCTTAGGAAGGTCAAGGGGAGTCAGCCACATAATTCCCTTTCCAATCTGTGTGATAAAATGTAAAATGTATGTGCAGACGTCCTCACCATTGGATTCTTCTATTAGTTTATCTCATGAAATAGGGAGAAATGAAATAGTAACTTTCTGTCCCATCTTCTAGGAAAGCAATCACCTCCCTGAGATGCATCCGCACCCTACCAGGCGAGCTGCTCACTGTCCCTCAGAAGAGGCACAACCCCCAAAGGCCTGCAATGAACTCACACCAGCACCTGCTTACTAAATTCCAGTTCATCAGAAGCCCTAGAATCCCTGAACTTCTAAGGATGCACTGGCTCAGACTCAGCTGACTGGAGCCACAGCGCTGGGACTGGGAATGGTAGCCAGAGGGTCTCTAGGGAATGCAGGAAAGGGTTTTCCCAGCACCAAACCCAAGCCTTTGGTATGAGCTTCTGTTGGTGCATCTTGCCAACGACTTGTCTTGGGAAAGCAGTGGAAGTCTTACTCACACATAACCCCTTCTGTGGGCTCTGTTGGGAGCAATTAGTCTTAATCTTGACATTTTGCCCAGATTTCTCATCTGTACCACAGCGCCCACAGCCTGGGCTCCTGGTGCCTCCGGAAGCTTGTGGAGAACACTGTGTATAAGAGTCCCTGAGACACTGTTATGAACTGGCAAGGCCAGATCGACAGTGACCTGGCTGCAGTAATTTTCAGCAAGTGCCTGGAGCCTTGGCCTTGGCAAAAAACCCTAACCGCTACTTATATTATTGTCTGTGGGCTAGACATCAGGAGAATAAAGGCCAGAGTCCATCATCAGCTCCTATTGAAGAGTCACGGTTCCTCTTCTTGACTAATTCTCAACCAGTTGATTTATACCCATGATTGCCCCGTGAGGGGGACCTGGGGGTGCCCAGGCCCTGCCTTGTTATGCCAAATGAGACACAGAACAGATGTAGCTGGGCTGCCAGTTTGGATGGCACTGGGTCCCTTGGATTTAGAAAAACTTGCTTAGGATCTGCCTGGGACTTTCAAGAGCTAGTCATAGGAAACTACTCCAAGTAGGAAGGTAAAAGACTTTCTTGTACCAAGTGAAGATACCAGCAGAGCTATAATTTCTTTTCTGACCATTTCTAAAGATGACAAATGTTCCAAGAACCAAACTCTTCATCAAACTTCCACATCTGCTGCAGACAACTAATGGGATTTTCTTAGTTCAAAGAGAACAGAAACATCGAGACACTTTAGAATTACAAGGATGTTGTACATGTCGGGAAGGAGACTGCAGAGATGGAGAATGATACCTCCACCCTTGTCAAACAGTGAACATTAATCCTATCCCGTAAACCACACAGATATGTCAGTGAGAATCTGCATGAAGAAGACAGCCCTGGTTCTTGCTGTCAAGCCTCAGCAGCCCCCCACCCAGAGGGGAACCCCTGGAGAGGGAAACTCCAGACCAGCTCAGTTCGGTCTGGCAGAGGTGGCAGTAAGGTGTGCTGCGCATACTCCAAGGGTTTCAAGTTTTATGACATTGAAGATCCCAGGATGACTGTGGAGAATCAGGAAGACCTAAAAGCAGGACAGAGGGGACCAAGCAGCTTAGCAGCTTCCCTTGGTGACTAGCATTGCCCTCGGCAGGGGGGACATAGAGCTGGCTTCGGGAACCCACTGCCTCCAGGAAAGGCAGCAAAATAGAAAAAAGAAAGAAAACCACAGTATTCAAAATATACGTCAGTCAGGTTAGACAAGGAGTAATTTCGATCAGCTGATCCACAAACTGACACACCTCGAATGGAACACATTTCAGGGAAGACAAACGTTGCTCAGGTGCCACAGCACACGCGGACAGCACGAAGAAGAGGCAGGAGGAGGAAGGGCACCGTGGGTGGGCCTCGGTCTATGTGGACAGTTTTAGGCACGTGATTTATAATACTTTGTGGACATCTAACAGGTTAATAAAATATATATTATATAAGTATATCTCCTACTGTACAAGCTGCTTTCTTTTGCAGCCACTGTGACTTCATGCCCCAAACCCAACCAAAGGTGTGCCAGGTTGAGCCGTGATGCCTGGATTCCTCCTATTCTTATAACCCCAAACCTGTCACCTCCATGCTGGAAGAAAGAGGGGGGTGGCCAGGAATATTGCTTCTATAAAGCTCTGGTTCTGGAAAGGTTGATGAATCACCCAAATACAAAATTTAGCCAATGCCTAATAGAGTGGGTACACGCGGCAGACAGACAGACAGAAAAAAAAAAAAAAAAAACCGGAGAAAATCCTCCATCTTTTAATGTAATAAATTTCCACTCTCTCTCCATGTAGAGGCACAAAGAAGCGTGTCTGGGTGAAGTTTGCCTGGAGTGTGCAGAAAGGTCAGGTTGGACTGCCAGGCACACCCTGAGACCATGCTAAATCTTTATAAGCCACTGTCTCTGATCCGTATTGTAGCCTGAAAAATAAAGCAAAGTGAATCAATCCCCTGCTCCTTTTTCCTGTCCTGCCGCCCCCTACACCGAAGTCTTCAAGGACCCTCGCTGCCATCACTGCTTCCCGGTGGAGCACAGCACTTCTGGAGAAACTGCCACCTCAGCAGGGTTGATCTGGATGCACGGAGTCCTGCACTGTCCTGGAGGAGGAAGGTTACTGGGCTCCTGCTGCCGAGGGATTCAGAGTCCAGCCTCTCCGTACAGATCAACAGAGCATCCACCTCCACAAACTTCGGGTCCCCTTCCCTCCCTCTCTGCCCCTGGCCTAGGGAGGCTCCTGCTTTATTTCAATGCCGCCAGGAGATCACTGAGATATCCATGCATTGGGGCTGTGATCAGCAATGGCTCATGTAGGGTGGGAACTGGAAGGCATCACTGATTCAGCAGAAGAAAACAGGACCCAGAGTGGGCTGGTGAGTGGTTTCCCACTACTAGAGGACCATGGCTCTGACGTGGCCCAACAGTGCTCCTGAGAGATGAACGTGACATCTCAGTTATAGCGTATTGGGTGGTGTGCATCCCCTCTAAGTCCTGCCTTCATTTCACACAGTCACATAGAAGAAATAACCCCATTGACCAAATAAAGCCTGGAGGAGATGTGTTACTATATACATTTTTTCCTTTAAAAATTTCTTTGTTTTTTTGGTGTTTTTTTTTTAAAAAAAGCATTTGAGTTGCAGGTCAGGTGAGTTGGTTCTGGAAGTACTGGTAGTTCTGTTGGTATGAGAGACTTGTCTACAGGCAGGTAAACCCAAGTATGCCAACAAAGGCAGTAACCCAAGCGGCCAGCTGCTGATGCTGCACGAATGGCGAGGAGGAGGAGGACACCATGAACATGGGCGAAGTCTGGATGGGACAATGCAGTGGACACCTGCAGATGCTCTAACATGGGCGTTGGTGTCACCTCTCAGAAGAGCGAGGCGAGTGGGTACACTATACAGGAGGGCTGTACAAAGAGGACACGGATAGGTAGTTCCTTTGGTGATCAAGGTGGCTCTACCTGTCCTTGAGCTCTCTTGTCACTCGCTTAGTGATCCGTCCGCACATCAGGCCAATCAGGAACAATATACAGATGCTCCCACTGATCACAGAGAGAATGTAGTTCTTGGACGGAGATGTCATTACTTGCATGGCGAGATCAGAGAAGCCATCTGCTGGGGCCACCTAGAAGGACACAGAACATGTGATCTTCTAAAAGAATTGGGCTGGTGGCAGTGCTAGGTCTAACTATTCCCCTCAACTCCTAGTTTAATTTATCTCTCTCTTTTGGGGAGGGAGGGCAGTGCACAAGAAAATCAACACAGAGCTACTCCTTTTCCTGATCATAAAACTGTATATGTCTGCTGCACAAAATTAGCAATATTGAAAGGTAAAAAGAGGTAAAGTTACCCAGAATTCTATCATAGCGATCACTACCACTAACATAACACTAAGGACTGACAATGTGATATGCCCTGGTGCAAGGGCTCTGTGTGTTCTCACTCACTGAGTGTTCCCACCAAGCCTAGCATGCAGGTTTCACGACTTCTATACTGCAGATAAAGAGTCAGTGGCCCAGGGTGAGGGTAGTTAAATGACTTGCACAAGGCCACAGGGTCTTACGTATTTTGATTTATGCTCTTCATTGTGTTTGCTGCCTTTTTAAAAAACAGAAAAGGTGAGATTGTGCTGTTTGTTAATTCTGTATCTTGACCTTTTTCAATCACCATTACATCATAGGCATTCCCCAGATCAAAAATAATATGCGGACATTGCTTATAATGATAGAATATACTTAACCACTCTCCAATTGTGGACATTTATAGTTTAACCAGTTTTTACCCTCAGTTTTCCATTGTTTTCTCCAGTGGACCTCTATGGTAGCCTGCCATGGCAGAATCAGGACTGAAAGGTTCTCATACACACAAACCTGTTGCTTTGAGTCTCAGCATGGGTGCTAGAAGTGACTGGCCCAGAGATGTCCAGGCTGTTTCATCCCATGTACACAGAATAAAGCAGAGAGGCGTGAGGGCAAAGGGATTTCAGCACCAAAAGTTGCCAACACAAAACAAGCAGTGAATCACTCTGAGTCACTGCAGCAATGCTATGCAGCTCAAAGGAGCGGAAACCAAAGAAAGAAGAATGGACCCATGTAGTAGCTCTCCCTTCTGCTTCACCTAGCCAAGGGCTCAAAAGGTGATTTTCTTCCCCTGGGAGAAGGGGTGAGGGAGTGTTAACTATTGTGACAAATATGATCCGTCCCCTGCATCTCCCTTCCGTCTGAGTATGAATACTTTCTCTGGTCATTCCCTCTTGTCTTGTTATCCCTGACCTGGAAGCATATAGGGGATAGGAAGAATTGACCAAGAAGGAGGGGAGTTCCTATGGTCACTTTCTTGATCTAAGGTCACTGGGAATCTTTATCCCAGTGTGAGCTGACACAAAAGCATGGATCTAGAAACCTAACGATCTCAGGCAAATCATCTCTGAAGTCAGTTTCCTGAGGGAATAATCATTCTCCTTACCTCACAGGGTTTCAAGGTAATGGCGTAATATATCCATTAAAGTGTTTTGTAAACTACAAAGCAATGTATACATGAGAAGAACTGTTATTCTTCTTCTCACTGAGGCTGAACTTGGTAGGGACAATTTCGCCCAGCCCAAGTCTGCTTGGGTACCATACACATTCACCAGTGTCCTGAAGTCTCCCTTCATCCTATTCTTCTTCATGTACCAGACCACTAAGGACTGGTCTCATGTAAGTATTTTTCTCCCAAAGACTGTATAAAATCAAAAAACAAGGTTTATGACAGGCAAGGCTGGATTTCTTTCTTTTTCAACAGGCATGATATCTCTTTTCTCTTTGGGTGACTCACTTTTCAGTAGTTAACCAAGGGAAACTGAGGGCAGAAAACAGAGGCCCTGGCAAAGCCTTGCAGACACAGCCTAATGCAAAGGGAGATGGTGGCTCCAGGTTCAAGAATAGTCAAGGAGTTTTAAAAGTGCACTGACGGCCAGGCGCTGTGGCTCATGCCTGTAATCCTAGCACTCTGGGAGGCCGAGGCAGGCGGTTGCTCGAGGTCAGGAGTTCAAAACCAGCCTGAGCAAGAGCGAGACCCCATCTCTACCACAAATAGAAAGAAATTAATTGGCCAACTAATATATATAGAAAAAATTAGCCAGGCATGGTGGCATATGCCTGTAGTCCCAGCTACTCGGGAGGCTGAGGCAGGAGGATTGCTTGAGGCCAGGAGTTTGAGGTTGCTGTGAGCTAGGCTGATGTCACGGCACTCACTCTAGCCTGGGCAACAAAGTGGGACTCTCTTTCAAAAACAGAAAAAAAAAAAAAAAAAGTGCACAAGTGCACTGACCAAGTTTTCAAATACACTTACTGCTAGTCCCACAATAAGGACAAAAAGACCAGTGAAATATCTCAGAAACTGGAAAATGACAGAAGAGATCGTTACGTTAGGAGATTCTCTTGATCATTACCTTTGCTGCATAACTCCACATTTCGATGCGGTCATTGAGGCGTTTTTTACACTCGGGTTGTAACCTCACCCGCTTATCCTCCAGTGCCTCCATAAGACAGGACATCTCTGTGGAAGGAAATGGATAAGAAGGAGAATCTGAAACTGTACAGATCAGAGAAGTTCCTGTAAGATTAGGGAAGAGGCTATCCAACCACCAGAGAATTCAGATCTGAAGGCTCAACCAAGTTAAATTCATTCTAGGAAACTTAAGCCAAGATCCAAGATGGAGAGAAATTCTATTTAACCTCCAAGTTTGGCTGTATAGAGTCTCTCTTAAAACGACTTATTTTTATTGGGCATACCTGGCCCAGAAACAACTTTTACACCTGTCCTACCTCCAGCCTCACAATGAACCTGTCTATTGAGCCCACCATGGCCACTGGGAAGTGGATGAAGCTGGTTTGGGTAAGGAGAGAAAGAGGGCCAGGCTGACGACTTAACTTTTGCTTCCCTGATAAATACAATAACTCAACTCTCCCCTTTAATCAAATCTTTACCTCTGGTCATGAAGAGGTCAGTTCAAACCTGCAGGATGACTCCTAAATTCACTATGCCACAAAGGGCTAGTTTCGGCATCAGCCAGCCCCTAGGGGATGCTGTCTATAGTTGGGCTGCAGCTGTAGTACAGAGTAGCCATAACTGATGTCTGCCAGAGAGTCTTTGCTCCTCCCTAGTTCAGACAGGGTCAGAGTGAACATAGTGACTTACGACGTCCACGGCCAGGGGTGATGGCTGCACAGTGGTGTTTAATGTCCAGGGCACAAGCTGTATGAAGAACTGGGTCCACAAAGATGTCTGCTTTGCTTTCCTTCAGCATGTTCAACACTTCCTGGAAAGGGAAGGTCATTGTGAAGAGAGATTTTGTAGAGGAAATGCATCAGATCTGTTGTTTATACATACTTTATATATAAACAAACAAGTCCAGGAGAGAAAGTTGAGGGTTATCAACAGAGATTACACTGGTATAGGTGGCAATGTGTTGATGATGCACACAACACAGATTTTTAGCATCCAACTTAAATCCAATAACTAACTTTTAGGGATACAAAGCTATATGTGAAGGAAAGCAGGGGACAGTAAGTGATTTTAAGACTGGATTTGGGTTTTTGGCATTCTGGTGTGCCATATTATTTTATTTATTTATTTGTTTTTCAAACTTTTATTATATTTATTTTTTTAAATATTTCTTTATTTTCTCATATTTTGTCTATTTTTTACTTTCCCTAGGCCCATCCATGTATTTGTATGCCATATTATTTTAAAGTACCTAAAGGTTAGTATTTCTATGGATGCGATATAATTATTTTGTTATTTTAAGAAATCTGAAAAAATGTGAAATGTGATAATCAGAGTAATATGCTATATTAAAATTCCTAATCAGATAAAGGTATATTTGTTTATAAAATATTCTACTCCATCACCTTTAAAAATAAAAAAAACAATGGACAGAGTCTAACTTCTACTGCAAGAATAATTCTTATTGAGTTTAAAGATGTTCTGAACAAGAGGAATATAACTATGTCAGAACTGAAATCACTTCTGCAGACTTGCCATTTATACATGATGAAATTATAGGAGGTAAAGACAGGCCAGAAATGCTTTCTTAAACAAAAGTCAGTTTGCTCAATAGGAAGACTGTAGTCCCTATAAAACAACACTAACAAAAACAAAAGCCAAACAAAACCCTAATATTATTCTAAAATCTTCCCCCACCAAAGTTATGTGGGATCATTCGATGATAAAGAAGCAAAAGGAAAATATACAGATTTAGCTTTTAAGCAACTTCTATCAGTCCTCAGATCATGTGGAATCAGAAACGTTTTTAGCAGATGAAAATATTTATACACATTTATATTCTCAATGATTAAACAACACCAACAAATTATTTTTAAAAACATTTTTTAAAAAAGATCCAATATATTGTTTCATTTTTAATTTGCAAGACAATGTATGTTTTATGGCAATATTTTGATAAATTTGTTTTTATGTGACATTCTGAAATGAACTAGTTTTAGTTTCATTGATTTCCACAAATGTGCAACACTTATTAACATATTGGAATTGACATTTTGCTTTGGTATTACACTTACAGTGCCCTAAAGAATGTCTAGTCATAGGGATCAGATGTATTCACAAATAATTAGAATATGTGAAAAGTATAGTCAAGTTTATAGGAGCTTAATGGCCAAAGACCAAATTAAAGTATGATAAAGAGAACAGCATAGAATGCTCGGCAGGAAGGTTTATCTGTTTTTTTTTTTTTTTTTAGAGACAGGGTTTTGCTTAGTTGCCCAGGCTGGAGTACAGTGGCATGATCACAGCTCACTATAGACTCCAACTCCTGGGCTCGAGCAATCCTACTGCCTCAGTGTCCCGAGTAGCTGGGACTACAGGCAGGTGCCACCGTGTCAGGTTAAGATTTAAATTTTCTGTAAAGATGGGATCTCTATGATGCCCAGGCCTCAGCCTCCCAAATCACTGGGTTATAGGCATGAGCCACAACACCCAGCCTAGATTGTTAATTTTAATTCTAAGATATGCAGACTATAGCATTAAAAGGAAGAAGAGAAAAGGAAGTGAGGAAAAATAGGAGATGGTGGTTACCTTTTTACATGTTTCTGTTTTTATCTTGAGTAGGTTAACCTTGAGGCACTCCTCTACTTGACCTGTCTGTTCCTGGGCTGCTGCTTCTTCAGCACATAGACTGGAGATCTGTTCAGGAGACACACAAAAAGCCAGGCTACCCCCTGAGCAAAGAAATGCACAAAGAGTTTCTTTTTTTTTTTTTTCTTTTTTTTTTGGCCATATGCTACAGCAGAACACAAAGAGTTTCAAAAGCAGAAGAGTCTGGTGATTCTGACCAGCTCTGGACCAGCAGCTCCACTGCACTATCTGAGTCCCTTCTTTGCTGGCCTGCCGCTGCTATCAGCAGAACCCTTGGTCTCTAAATGTGTTGATTTGGTGATCCTCCCATGCATGAGCCAAGGGCTCATCTCAAACAGCTTCCTGATGGATTTCCCATCCCTCCTCTGTACTGGATGCCAGGCTCTTTTCTCCTTTACAATGACTGGCGCATAGAGTTGAAAATCGGTAAATGCACATCTATTTATGCTATCAACCCTGAGATTGGAGTCAGATCCCAGGACTCGTCACAAAGATGGCTACTCCTTGATTCCACAGGAGGAAGGTTATATAACCCAGTAAAATGCTAAAAGCAAACGCTGGACGTTTATAGAGGTTTAAGGTCAACCCCAGAGTCACAAGTTGGAAGTGCACATGCACACACACAGACACACACACACAAAGGGGTTCTGAAACACAGCCCAGAGTGAAGACTAAAAACTTAGATAGGCAGGCCTTTCTTTAGAGCTATTATGGAAGTACTTTTATCAGATAAGTCTTGGGGTGTTCTGAATTGACTACAGAGACTAAGGAGAAGTGAAGAATAAATTATATATAGATAGCTATAGAAAAAGAACACCCTCCTTCAACAGGGAAAAATGGAATCAATACTGTTGAGTGAAAGAACTAACACCAAGCCCAACTCAGTGTCAGAGACAAAAACTCAGACCATGGAGGGAGCCTAGAATGTGAACCCTCAACTAAGCATGGATCCAGGATTAAACAGAAAGAAAGTAAAGAATGTTTCTCCAGTGAACAATTCTCAGACCAGCTCTGTTCACAGTTTTGTACCCAAATCCGACCTCATCTGAGCAGTGCAGCTGGAGCTGAGGATCTAGCCGGTAATCCAGAGCAGACTCCTGGATGATAATCTGGATCTGGTCCTCACAGTCAGAAGACAGGCGCTGCATGTGACAAAGGGAGAGGACACCAGCCTATCAGAAAACGTCACCTTTTGATTTGGCCCTTTAACCCCTGGCTTGCGGAGCATCTGAAAAAGGTCTTGGGACCTGGGCCTGGTGGCTCATACCTATAATCCCAGCAGGAGTTTAAGGCTGCAGTGACCTATGATGGTGCCACTGCACTCCAGCCTGGGAAATAGAGCAAGACTTTCTCTTAAAACAAAACAAAACAAAACAAAACAAAAAAAGAAACATGGAAAAAAAAGAAAAAGAAATAAAAAAGGTCTTGGGAAAATAGGAGCAAGGTAGGGACTTTAAAACAGAAAATTCCCAGGGAGAGAGGTGACTCCATAAATACACCTCTGTGGAAAGCCCAGGCCAGTTTACCTGGTCAGCATATCTCAGCTTGAGGCAGGAGATGACTTGGCCTTCTAGCTCTGAATCATCCTTGGCCTTAGTCAGGATGCCATGACAGAACTTAGGAATGTCAGCTTTGCAAGCTTTCCTTAACACAGGGTTTAAGCGGTAATCTAGAGCAGAAAGCAGTGAGTACAAGATAAAATATTCCACCTGGATTCACAAATTTTTAGAAATCCACCTTCCAAAAGGGGGCATATTATGTCAATGACCAGGACTACAACCACTGACCTATTTATTCAGCAAATGCTTACTGGGCCCTTACTACACTGTTTTTAATCAGCGATATGATTTAATTGAAGAGTACTTCTGGGCGTCCCCAAGAAGCCTTCTACTCTACAGAGTTTTGTGGTATAATATTCTAAGTAGTCCTTATAATAGTCAAGCAGACATCAGCAACCTTCCCCATCAAAGATCTTTTTTAAAACAATGAGAAGGAAATAGTATCCAACTCACCTTGCCTATCACCTTACAATGTTTTGAAACTCTGTTCTACAACACATCAACCATGTATTCTCCTGCCACACTCTTGAAGCTTTATTAAATCTCTCAACTTTTCTTTTCAGGAAACTCTAGTCCTGTTTCCTTTTGTACATTCTTTAAGGGTAGTTTCCTAGTCTTCCTCTTTCATTCCATTTTTCTGGATACTCTTCAAAGGAGTAAGTCATTTTCCTTACAGCCAGACTCCTCCCTTAAAATTCACAGGCAACAAAGTATCTGTAGTTTAATTAGGTAATTATATGCCCACTTAATTCCAAGTAAGCTATAATGAACGTGACCAGGAAAGCCAAGCTGAGATCTTACCTGTGTTCTGGGTGATTTGGCGTTTGGTTATCATCTGTTTGCATTTGGGATCCATTAATTCACTGTTTTTATTTTGCTTCAAGCATTGCAACATGGTTTTAGAATCTGCTTCTGCACAGAACCTCTGCAAAGAAACAAAGTATTATAAAAATAGCTATCCAAATATGGCAATTAACTCCACCTGGGATCACTCTTACATCTATTATAGAGCTAATGAAAGCAGGAGACTGAAGGTACCACACTGTACAAGAGGAGTAGCTAAGTCTGAGTAAGCACCCAGCCCAAGCTCCCTTCTTTACTTATTCTCTACTGTATTTCTGGCAGTTCTCCCTATGATCTCACTGGTTCCTGCTTTGCACGGGACTGATTCTCTATGTAAACAGTCATGTTAAATTATACGGCATCTCATGAGTTTGCTAATTGTTTAAGCACAAATGTACAGACATACCAGGTGGCCATGCAGCCCTAAAGACATATCTACGCAACCCCAATGAGAAAACCTAGGAATCACCCACCAGCCAACCAATATGAAGAGAGATGCGACGAAAGGACCCATCTGGTTGATCTTAACTATAAGGGTTAAAATCCTACCAACACTGTGGGGCTAGTGCCTGTACACTTATTCTGTCCTTTAAGTCAGGGATATATTTTGGACTAGTAATCAACTTCATTTCTATTTTGCTAATCCACAAGTCTTTAAAAGTGTCATAGTGTCTGAAAATGCTTGTTGAGACATTTCAGCATCAAGCCTCCTTTCCCAGTTCTGTTTCCAGTTCTCTAAAGCATATGTGATTATAATCTACTAATATCTTAATAACTCATTGATTCTATAAAATCTTGCAAAGCTCTCTCAAATCAGAGCCTGACATTTCCACTTTTACATATGACTCGATTTTATCAGGCCCAGTTAAAGAGATTTACACTTCTAACTTTCAAAATTCTCTTTGGAATTTATCAATAGGATGAAAAGTAGCATTCTATTTTAAAGGAAAGCTGAAATAAGGAGTTGGAAGCTTAAGTTTAATCTCTGTATTTGTGGCTAGATCAAGGAACTGGCATCTAGTACTGCTATCAGCTCTGCTGCAGGGAACGTCCACTGGTGAAGTAAATGAAGCGAAATAATTTATAGAACAGAAAAGGCTCCCCCCCCCTTTTTTTTTTAAAGAGATAGGGTCTCACTCTGTCACCCAAGGTGGAGTACAATGATGCAATCATAGCTCACTGCAGCCTTGAACTCCTGGACTCAAGGGATCCTCCTGCCTCAGCACCCCCAAGTAGCTGGGACTAAGGACGCATGCCACCACCATGCCCGGCTAATACTTTTTCCTAGAGATCGGGTCTTGCTATGTTGGCCAGGCTGGTCTCAAATTCCTGGCCTTAAGTGATCCTTTCATCTCAGCCTCCCAAAGTGATGGGATTATGAGCGTAAACCATCAGGCCTGGCTAATTTTTTTTATTTGTGGAGATGGGGTCACGCTATGCTGCCCAGAATAGTCTCAAACAATCCTCCTGCCTCAGCTTCTCCAATTGCTGGGATAATGAGTGTGAGCCACTAAGCCCAGCTCATAAAAATCTTTTGAGTGTGGTAGATGGATGATCAAATGCTCTCAAAACCAATCATATGTTTATTGGACATATATTTCATGTGTCTTGGGTCAAAGTGAGGTTATTATCTTAGGTGTGTTGTTTTCAGACTTGAGTGCGCATCAGAATCACTTGGAGGGCTCGTCAAAACAGACAACCTGATCGGTCAGAGTTTTTGATTCAGCAGAGGGGTTGGGAGTAGGCGGTGGAGGGAGTATCCTAAGAATCTGTAAATTCCCAGATGCTGCTGCTGCTGGTGGAGGGACCACACCTTGAGCACCACTATGCGAGCTGCGTAAAACAAGGTGAAACTAAACAACGTTTATGTTGTTATTTTTACTTACGCTGTGCTTAGCCCTTGGTTTTGGATTCCTCACCTTTATCATCTGCTTGCAGACTCTCATGAGTGTGTAGTCTAGTTCTGGGTCCATCATTTCTGTCTCCTGTAGCTTAAATACTTTCTGGTGGCAACGGGTACTTAGCTGCTTCTTGTTTTCTTTCAGACATTCAATAATCTATGGTATAAGATATTTGGTCAAGTTGAGAGATGTATCAGGAATCGATAATCCATGTATTCTCACTAAAGTATTCAGTTCTTAGTATACTCCCCATTTTTTAAATCCAAGTACCTTCCATTTCTGATCTCAGGAACAGGAATCAGGATTTCCCCACCAAGGAGAATTATACTTACATATTTACAACCTTAGGGCCAATAGCAGACCAAACTACAAAATTTAAGATGACTAGCAGGCTGCACTTAAATCTAAAAGGAATGAAACTCACTCAGGATCCCTGCTTTTGCCTACCTTTTAAAACTGTTCCTTGTCAAGATTCCTTGACATTAGGGTCTCTGCATTTGCCTAGAGCAACAACTCTGACTAGACAGTAGGCAAAAGCCAGGAGATTCAATTCAACTCACCATTTACCACAAGAACAGACCCTTGGTTGCTAGGTATGAGTGAGACCCAACCCTTAGCCTTGGCAAATACACTGTCCCATAGGGCAAAGTTATATAAATAAATATGACAAAAAAGATGAATGATAACAGAAAAGCATAAAGTGTCATGGGATGGATATTAAGATAGTGAATTAAGTATACCCTGAAATCTTCCATTCCCTATACAAACCTTTTGATATTGTAGAAAATGTAAAGAACGAAAGCTGGTGGGAAGTTGCAGCAGCTTAGGGCTGTAGCATGAAGTCACACAACTTCTAGGAAATGCTCAAGGCACAACCAGAAATCACTGACTAGTTGAGGAACATGTATCATAAGAAAGATGATAAATAAAGTAAACCAAGGACTCAAAACTGAGGGGAAAAAGGTAATACCGCACTCAAAACAAAAATTTAAAAATATATTTTAAATCCTCAGAACACCATAGAACGCAATGGTAAATAAGAATCAAGAATAGGTAGTTATGAAAAAAACCATTTAGCGACCTAGGAAATGAAAAACAAAACCAAACTGGTGGTCTCTCTAAAGAGAAGAATGGACAAAGCTTAAGATAAATTATTAAGCTGGGAAATAGAACTGAGGAATTACCCAAAATACAGTACAAAGAAACAAAGAAATGGAAAGTATGAAAGAAAAAGTTAAGAGATATGGAGGAGACACTCAGTATAGTAGCAGTTCCTGAAGGAAGGCAAGGGAAACAATATTTGAAAGAACAATGACTGAGAATTTCCCAGAACTGTAGGAAGATGTGAACTCTGAGACTGAAAGACCCAACTGCGATATTGAAAAAAACCAAAACAAACCATATTGTATCACATCATACTGAAATTACAGGCCATTAAAGATAAACAGAGGCCGGGCATGGTGGCTCATGCCTGTAATCCTAGCTCTCTGGGAGGCCGAGGCGGGTGGACTGCTCAAGGTTAGGAGTTCGAAACCAGCCTGAGCAAGAGTGAGACCCCGTTTCTACTATAAATAGAAAGCAATTAATTGACCAACTAATATATATATATATACACAAAAAATTAGCTGGGCATGGTGGCATATGCCTGTAGTCCCAGCTACCCTGGAGGCTGAGGCAGTAGGATTGCTTCAGCCCATGAGTTTGAGGTTGCTGTGAGCTAGGTTGACACCATGGCACTCACTCTAGCCTGGGCAACAAAGTGAGACTCTGTCTCAAAAAAAAAAAGATAAACAGAAAACTCTAAAACCTATCAGAGATAAACTACCAAGAAATGAGACTCAGGTCAGCATTAGTAAACACAAAAAGACAATGAAGTAATTCTCACAGGCTAAAGCTCCAGGGCATGCCCTCAACTAGAAGAGGTAGCTGAGACATTGTGAGAACATTTAAAAATTCTCTTGTTTGCACTTCATTCCTGGTGATACTGGGTAAGACCCTGTTCCTGTGTATTTTAAAAAGTTTCGTAGGTGATTGTTACATGACTGCTAGTGAAGAACTTCCATGTCATGGGAACATAATGAGGTTATTATTAATTGTGAAGATGCAGAGAGTTGGGAAAGGCCAGAGAGAGGAGGAGGCATTTAAAGGATCACTAGGACTCTACCAGTCAGACAAGGTGGGTAAGGATAAGGTTAACTGAAAGGAGGAAGAGAATGAATAAGGAGGAGAGGAGAGCAGGTGAGGACCCTGGGGAAAGCAGTCTGGTGTAGCTTAAGAGGGGATGATTAGGTTGAATGGGATGTGATGGGTCCTCTCCCACAACCAAAGGGTTAATTATTAAAATGTTAACCTTCACGTTCCTTTTACAATCAAAAAATAAAAGCAAAAAGTTACCTGAGCATTGCCATATTGCACAGCAGAACAGTAGTTCTTGATGTCACTCTTGCAGGCTTCGTATAGATCTGGTTCCAGACGGATGTCCTCTGTCTGCATGAGAGGAAGCCAGCATGGGAAAAGTGAGCTTACTTTAACCCAGAGATGGCAGATATTCTACCGACTTATTTGTTGATTAGATCTTATCAAGTGACCGCCCCAACTTCAACACAGCGAAGTGGCAGCAGTGAGAACTGGGGTTTACTTTCAGTTCTGCCACCAACTAGCTACATGGCCTTGGACCTTCTAATATAACAAAATGTCACTTCTACCCTGAGATGCCATGTCTAGTCCTTCATAGGACTGCTGTGAGATAAAGTAAGATAATATTAGGTGACAACCACTTTAGATAAGAAGAGGAAAAAAAAAGAAAACCACTTTAGAAAGTTAAAATCATTATATAAATGTTGGGTTCTATTTTTATTATTATTTTACTAAAAGAGCTGGATTCAAAGCTAGGGAATCAAAGCTTGTAGCTTAAAATAAATCTCTGATGTAACAAGACATTAAGGCTAGCTCCACGTAGAATTCTCCACTGAATCATTGCCATTATGTGTAAAAATATGATAAGTAACTTTTGGGATATTAATGGTGTTTGCTCTCCATCGCTAGTTTTTACTTAGACTGAGGTGAAACAAGTATGATCTATAGCATACACATATTAAAAATATTTTTACTTGTCTTCTTAACACGGGTTGTGCTTAACTTCAAAAGTAAAGCAAGAAGTTTCCTTTCACAGTGCACATTGTAGGTAACTTTGTAGTATCCATTTCACCTCCATGATCAGTAAGCTTGAAGTGCATGGCTTTTCCCTGGAGACAGCTGTTGGTCTGGGAGTGGGCAGAAATCCCACGATCCCAAGCTGACACAATCAAATTGAAGGGAAGAACCTTAATTTTGTGGCAGGGAGACATTTAACTTTTTTTCCCCTACTTTTGCTAGAGATGAATATTGGAGCAGATGGCCGGTGTCGCAGGCAGCCACTGGGCAAACACAAGGGAAACGAGCCTTAGCACAAAGCTGATGCTGAGGACAGCAGAGTGGAGAGAAAAAGACCCTCAATCCTTGAGGACAGTATTGATTTAGTGATTGTACCATGTGCTTAAAGCTTGTCTTACAGCTGGACTTCCAGTTATGTGTGGTAAAACAAAACAGTGACTCCAAGTATTAACCACTGCAACAGTGGCTGGAATCCTCCACCTTGCCCGAGCTTCTCCCCACTTTCCTAGGCCTGTGGTTGCTGAGAGCAGAGGCATTACCATCTCCAGCTCCTCCACACGGAGCTGCTTGCGGCACTTCAGGGACACCCTGTGCTCCTTCACTTCCTGCAGAGTGTCGTTGCGCACGGTGGTGCTCAGGCAGATCACCACATCCACCCTGCCGAGGAAAGGAGAGGCTTGAGATTGGTGGGAGCCACATGAGGGCAGATGGTCTAAGAGCTGGGCTGGGGGTCGCCCCATTTACCAAGAATTCAGGACCCCCTATTTTGAATCTTTCCTGTAAGCCTCGCTATTTTTTTCATTGTGCTAAAAGCCACGATTTGACTGTATATGTCGTAAAAGTCATAGAGCAGTCTGAATGCTGACAACATTCCTGACAGGAAGGGGGGCCAGACAGGACACATGTGTGCAAAGACAGCTCAACACTTGTTAAAAACATATGACCACAGAGGAATGCTGGTCTGAACTCTGGGACCGTGCCTTTGACGTACTATGTATGAAACTAATTTCTGAAAGGTACAGAATATTGAGCAAAATGAGAACCTGGTTGTTTTTTTTTGTTTGTTTGGTTTTTTTTGAGACAGAGTCTCACTTTGTTGCCCAGGCTAGAGTGAGTGCCATGGCGTCAGCCTGGCTCACAGCAACCTCAATCTCCGGGGCTCAGCGATCCTACTGCCTCAGCCTCCCGAGTAGCTGGGACTATAGGCATGCGCCACCACGCCTGGCTAATTTTTTGTATATATTTTTTTAGTTGGTCAATTAATTTATTTCTATTTTGGTAGAGACGGGGTCTCGCTCAGGCTGGTTTCAAACTCCTGACCTTGAGCAATCCGCCCGCCTCGGCCTCCCAAAGTGCTAGGATTACAGGCGAGAGCCACCATGCCCGGCCGAGAACTTGGTTTATATGAGGGAAAATGTGTTCTAAAAATGTGCCTTTCAGGCCGGGCGCGGTGGCTCACGCCTGTAATCCTAGCTCTCTGGGAGGCCGAGGCGGGGCGGATTGCTCAAGGTCAGGAGTTCAACACCAGCCTGAGCAAGAGCGAGACCCCGTCTCTACTATAAATAGAAAGAAATTAATTGGCCAACTGATATATATATAAAAAATTAGCCGGGCATGGTGGCGCATGCCTGGAATCCCAGCTACTCGGGAGGATTGCTCGAGCCCAGGAGTTTGAGGTTGCTGTGAGCTAGGCTGACGCCACGACACTCACACCAAGGCAACAAAGCAAGACTTTGTCTCAAAAAAAAAAAAAAAAAAAAAAAAAGTGCCTTTCAAAGAACAACATGGAAGAATTTGGGCAGCCATACTGCACAAGGTTATCAGTCTCCTCCTTCACACCTAATTCTTTTTTTTTTTTCTTTTTGAGATAGAGTCTTGCTCTGTCACCCTAGAGTGCAGTGGCGTCATCATAGCTCACTGCAACCTCAAACTCCTGGGCTCAAGCAATCCTCCTGACTCAGCCTCCCAGAGTACAAGGATTGCAGATGTGAGCCACCATACCCAGCCAGGACCTAATGCTTAAATGAATAAAGTTTTTGTTTTTTCACTAGATATCTAATTGAATAAAAGCCTCTGCTGCATTTCGGAGGAGATGACATATGGGCTGATGCCAGGAAGAAGTCAGTTCACTCCTTTTACTCACACTGCAACTTGCTTCTCCTAAGTACACAATCTATTTCTGCTTCATCAGTTATCCTGAACCTGGAAAAATTAAAAATGTTTCTTTAGCCTTTGGGGTCTCCATGTAAGAACTACCACCACCTGTGTGGCTCTAGGCAGCTATAAAAATGATCTGTCCAGACAATTCAAGTGTTTAGCCACACTACTAAAGGAGCTCACAGGAGGCCTCCAGGCTAATCCTGCCAGACAGCAGGAGGCTGCCTGACGTCTCAGATATTCACTCAGTGGCTAAGAGGGCCTTTAAAGAAAGCAGAATGAATCAATTAAAAGCTACATACTTCTTCTTTATGTTGGGGCAAAGTTTCAACACATCCTCCTTGCAGGCCATTTTAAACTTGTAAGAGAACCGAAAATCCTTCATCTGCACCTGAAAGATGATGAGAAAGAAAATCAGAAGCTCTGTGGCAAGTTGGAGTCAGTAGTGGCAGGTGACATTTTATCCATGTAGCTAGCTGCACACAAGGCCCTGCATGACTTGCCCTGCTCTCTAAGACTCTGCGACCTGCCAACCTCCCTACTGGCTCTCTCTGCTCAGGCACACTAGCTCTGCTGCCTTTCCGATCACACTCGTGCTGTTCCCTCTGCCGAAAGTACTCCTCTCCCAGTTTTCTGTGTGGTTTGCTCTACTATTTCCTTAAGGTTTCTATTCAAGTTTCTCTTTTTTTTTTTTTTGAGAAAAAGATGTTTGGAAATCAAGTTTCTCTTTTTGAAGCTCCCTTTCTCCTTCACATCCCAACCTCTTATTCTGCTTTGTTTTTCTTCCTGGAAGCACCTGAAACTATACATTTACTTGTACACTTGTTTGTGCATCTTTCTCCTACTAGAATCTAGAGTCCGCAAGGGCAGGGTGGTTTCTGTCTCACCACTGTCTCCCAGCACCTGGCACTTTTGGGATTCTCCCTAACACTTGCTGACTGCAGTCAGGCGGGCTAGATGCCCTGAGAAGAGGTCAATTAACATAGCGGACTGGATTTCATCATCCTTAGAAAGAAGTGCTTGCTATATCAGAAACACTTCCTTTAGCTTCATTTGATAACTATGAAGAGTATGTTCTCACCATCTTATTCAAATGCCACAGCTGGGTTGTATGATTAAAAAAAAAAAAAGGCTTAATGTCTAATATATTGACATACATTTGGGTCACCGCACTGAATAGTTACACAAAAGATTCCAACGATACTAAATGTTGAAGGAGACACTAAAACACCTTGTGCAATGTGACCAAAGCAAAAAATGCCTTCGTGCTTGTCCAACCCACTAGACTATATGCTCCCCAGCGGTAGGGGCTATGTCTTATTTATCATTACGTTTCATGGAGCCTAACAAAGTGCCTGGCTATATTAGATAAAAGCTACTTTTATTAAGAATAAAAACAGGATATATATTTGGAAAAAATGACTTTTCACAGAACATCAGAAGTGCTTTTATGTTCCCAAAGAGGAAGGGATTCAATAACCATCCATGTAGCTAAGACAGGAAATCAGCAGTCAGGTGTCACTGACCAGTTGGAAGTGGGTGACTCCAATGGCACACTTCTCATTCATGTCCTTCTGGTGTTTGTTCTGTATCAGACACTCCATCAGGTCCCCAGAGTCTATCTGGTTATCTGCCACATCCTGGGGAAGACAGTGCACGTTTATACTTCATTTGTAACAATGAATGAACAGAACTTTTAGCCCAGCCCATGAAATGCAAATAGGTCTGATTCTAGAAGACTTCACAAAAAAGATATATCACAAATTGTAGCAAAATAAGCCTGAAAAATTACAAGGGATAGAAAAATTACAAGGGTAAACATTTAGTGGAATAAAATTTACACAGCAAGTGGTTCTGCATGAGATAAGAATATGTACTATGAGTACTCACTTTCCTTGTATGATGCCAGCAGCTGGCTTTGGGGATATCTAATATAACCTCCTGGGTGTCAGATCCTGATGGCTGCTGCGTGTGTTTCACTCCCACAGCTTAGGTAGTTCAATCAATGAACAAGTAATAAAGCAATAGAATTCACTCAATATTGAGGTATAAGGAAACAACTGGAAGGAGAAGCCACTATTACTGCTAACAATTCCTGGGCTGAAGTATTGGAAAGAATTCCACTATACTCTCGGGTGTGTCCTTGTTCCATCTTTTCTTATAAAGGGTATCTCAACAACTGCTACTACCCACACACCTGGTCACCTACAAAGGCTAATCAAATAGGGTTTCTCAGAATGGTGGTACCTCTCTCTTGATCTTGTTTATATTTTCAACTTTAACGTGTCAAAGCTGGCTATCACTCAGGAGTAATGTACGCTGACAACGGGGATGAGTCCAACACACTTGGGGGCCAGAGTCCCAATGAATTGAGTTGTTTTTAACCCTTGTTCCTTCAGATATCACTTACGTGGCAAAAGTTCTGAATGATGGGCTCACAGGCTCTCATCAGCAAGGCTTCTATTTGAATATCCTATAGAAGATTAATAATATTATAATAATATTAATATAATATATATAATATTAATAATATATTAGTAATTCTGCTTGAGAAAGAGCCAGGGATGGAAAAGGAACAGTTTCTCTTTCTCAATCAGTAGCATCTGATGGGTAAATAATCTAATATGCACATTTAGAAATTATTCTAGTATTCACATTAAATAGCCCCAGAATAAATAGAATTGCTCCACTGTACTTTGAAAGGCAAATATTCTAGAGGCAGATTCCCCTTTATTAATGAACAAAAGAGAAGGCAGAATTAAGACAAGTGGAATGAAAAAACATTTAGCAATAATATTAGAATATGTGGCCGGGTGTGGTGGCTCACAACTGTAATCCTAGCACTCTGGGAGGCTGAGGTAGGAGGATCACTCAAGGTTAGGAGTTCGAGACCAGCCTGAGCAAGAACGAGACCCTGTCTCTACTAAAAATAGAAAGAAATTAATTGGCCAACTAAAAATATATAGAAAAAATTAGGTGGGCATGGTGGTGCATGCCTATAGTCCCAGCTATTCAGGAGGTTGAGGCAGAAGGATCGCTTGAGTTTGAGGTTGCTGTGAGCTAGGCTGACGCCACGGCACTCTAGCCCGGGCAACACAGTGAGACTCTGTCTCAAAAAAAAAATTAGAATATGTAAAGCTTTTGGAGTTTTTCCAAAATGCTAAGCAGTTCAAAATGAAAATGGGGGTAACTGACATCTCCTTTTAGTTTAAAAGTTCATATGCTAGATCATTCCCCTCAAACCAGATGACAGACCACTGCTTCTGGGAAAATACTAAATGCCTTTAAGCAGAGTAACCCTGTACAGCACTAGCTGCTGAAATAACATCTTGTTTAGAGAAGTATACACCTGAGACTGTCCTCATAAGCTCACAAGGACAATGAGAATGGGAGAGGAGATGACAAGATGAGAGAAGGCAACAAACTTTTGAAAACTATAAAGCAAAAAGGACTGGTTGAGAAATGTAACTTTATGTATTGTCAATTTTTGGCAATTCAAATAGTACTAAAAAGCTGACAATAAAAAAAATTCCCTGCTTCTCTTTTTTTTTCTGCCATGAAACAACTTTAACATTTTTAATTGCCCACCCTCAATCATCTCTGTATTTCTAAATAATATGCCTATTCTTATGAGGGTTTTAAATCCCATTTTTAATATTTTAGTGGGTTTCAGAACAGGGATAAACACATGTATTCAATCTTCCATGTTTATCTCAAAGTCTCAGCTTTTATTTTATTAAACACACAAACCTTACCAAATGACCTAACTAAAAGAGCTAAGAGAATGGGAATATGTGAATTACTCTTGAATATCATTAAGAGATTTGAAGTATAGCTGCTATCTTTTCTTAAGGGAGAAACAAGACAGGTCTAATGGTAACTCGAATTTACGAAGAAAACCAAAGGGCTGTACAGAATGTTTTTCTAGAGAGAAGAGGGAAGGGGTTTAGGAAGCAACACAATATGTTTCTTTATAATGCAAACAGGGAGAATCTGATCAGGTTTCTTTTGATTGACAGAGAATCTGCACTCTCCACAGTCTATAAACAGTAGAACTAAGCAAAAAAAGTTCTGGTTGCTGGCAGCCACTGTCCTCTGATGAGTAAGCTGCACAGTGCTTACCTCTGATTCTAACTCAGTTAGGTTGCCAACTATATCTCTGCACTCCACAACCAAATCATCCAGATGGTCCTGGAGGCATTCAAGCTCCTGCAAATAAAAAGGGAAGCCCCTGGCATTTATCAGTCACATAAATGAACAGGGGAAGTTGAGATACCAGTGTCTACTTCCTTTTTAGTGGTCTTCCTTTTCTCTTCTTTTAAAAACTACCTCACTGAACAGAACACAAAAGCTTTATTTGATTCCCCAAACTAAGATTGCTAAATAGATGCTTACTGGATATAACAAGGTAGTTAAGAGGGCCAAAGGGTTACAACAGCCATGCAAACCCACCAGAAGGTCAACATCCACAAGTTCAACAAGAACTGATTTTTAGTTTTCAAGAGTCTAAAAATCCTATCAGCCTTTGCTCCACTTTGACATCCTGCCATTCCATTTTTAATCTGTGCTTTGATAATTTTTACCTCCCATTTTAAATATGCACTTTAATAATGGTCACAGAACAAAAAATTCAGTGACTGGCATGGATTATTTTAAAACTCTTTGTGGGCAAAGTAGGTGGAGACCCGGGGTCCAGAACATAACATAGAGCTGAGTGTTCCTGTTAAGTCCAATCTGGGATTCCAGCCCCAGCCCACATCAAAAGGATACTCTGAGGACATTTCCAAAACAAGTGAACACACTAGGGTTCAGGTATCTAAAAGCTATCTTGTCTGGGCTTTGGAAACTGAGCTGGAGCCACCTTGTAGCATTAGTCTGTTATTGTTATTATTCCTTTTAGAGGTTTAGAGGGTTTAAGTATAACATCAGCTCACTTTCTCAAAGCATATCAACAGCTATTTCTCAGCAAAGTCCTCTGTTAAAGGATCAAGTTAAACTTACTTCTGCAAGAATCTGTTCCAGAATTAGCATGGGAAGAGTGGAGAAGGGATGTAGGACTCACACAACAGCCAGAATGGAAGAAAAAAAACAATGAAAGGAAAATGCACTAAAACTTTTGGGAATAAAATACATGGCTAAGGGAAAGATCCTACTTACAAAATCCTTCAGTTTAGCTTCTCAGTGATGGGCTGCAATGAAGTGCAGCTTTCTAAATGTTTACTGTGGGCATGCAATGGGTATGAAGGAAATGGTTTCCTGGGTTTCCATATCACCATATCCTTTGATTTTGGATTTTGGTTTCATTGGACAGAGTCAGCAGAAAGGCATTATCTAATAATAAACTAGATAGCCTTGTAGCAAGGCTCCAAATACAGAATGCTAAAAATTATATTCCTATGCCCAACAGACCTTAGTAGGCAGGCACCTTGCTTTTTTAAAATGTCTGATCTCTGATTTGTGACTTGAAGGGGTTTTGTGGTGGTACAAATGGAACCTGGAAACCTGAGTTCACTTCTCGTTTGAGTATTTATGAGGCTTTAATCAAGTTGCGATTCCTCACTGCTGCTTATCCAGCTTTACAGTGGAAGACATGCCACCTTCCCATATAACTTGCAGTAATGCATCTGTTTTTTCCTTCCCCTTAAACCAGGCACAGAATCCTAGGAACCACTCATAACATGCTTGTAATTCTTGGGAGCTGTTCCTTCCCTATACTTTCCTATATGGAGAGATTATATTATATAATGGAATTAATTGGCTAGGTGCGGTGGCTCATGCCTATAATTCCAGCACTTTGGGAGGCTGAGGCAGGAGGATCACTTAAAGCCAGGAATTGGAAACCAGCCTGAGCAATATAGCAAGATCCTGTCTCTACAAAAAAAATTAGCCAGTGACTAGTCCTAGTGGGAGGCTGAGGCAGGAGGATTACTTGAGCCCCAAAGTGGAAGGTTACAATGAGCTATGATGGCACCAGCCACTATATTCCAGCCTGGGCAACAGAGCAAGACCCTGTCTCTTTAAAAAAAAAAAAAATATATATACACACACACACACACATATACACACACACACTAGAATGGATTGAATTTTAGGTAGGGAAATCAATATACTTCTCTGAGCCTCAATTTTGTCAAGTAGGTGAAAAAAAATTCTGTTTCCACATATTTTGTAGGACTGTTCTAGATTACACACTTCATATACACCAGTATTTACACACATTATGTACATATTTATATTGTGCTGATATCAAAAGAGCTTAACATGGCTTATAAAAGTGAGAAAAGGGCATGATAAAATGAATTTAAAATGCATAAAAAAGAGGAAAGAAAAGGAAAATACACAAAGAAAAATGGGATGGAGCTAGTTGTAAGCTTAGTATAAAAATTCCTACCACAAAGTGCTGCGCACCTATTAAGAGGTAAGCCATACCTGTGGCCCTAGGCTTTCTAAGAAGCAACACAAAGAGGGAAAAATAATCAATTATAAAGTATGGTATTAACGGTGAGTACATGTGGTAAAGAAAAAGAAAAAAAAATATGATAACTATAAAATATAAAAACAAACTAGCTGTTTGGGAAAACACAGAAAATTTTCCTGAGAATTTCTTCTAGAGAAAACACTGAGTAATACAAAAAATCACACCTGTAAAGTAAACACAAAGATGGACTTTATGGTATTTGTACTCTACATAAAACAAGAACCGTTAACATTACTTTTATTGTAAGACAAACGGAAAGCTGTGTCACCTACCTGTCCAGTCTCTGTTTTCTCACTACACCATTTCCCCAGATCGATCAGGCACTTATCCTGCAGGGCAGGATCCAGCTTCACGTCCATGGCGCGCTGGTGCAGGATCCTCTGGACTTCAGCTCGGCACTCACGCGAGAGCTACAAGACACAGAACAAGCTAGGTACTTTAAAGGTAACAAAACAAAAATGCGAAGACACTAGATAAACCTGTTATCCTGTTGTCAGGACACTAATGACTCTATAGGTTATTTCTCAAACTTTATATTTCGAATCTCTTCCAGAGTAATAAATAATTGTTCTAGGTGGTTTCAAAAAGCCTATATCTCTAGGAATACAATTGTTTATTCGGAATTCTCTACTAAAAATGAAATGCCATTCTTTTCTGAGAGTACTCTGATAAAAGTGAACTGAATCTGAATCCACTCAAATTAGGTTAGAGAGTTTTCTGTTTGTTTGTTTGTTTAGCAAAATTAATTTGCCAGTCTACATCAGAGCCAATTCTGGAGGAATACTTGGTTTCAGAGAACTGAGTTTAAATTGACCTAAATTAAATAAAGCAGGCAAATTTAGAAGCAACTGTTACTACAGGTCAGGACCAGATTCCTCTAGATGAGTTACATAGAATTAGCAGAGAATAAGGCAGGTGAAAACCGTATTTTTGAAAGGGCTGTGAGAAAGCTGTCACTGACAGGCAGTCTCTCTTGGCAAAAAAGCCAGCACACATGGGGTGGAGAAGATGGAGAGTAACTGACAGGCATGGGGTTTCTTAGTGGAGTTATGGAATATTCTGAAACTGGATAGAAGTGGTGGTTGCACAATGTTGCAAACATACTAAGTGCTACTGAATTTTTCTCTAACAAAATGCTTAATTTTATGTTTTATGTTATGTGAATTTTACCTCACTTAAAAAAAAAAAAGCTAGCATCCCAATTCCAATCCTTTCTTTACTTATAAGAGAAGGAACCTCCTATTACAGTGACTAGCAAAATGCCAGGATTTGGGAGCCCCTGTGGTTAATTAGAGGCTCACTGTATGAAGAAATATATAACAACAAATTCCCACATTTTCTTACATAGCAACAGAAAAATACGGTTATGACTGCAGAATCTGAAGTATTTGATGTCTCCTCATTTCTAATTGAGTCACCTCATTCTTAATCCTAGATAGTCAGACTTTTGCATTAAGCTCAGAAGGAATAACAGTAATTATGCATGTGAATTAATACCATCTCTACTTTCTATTAATATAACAAGTGCAGGACTGACACACAACGGAGTATCTCAGAAGGTATAAAAATGCCATCTTGGAACAAGCAGCATGTCAGAGTGGCACCAAAAGGCAGCAATACTGCCCAACAGCCAAGTACACACAAATATCCCTACAAAAGGTAGCAGTTGGGGGCAGACAAATACCAAGAGACTGAGGTAAGGCTCCAACTAGTTCATTGTCAGAAAAGTCTCATTAATACAGGCATTATGTGTTTAGTTGCCAAGGGCAGAAGTTTAAAGAACCATTTGTATCCTGGCTAAAAGCTTCTAATGGATCTTTAAAGCTAAAGTTAGGACAGCAGAATTTAATTGTCCATTTGTGATTCAGATTGTGGGAATTTACAGAAAAAATCTGGAAATATTATCCCCACTCACACTGTTAAAAATATAAAATCATACAGAAAGAAGCTGGTAGAACAACTCTAGGTATACTCACTGAATGAGGCAGGCTCTAGTAGTAGTATAGCAACCCCCTCTCCACCAAATATACTAAAAATGTTTCCCTAAGATGACAGAAATCAGAATACATAGCAAACTATTTAAAAAAACAAAGAAGAAGAAAATAAGACAATATTGACTGCATACCCTCCTTCCTTGTTCCTCAGTGCGGTAGGCATGTCTGTATAAACAAGAGAACACAGCTCCGGGAGGCATGAGTTCACTGGTCTCATTCCAACCATGGGTATGGCAAAGACGAGAGGCATCTCCTTGGCACTTGCGGTATAAGACAGGGTCCAGCCTACAAGAGTTAAAAGATAACCACTCTACATTTCCTTCTAACACATGCTAAAGGTTTTTACCAGGTGCTTGCTTATATACTTATTGATAATCACCTCCAGGGTAGTGGAGACAAAAGATATGCAAAAGTATATTCCTAAATTTTGTTCTTAATGAACACACAGTGGTGAATCTGTAGAAATTTGTTAACTTTCATTAAAACTTAAGTTCTACCTCCAAGTTGTTATCTTGGCTATGTAAGGCACGTAACATTACAATATAGACTCAGCCCTCACATGCCTTGGCTGAATGTAGAAAACTAGGGTTGTAGCCACCACCAGGAAAATGATAACTTTTTACTTAATACTTTTTCATTTTTTTTTGGTCCAACAAAAGCAGGTTGACTTTATTGCAGGGAAGCTAGGAAGGAACAGGACAAGTGAGGGTCTCCACAGAATCCCTACCACTGAGGAATGCCAAACCCCAGGTCTGTCTGGAAGCCAGGAAAGGATCAGCATCCTTTGGTCTATCCTGCTGACTGGTGGGCCCAGGCCCTTACCTCATGTTAACAGAACACTTAATACTCTTTTTATTAAATACATTTTTCTCAATATGAGAGAAGTTCAATCCTAACTGATATACAAGATTCAGTAAGATCAGGAATGGCAAGATAAACAGAATCTTCTATTCAACCTTTTCTCTTTTTCCCATGCAGGGTAAGGCAGTTGTTTCTTTTTTTGTTTATCTGAATATGCTTATCAAGGTATAAAACTTGACATTTAACTTTTAATCTGGGAACAGTGGGTTAAACAATGAGCCTGTTTCTTCTGCAAATCAGATTAGGAGATGCTTATTATGCTGTCAACTTTGGGGGAGGGCTATTTAATGGGAATAGACAGGCTAATATTTAATGAGTAGCCATTAAGACTATGCAGCACTTTTTTGATTAAGGGAGAAGGAATTAAAAAAGAAGAGAAAACATGATTTTGATTAAGGCAATACACTCAGAAAAGCTTTATTTCTGTTTAGATGTCCTGAGCACAGCTCTCCATAGTCCTGTCCAGACTAACTTGAAGAAACAGAAATAAAAATACACTGAATCTTTAAGTAAAGATTATGTGGGATGAACATATATTAATTACCAAAAAAAGTTAATGACCACAGGACAGTGGCTTAACAACTGAATCAGGAAGCAGCTGAATTTGGGAAGCTGGAAGGGCAGGGAGATCCAGTTCTGGCTGCTTTGGAGGTGGGGAGTGGGGAGACAAGACAAAGAGAGAGAAGGGGAACTGAGGCCTATAAACTCCAGCTATTCTGACTGTAATATACATCCTTCTCCTATTTCATCCTCCAGTCATTTTTGATGAGAAGGAAATTAGAGAATCAGGTTGTCACTTATTGATGAAAACCTCTTAAGACAGAATAAATTCAATAACTCTGAATAGTTAAAGAAATAAAGGCAAATTCCCACACTCAGTGCAAATCAATAAAAATACAAATGCACTGTTATCCTCTTAGAGACATATCTGAAGATGCTTTTGCTGCCCCTCCAGGTGCCAGAGTTCTTTCTAGATAGATGTTTGTGGTATCAGAACATTCTGACCCTGACTTCCAAAGTAGTGGCAAACAGGGATGCTTGGTACAGACTAGCAGTGGGCTGACTCTGCTTTTAGATACTGTTCTGAAAACAACAAAGAGTAAGTTTTTAAGGGAACTGGAGTATGTTAGCTGGCACAGAACTTAACAAAAATAATTTCCTACTGATTATTTCAAAATATACAGGTATTACTGACTACATGGGAGAATAGGCTGATGCAATACACTTACTTTGGCTTCAAAATACTCACTTCCAATCTCGGGAGATGAAATACTGTAGCTCTAAGAGACGATGTTCACAATCTTCCACCATTTTCTCTGTATACAAATGTTCCATAAGGCACGAGAGGATCCTAGCCATAAAACGGGTGAAATTGTAACGAGAGAGAAGCGTCTTAAGGACAGGCTCAGAACTTCATGTCTATATAATGTTTTTATGGTTTGAGGAAGAAGCCCTTTAACAATCTTCATAGGACAATAGGACTTATTTTTCTGAGAATCTCTCAAATTAACTGAACCTGATAGTTATCACGCCTTTTATCAACTTCAGTGCCACTTAACACTTAGAACTAAGGTGCACAAGTTCTATCTGGCTATATTTTTAACTGTTTATTATGAAAAATTTCCAACATACATGAAAGAATCATGTAATGGTCACTTTCCCTCTCCGTAACTTTATCAACCAATGGCCTAGTTTGTTTTAATTTGATGCCCCTTTGCAGATATTTTAAAGCAAATCCCAGACACTATATCATTTCATTTGTAAATACTTCAGGCATGTTTCTCTAAAATGTATGAACTTAATACTATTATCGTATCACCAAGAAAATAATAAAAAATCCTTAATATCATGCAATATCCTGTTAGTTTTCAAATTTTTCCAACTATCTCATGCCTTTTTACATGTTTGTTCAAATCAGGACCCAGAAAGGGTCCACACATCATAGTTAATCAATAAATACCTTAAATCTATTTTAATCGGAGGCAGTCCTCCCCTTCCTCTCTCTTCCCTGCCCCCTCATTGGTTGATGCAGTTATTTTCATATTGGTAAATATTCTTAATTAGTCCTAAGTATGTGTGCCTGTCTCCTCCAACCACACAAAAAGCTTTAAGGAAGAATGCCATTTTTAAATCCCCTACCACTGCATGAACAGTAGGAGTTTTTGCATAGCAGAATAATGATAAACAATATTCACTTTATTGTTGGGTATAACCAGTTTGCAGGCTATAAAGATTTTAGCAGAATGGGAAACCTGTTCTTACCTGCAACCTGGTTTTAAGAGCTGTTTTCACATCATAGGGAATAAAACTAACGCACGAGAATCAAATGCTTTATTATAGAATTTATTCAGCTTTCCTAGCTCTTGGATGCAACTCCAATATTCATTTTGTCCTTAACTATCCCCTCCAACTACCATTATTTCTATTTCAATTTAGAATTAACTATTTTCTAATGACTATCAAGTAGCTAATGTATACTATGAGTCAGTATATACACACGATAAATAGTACGAAGTGTCAAAGTATGTGGCACTTTATCTTGTTTCTCTCTCTCATTTTTATTTAACTATTAAATGAAACTGTTCAGTCACCTCAAATATAGATCCATATGTGCTCAATCATTATTAATAAACATCATCACAATGCTGGGTCTGAAATCCCAATTCCAATATTAGTTTTAATAAAACTTGGTATGTGTTCCTGTTCAACAAAATTTCAGTTAAGATGTTAAAACACCCAAAAGTCATTTGAGGGAATGTTCTCTCTGCTGCCAAGTAAAAGACAGTATGGATAAATACCACAAATAAGATAACCTACATTGGGTCTCCGGATCTTATATGTTTGCAGGCTGTCTGTATTACAGATTCACAAGCTTCATTCAAAGCTCGATCAATGCGGTAATCTGCACCAGGGTCAGTCTCCTGAATCAGTGTTTGAAGCTGGATTTTAAAATATTAAAAACGAAGAAAGAAAATAAATTAGACAGCAAGGAAGAGCAGTGTCATCTCTCTATACAATCAGTTGCTCAGTCTTGTATATCACAAAGTGCTCTAACAAGGTTACTACAGTTCTCACTTGCCAAACTTAAGAGCTCTTGCCAAACACTTTCCAACTGATTTTTCCAACTTAATTGCAAGTTTTTCTGTTTCAGTTATTGTAAGGATTGCTTATCTACCTGTTCTAAACCTTGCACATGTACAAAAACCGACAGGTCTTTAGAATATAAATATGAAGGCTGCCACTTTCCTCTCATCTGCCTACTTGTTAATCAGATTACTAAACTAACAATGAGGGCCAACCCAGAATTGAGATGAGAGTTAAAGAGTAAATAGAGTGGCTCACACCTGTAATCCTAGCTCTTGGGAGGCCGAGGCGGGCGGATTGCTCAAGGTCAGGACTTCAAAACCAGCCTGAGCAAGAGCGAGACCCCGTCTCTACTATAAATAGAAAGAAATTAATTGGCCAACTGATATATATATAAAAAAATTTAGCCGGGCATGGTGGCGCATGCCTGTAGTCCCAGCTACCCGGGAGGCTGAGGCAGAAGGATCACTCGAGCCCAGAAGTTTGAGGTTGCTGTGAGCTAGGCTGACGCCACGGCACTCACTCTAGCCTGGGCAACAAAGCGAGACTCTGTCTCAAAAAAAAAAAAAGAGTAAATAGAGACATTTCCAGTTAGAGACCTAATTTGCTCATGAGAATCTAGAATTCAAATTTTGATGCAAAAACACCGGTATTCAATCAAGTGTGCCGTGCTTTATTAAAAGCAGATGTGAGATTTCATTTAACTTGCAGAAATATCAATTATAAAAACCAAGATTATACACTTATAATTTCCCACTTTACCTAAACTATTTTATAAAACTAGGTGGTAGACCCAAGCTTGCTTATTATAAGCATATATAAAAACACTCTACAAGATGTCTGTAATAAACGGCAAATAAATAAATAAATGAAAGAAAGGAAAAACACGTCATCATGCACTGAAAATGAAAATATATTCTTTACCGTTTACTTTTGCTTGATCCATCATTTGTCAAAGAATAAAGGAAAGGTATGAAAATAGGTGCTTCACATCTTTTTTCCTATCTTTGAGGAGAAGACAGTTCGGGCATAGAGAAAAAAGTTCTAAATTATGGATCAGAGGACCTGAGTTCTATTAATAATTCTGGCTCTGGTAGATATTAGCTTTGAGAACATGGACAAGTTGATTCATCTCTAAGTTTCAGTTCCTTTAACTGCAGAAAATTGTAAGATACAATAATATGGGCAGACATTGGATAAACTGAAAAGTATTTTATAGATGTAAAAAATCATTTATTACCAGAAGCAAGTAGCATATGGTATTTTAGGGTGGGAATCTTAAACAACAAAGCAAATTTGAAAACAACAATCCTTACTGGTTTGGGTTTCTTTTTTCCAAGTTAAAAATTGGAGCCCTATTTGTGTCACTGATTTGTCCTATGATTCCACAGGTGTTTATATGAAGGCACTGGCCCCATCACATATTTATCATTGAACACAAATCAAAAGAACATGAAAGCTAGGCGTGGTGGCTCACGCCTGTAATCCTAGCACTCTGGGAGGCCAAGGCTGGAGGATCACTTGAGGGTAGGAGTTTGAGACCAGCCTGAGCAAGAGACCCTGTCTCTACTAAAAATAGAAAGAAATTAATTGGCCAACTAAAAATATATAGAAAAAATTAGCTGGGCATGGTGGCGCATGCCTGTAGTCCCAGCTACTCGGGAGACTGAGGCAGAAGGATTGCTTGTGCCCAGGAGTCTGAGGTTGCTGTGAGCTAGGCTGAGATGATGGCACTCTAACCTGGGCAACAGAGTGAGACTCTGTCTCAAAAAAAAAAAAAAAAAGACACGAAGAAAAAACCCAACTTCTATTATCCTAAAAGAAGATAATGATCAAGATGAGAGAAATATGAAAGATTTCCAATATTCTGGGATGCAAGTTATTTATACCAATTCTTGGGCAATTTGGAAAAGCTACAAAATGCTGTGGCTGAGCTGGCATAAAGATTACCGTCACATCAGAACTTATTATTCACATTAGTGTCACTAAAGTTGGTATTCAACCCCCCACTGCTAAATTTGACTGGCTTTAAAAAAAAAAAAAAAAAAAAAAAAGATTACCGTCAAATGATTACTAATTTTACTTATAATGTTTGCAACAAAGACCAAATATTTACATTTTTTTCCTGAGGGAAGTTAGAAGCACCATAGGAGCCTGGAAGTCTGCAAGAACTGTGTCAATTAAATATCCATGACTGAGAGGCAAACTTTGAGAAGTCACAATAAATGTACTAGACTGTAGCTATTAAAAGGAGAAAATGAGTGCCCAGTTAGAGCCAAGTAGGCTAAAGACTCAAGAGATCATTGCCACTCTGGAATTCAGTGAGAGCAGTGTGGGTAATAAATGCTAAAAATGTGAATTGCTACATGATTATATATCTATTCTAGCCCCTGACATGCTTAAGGAAAACCTGAGGAAATGCTTCCGAGGAATCACTGGTCTAGAGAACAAGTTGGGCAGTTATCTTTGGCCTAGGAGAGGCTGGGCATAGACTCACTCAGCCATAACTTAAGAGAATTTAATAGTTCACGATTATGGTGCATCTGGGAGAGCATGTCCTCAACAACATAATTATTTCTATGCTTTACAGTTTATTACTTGTTGAGAGATCATAATCAAAGCATTATCAAGCAGAGAACAGGGAAAATTAATGGTCAACCACAGGTATCAAATTCTGCTAGATCAAGAAAGAAAAAGAAAAAGAAAGTGACCAGGTACCGTGGCTCATGCATATAATCCTACCACTCTGGGAGGCAGAGGTAGGAGGACTGCTTTAACTCAGGAGTTCAAGAGCAGCCTGAGCAAAAGTGGCCCCGTCTCTACTAAAAATAGAAAAATTAGCCGGGCATAGTGGTGTGTGCTTGTAGTCCCAGCTACTTGGGAGGCTGAGGCAGGAGGATAACTGGACCCCAGAGTTTAGGGCTGCAGTGAGCTATGATGGCACCACTGCATTCTACCTAGGGAGACAGAGTAAGAATCTGTCTCAAAAAGAAAAAGAAAAAAAAAAGGAAGGAAAAAGAAACTCACTCAAAATAAATTATTTCAAAACATTCCTCAATATAGCTGAGGATATATGATATAGAACAAATAAGAAAATTTTTCTTCCTTTGGATCATTTATGCCTTCAATTTCTGTGACCAAATGCTAAAAACCATGAATCCATACAAATAATAATAAAGTGCTTCTTTTCCACTTGGCTAAATTTAATGTGGGTAAAACCACATGTTTCACTATTTGAGGCTAACCTCTAGATTTCGAAAGTACTTTTCTTCTAGGCACAAAGGGTGATGTGGGTGGTACTGATTTATCTTTCAAGTTGAGTCACTAGTTCTTTTAATAAGCTAAATTTCAAAAAGCCCTGGGGGTGAACTAGGTGCCTGGAAATAAAGCCACAGCAGTCTATTTTCTTTTTTCTGTACAGTTCACTACAAGTGTGGCTTCAGGAAAAAGATGTGTTTATTTCTGACCCTCCTCCCCACATTTCCATGTTGCTTTAAGGATAAAATGCAGATGTAGGCTGTCTCCTAATTCACTCTTGGTCTGGGGCCCAGGAACACATATTGGTGGGAGAGGTTTCTCAGGGCAATCGCCAGCAAGGACTGCTCTTGAGGAACAACACTGCGACAAACTCAACCCACACAGATTCCAGAAGACTTCTTTCCAGCCTGCGTGGTATTTTAAGGAAGAGGTCACAGTGTTTATTTTTCCCACTGTGGTGTGTGTGGGCGCACACGAGCACACATACAAACACAACTGTCTGCTCTGGGTCATGGTATTAGAAACTAAGATGAAATTTTATTCCACATCAAAATTCTATAAAAATTCTGAGTTTTAAACTGTACAAACTTGTTTCAGAATTTTTCAGACTGTAAAATTCTAATTTTATATGATTATTAGGAATATAAAATTTAAATTAATATTTAGTTTTTTTAAAAAAGCCAACTACATAATAATATACTAACTGTGGTTTTCTAAAGTTTCACTGAAGGGAGAGCCTCAACTTTGTAAGTCAAGATATAAAACTAAACTATTTTTTTGTGCTTTCTAAAGGAAAGTTCATTGTGTAGGTACCAATGTTGTACTTGGGTGTTTTAAATTCTGTAAAGATTCTTATCCCGTAAAAAGTAATAAACATGGTAAACAGTAATGAAAGAGATGCACTGTATCTATGTTTTGTTAACTTCATATTATGTATCTAATCTGTTATTATTCAACTGTTTATGAACCCTAGATTATGAAGAACTTTATCTTCCCAAGCAGAGTATGCTAATTTTTTTTCCAACTACCTTTATAGAATTGACTATGAAGTTTGGGGGTAGAGAAAGAAAGACCCTTTCACATATAGTTGCCCTAATCTAATAAGAAAAGATGGTGTAATTTTGAAAATGATATGGTCTCTTGATCCTTCTGGCCAAGAATTTATGACATGCTGAACACATCAGTAATAAAAAGAAACTTTTAGAAAAAATTTCAATTCATGTCAACATTCCTTCAGCCTCAACTCAATCAGACCTCAATCAATCAAATTCTCTTTTGGTGGAGGACCTTTCCTGATTTATCAGAACCTGGTTTGTCTTGATTCTGAATTTAGTAAATTCAATCTAGCAAGTTACTCCTCCTTTAGAAATTCCAGCAAACACTACATTCTATCTATTTAAGTATATAGTTCTTTTTATTGATTATGAGCTCAAACTTAAGCTCTGCAGCAAATTCCACATTCCTACTATGTATTCCTGAAGAAACAATATTCTGTTTCTGGTCCTGAGTACCTAACATTCACTGCGGTATCACAAAGGATCCAGACAAAGGGAACTGGGACAGCATCAGGAACAGGCTCTTTAGCTGACAAAACGTGACTTTCAAAGTGACAATAGAAAATTTTTCCTTACCGCCTGCTGGCAGTTCATTCCAAGGTTCCCCTTCTCCCCCCGAACTACTTTCATGAGACAGTGCAGGGTTCGCCCTTTTCGATGTAATCCAGAACAGTGGTGTTCAATCTCCCCTCGACAGCTTAGGATAATCTCGGGGCTCAAAGAGAAGTCTTCCATCAACATGCGTCGGTAATCTAACATCTCCCCCTGGCACTCACTGCTCACTTGTCGCCCTAAATTAGGATGTAAGTCATAAGATGATGGAGGGTGAGCACTGGGATAAGAAGACAGCACATATTAAACCGTACATGTTTCTGTCTAGAATAGAATGTTACCAGTCATGCTAATATCTAGACTGAAAAGCTTAGAATTTAGCAAAAGCTTTAGCAGCATAAAATGAGCTTAGACTCCAGAGACTTGGGTTTATCCTTGTCAGTGTTCTGCATTATACAGATTTTATACTACTGAACTAAAAATGCAAATGCTTTGTCCATGGAAGTCTTATCAATAAGGTAACTATAGGCTGGGCTCGGTGGCTCACACTTGTAATCCTAGCACTCTAGGAGTCCCGAGGCAGGTGGATCGCTCAAGGTCAGGCGTTCAAGACCAGCCTGAGCAAGAGTGAGACCCCATCTCTACTAAAAAAAAGAAAGAAATTAGCTGGACAACTAAAAATATATAGAAAAAATTAGCCTTGCATGGTGGCACATGCCTATAATCCCAACTACTCAGGAGGCTGAAGCAGAAGGATCGCTTGAGCTCAGGAGTTTGAAGTTGCCACGAGCTAGGCTGATGCCACAGTACTCTAGCCCAGGCAACACAGTGAGACTGCCTCAAAAAAAAAAAAAAAAGATAACTATTGAGGTAAAAATGAAAGCCAAAGAACAATCCACTGGTCTACGCAATTAAGGCAGAGGAAAAGACTACACTTCAAATATTCACTACAGCTCCCCCTCACTTCTTTTGAGCTGTAAATGCCAACTGGGAAAACACAAAAGAGAAATTAAAACAAAATAAAACAACATAATAATGCTTACCTAGACAGTTAGTTTAGAAATAGAGCCATAATTTGAAGCCAAGTCTCTCTGACCCATGTGCTAAATAACACTAACCCAACTCTCCCAAAAATGTTGCACAATATGCATTTCAAAAATTAGAAAGGCCTGGGACTTTGGCTCATCTCTGTAATCCTAGCACTTTGTGAGGCTAAGACAGGAGATTGCTAAAGACCAGGAGTTCAAGAGTAAAATTGGCCACATAGTGAGACCCCCATCGAGAGAGAGAGAGAAAGGAAGAAAGAAAGAGAGAGGCCGGGCGCGGTGGCTCACGCCTGTAATCCTAGCTCTCTGGGAGGCCGAGGCGGGCGGATTGCTCGAGGTCAGGAGTTCGAAACCAGCCTGAGCAAGAGCGAGACCCCGTCTCTACTATAAATAAAAAGAAATTAATTGGCCAACTAATATATATAGAAAAAAAACTAGCCGGGCATGGTGGCGCATGCCTGTAGTCCCAGCTACTCGGGAGGCTGAGGCAG